AATTGCTCTCACTCCACCGGGACCAAACGAGCGCGTGAGCGCGCCGCGACGCTGTGGGAAGAGCTGCTGACGGCCGCGCCGCCTTGCTGCGGCGACGAGCCGGCGGAGAGCGGTGGATCCACGTGGAGCGGCTACTTCAACACGCTCTCCCTGCGAAGGCACGTCTCTGCGGATCTTTTCGCCTGCGAAGCGGCCGCGGAATTCGCCAGCTTGAGGGTACAGCCGCCGCGCTCCGTCTCAGAGGATTATGATCAAAATTGTTCCCAGGGGACTTCATCTCCAGCCGCACCACGGCCTATTGGATTTTCCGACGTCGTTTCTGCGCTGGATCCTCGTGATTCCCCCAATTCACCCCTTTCCCTGGACCTCTCATACGTGTGCTCCGTGTGTCACCTGCGGTTCGCCACGGTGCACGCCTTGGGTGGTCACAAATCGGTGCACAACGTCAAGAAGAGGCCGCAAAGGAGCACCTTACAACGAAGCTATCCGCGAAGTTATTCTGATAACACGAACGCGTCAGCAGATTCGAATTCTGGAAATCGACTTGAAGGGGACGTTGTGCTGCTAGTGGATGCCACTGCACGGCTCACGACCTGCACGAACCAGGATTCCCCAAGGGAGCGCGATCCATCCAGCCAGATGCATGACTCCGCGTCGGGAATGAGCAATGCTCAGCCTGCGAATAACTGGGGTGCTAAGGAAAGCAGCGAGCTTGTCGACAATACGGGCAAACGAGCAGCGCTGCTTGCGGAAATCCGAGGTTTGCTTCAGCTGAAGCGCCAACGATCATGCAGCAGCCATGGAAAAGAGGAACCTTTGGGGTTCGGGGACAGGGATGTTCTCAGTGTTGGTGACGGTGGTAACATCCCCAAGGCCCGTAGCGGTACTGCGGAAATGGATGTGGTTGACCTCTCCTTGCACCTATGAAATGCATAACTTGATCCTCATTGTGTACAGGAATGGTATCCTACTGTACAAAGTCTTCCGGTATTATAGTTAGTTTGGGCATAGTGTTTATTCCAGTATCTTTGCCTGCTCTGCATGTAAAAACGCCGCAGACAGATGTTGAAGATCATGAAGTGGAGACCTACTCCTACACTAGTGTGGAACTATGTCAGGAAGTTAGCCTCAGAACCGGGTTATCAGGTTAGGCAGCTGAGTGCAACCTCGCTGCAGAAGTGTCAATGCCCTACATAGTCAATTAGTGGCGCATCCAATGCTGCATCCATGTGCCATCAGTATGGCTTGTATCCTTGCAGTGATTGCTCATGGCCGCTGCCTCTCTTGTAGTAAACCTGGTACCATTCCACGAACTTCTTCAGCCCCACTTCAAGGTCCGTGGATGGGCTATACCTGCAAGACAAATACAGTAAGCTCACTGTCAGGAAACATGCCAGCCATAAGCCAATAGAGTCTTCAGACGGAAGTGTGAGAGTCTTGAAAGCGAGTCTGGAGAGCAAGGGACGATGTGTGCACCTTCCACTCACCCTAGGTCATTCTTTGCCCTGGTCACATTGGCGTGCGTGAACATCACATCCCCAGTGCTTGGCATTTGGACAACCCTGCAGGAAGCAATGAGTCGAAATGTAAGTAATGACAAGGGAAATCAATGAAAACCATAAAATAAGAAAACATTGATGGAGAAAGGCACAAGAATCACTTACTCCCTAATGGCGTTGACCTTCAGGTGCTTCTCCAAGATGCTGACAAAGTCCCCCACCTTGACCGGTTGGGTGTTGCCAAGATTGTACACCCGAAACTGAGCCTTTCGCCGCTTCCCCTTGCTGCCAACGCTCGGCAAGGCGGTGTCCAAAGAGGCCACGCAGCCCTTCACGACGTCGTCAATGAACGTAAAATCGCGAGCGAGCTCCTCTCCCTTGGGCCCACGGAAGATCTTGATGGGCTTGCCGGCCATGATGTTCCTTGTGAAGGAGAAGTACGCCATGTCGGGACGACCCCAAGGGCCGTACACCGTGAAGAATCGAAGAGCAGTGATGGAGAGGCCGTAGATGTGGTTGTAGGTGTGTCCAAGGACCTCATCCGCTTTCTGCATAGACAGTACCAAAACAGAATCAAAAGCGTTAATGATACATTACTTACTCGCCATTCGCCTCAAGCCTGACTGAAACATTCCGTGCCGGGATAGGAAGCATCCAATACCTTGGTTGCGGCGTACAAGCTTGCTGGGCGATCAGTTCGATCTTCTTCGGAAAACGGCACTTTGGAGTTCAGGCCGTACACGCTGCTGGACGACGCGTAGACAACTGCCGGTTGTGGATCTGCTTTCTGTGACATCGAAACAAAGAGGCGTGAGTTTAGTGTCAACCGCAAAAAGGACACAAGGACGAAGCAAAAAGCAAGCCGCGAAATAGCCACCTTAATTTCTTCAAGGAGAGTGACGAAGCCGGCGACATTGCTCTGAACATACGCCAATGGGTTGTGAACGGCATAGCGCACACCGGCCTGCATATATCATTGCCAGGTGAAGGACAAAGGTTCAGCTTTGAACTTAAGATGTCAAGGTCGCTAGCGTTGCGGCCAGTGGCTTCGGATCCTACCTGTGCTGCTAGATGAAGGACGTGCGTGAATTTGACGATCTCAAAAAGCTTGGCGAGAAGCCGCTGGTCGTTGATATCGCCCTCCACGATGAACCTGCAAAGGTTCATGTCGACAGATGTAAGTTCAGACAATCACAAAACGGACGAAACAGGAGCTGGAAAGGGAGGCAAGCTTACACTCCGCTAGCTAATAGTCGCTCCTGTCTGGCGCGCTTTAAGGCAACGGGGTAGTAGCTATTGAAGTTGTCAATTCCAACAACGCCATCGCCTCTCCTCTTCAAAGCAAGCGACGTGTGCGAGCCAACAAATCCTGCTGCTCCGGTCACGAGCACCACCATCCCGCTTCCTCGTGTAGCCGCAGAAGATCTAACCTGATCTTCCCACACAGCTCCGCCCCATGTTGAGGCATCCATGTCGGAGAAAGCGTCTACCGTGCTTTGTCTTTGCCCGCCATGTCTAGTGATGCCGAAAGCCCTGAAATAAAAGCACGTGGTGCGTTAGAACTCCATCCGACTTGCGTGGAAGGCGATAATTTCCGACGCACAGAACTTACATGACTATAACGAAGACGACGATGCAAGCGGCCTGAATGATAGTCAAGCTCCTGGCGGTCCGCTGAATAAAGGAGTTACTTCGCAACTTCTCGAAATCATCTACATTTGAGGCTGTCTTGGCGAGAGGCGTCGATGCGAGCAGCTTAGTCGCCATGATAGCGGACCCACTAGGTAGAGGTAATCAACAATGGAGGATCGAGCCGCAGGAGATTAACCTAGCGATCACTAGAATGGAGAGACGCAATGAACTGAGGAGCATATAGTGACTGTTCAGCTTTTTATCCTTGGTTGCATGCATGCTCCAACTCAGTGTCATCTAGGCATTGTGTGGGTCGGGTGGGATGGGGCAGAAGGGGCGCTTGTCTCGCTGGCGCCAGGCGCAGGGGCCAGTGTTCCTCGAGGTGCTGCTGGATTGGCTGGAACAGGTAACCACACTGGCGGAGCTGAGCATCTCAAGGGGAATAGGCGGAGAATGTGCAGAGAACGGGGAAGGGAATGGCGGGGCGGCGGAACGCGGCTTGAGAAGAGCTCGTGGCCCAGGGGATGGTCCACCAATCCCGAGGTCACCCGTCCAAAACGCGCAGCGAGTTCCTTGTGCGCCAAAACATTTTGGGCTTCACAAAAATTTCCAGGAAACTCCAGGAGCCAAGCCCAAGGAATGGTGGCGCATCGCACGAGCAAACCTAGGGTGGACTTGGACATGATCTTTTGGACCTTCGTGTCCGACCGATGAAAACGTCTTCATAATCGCACGGCAAACATCAGCTCTCGGTGCTGCGGCTCGGTCGGCCACATCAAGGCGGGAACCTTGGGCAAATAATTAAGCTCCGTTGATCCTGAAAGATTTCCAGTCATCACTTGCATGAACACAGCTAGTACATGTATTTCGCATAAACTCCTATCGGATTTCGAATAGTGAGTATGTTTTGTTCGTTGTTTGTGCGACTTGCACCGTGCACGGCTGCTCCGACAATTTGTCGCAAGGTCGAACATTCAAGTCGCTTCCGTATGATGCGAAAAAGGATCGTCACCAGCCTCACCACAAACGACATAACACACTATACGAGAAGCCTCGTTAGACGCGTCAGAGGGTTAAATTGAACTTTCCATAATTGCGTTGCAAATAAAGGCCAGCAATACCGAAGGCATCGTCCGTTGATTCGCTGCAGCACATCACATCCAGCCGTCCGCGGCTAGGAACTGACGTGGCATGCATGTCAATACCTCTGGCAGCCACTGTCACATCGAGGTTCCTCCCCCGTGTAACTCGCTGTTCTCAAGGCTCCTCTTGTTTCCTTTTGGCAGTCAAGTCCCAAGGCAAGCCAGACCACTCACAGTTTCTCCCTTCAATACTAAACTTCACGAAGACTAGCTCATATGCCCAGTTAGGGTTGACTCCCTTAGTGTCAGGACCTTCAACCTCGGTATTAGGAGGTCTGGTCGAGCCAGAAACGGATTTCTCATTCTCGAGTGTTCCTTGTGGATCTCCATCTAGTTGGCCAGGCAATTAGCCATGGAGGATGATGACGACTATTATCGAGGACACATGCAGCTCGCAGATTCTAGGAATGGGCTCCAGCAAGTGCCACCCAATCGCAGACGGTCATTCCCTCAGCCAAACCTTTCTCAGTCAAACCCTGCTTTTTCGGCTCCAACAATTTCCGACGTGTCGCCACGTAATCGCCCGCTCAGCAGCAGCAACACGTTCTCAGGCCGCCAATTAGACGGCGCCGACGCTCGGCGCGCTTTAGGGAAAACAATGTCGGGGTACCAGCCGGGAGGCGGGGTACCTGGCGACGAGTCACATGTAGGGTTACCACCGTCGCAAGGAGGCCCGCAGCGGGGATTTGTGCGACCACAGCGTGCGACCGGTAACCATCGCAGAGCGATGTCGTTCAGCGGTGGCCAGGCGTCGAGCTCCATGGAATTCTCGCCGGAGGCATTCTCCCGTGAAGGGTTTCAGCAGCCGCAGCAGAGACCGCATGCGATGCAGCAGCAGCCATCTTTCCCACAGCACCACCACCAGCAGCAGCAACAGCAACAGCAACAACAACAGCCTCCATCGCAGATGCAGCAGCAGGGTCGGTTACCGTTGCGCTCTGCCTCACAAGACGGCGACGGCAGCAGTCGGCCGTTAGTCGCCGGCAGCAGGTCCCCCCAAGGACCTGTTGCGCCCGGCCCGCGCCCCGCTGCTGTGCGTGTGCCAGCAATGCGCGGGGCAGCGGGCGGCGCGAGGGGGAGCTCCGCCGCAGCTTCCGCGATCTCCTATGGCGGCGGTAAAGTCGCGGACGAGGACGAGGAGGAGGAGGAGGAGGAGGAGGAGGAGGAGGGCGAGGACGAATACGAGGAGGAAGAGAGTCCGCAGCGGGTGGGGCGGCAGGATTCCGTCCGAAGCTCCATATCCGACACCAGCGCCGACCGCGGGGGGTTGATGGGCGGAAGGGGCGGGCTACGACCGCAGCGGATGAAAAACGGGCCAGACGGGGGGAGCGCGTCATTGCGCATGCCCCCACGCCCCCCCGGCGCGAACCCCACGCCCTATGGGGGGGCGAACCCGCCCGTCGACAGCCCGATGGCCCGCCAGCAGCACCGGCGAGGCGCGTCGTTCGACTCGCGCGTTGTTACGGAGTCGTTGAGTGGTCCGCCCTCATTTCCCTCCCCGTCCTCCTCCTCCTCAGGCACTATTTCGTCAGGAGGTTCCTCTTCCCCGCATGTGCTTTCGCAGTCGCGCTCGGCGAATCTGTCCCGCGCGCCGTTCCCCGGTGGTGCGCCGACCAGGGATCCGCGCGCCTCTGCGGGAAGCAGCGGCCTTGCGGTCAATGCGGGGCGCGGCGGTAGTGGCGATGGTAACGTCGCGGTTAGCAGCGGTGCTAGTGGCTCTGGAAGCGGTGCTGCTTTTAACGCGAATAGCGGAGGCGGGGGCGGCATGAGGGGTCCAGCGGGGTCGCAAGCAGGGTCGCAGGCTGGGTCGCAGGCTGGGTCGCAAGCTGGGTCGCAGGCTGGATCGCAAGCTGGGTCGCAGGCTGGATCGCAACCTAGGTCGCATGGGTCGCAATCTGGGTCGCGGCCGTGGCACCGCCGCTCGCTGTCGACGCCCGTGGAAGAGTTCGACCCGCAACTATCCTCCCCCACCACCAGGCCTCTGCCGCCTGGCAGAGGAGGGGCAGGGGGGTTAGGGGGAGCTGGGCGCGTAGGGGGAGGGCCAGGGGCAGCGGTATCCAGCCGCTCGCCGCCCCAGGCTCCGAGTTCCGGCATGGGCGTGAGCATGGGCGCGGGCATGGGGCCAGATGTGGGCGGGGGTATGGGCGCGCGCATTAGAGTTGGCAGCAGCGGCAGCGGCAGAGGGGATGTGCGGGTAGCAGCAGCAGCAGCAAGAGGGGAAACTCGTGGCAGCAGCACCGCCAGCTTCAGCGGCAGTGACGATGACGAGGGCGAGGATGAGTATAACAGTGAGCCGGTGGCAGTTCCAGCGAGGGTTGCGGGAAGGACCTCAGGTGCGAGCGGGACTAGTCGACTTGCTCCTGCTGCCGCTGCTTCCCCTGCTGCTGTGGCGGCTGGCGCCTTTGGCAGCGGGAGGGGCGCGGATGGGGCGCCAGCAGCGCTCGGAATAGGACGGGGCAGGGGCATGGAGGGGAGAGGAGAGATGGCGTTCCGGGGCGGGCGGGTGGGAATGGGCGGAATGGGGGGGATGAGGGGACGGGGGCGGGGGCGCGCGCACCACCGCACGTTTTCGGAATCTCAGATGGGGTTCCTGCACACCACGGATTTCAGTTCCATGCAGGATGACGCGGAAGGGGGCCAGGCGGAGTGGGGTTCCGCCACTGGCGCGCAGGGGGGTGGGGGAATGCCAGGGGGGATGGGCGGAGGCAGGAGCGCGGCAGGGGGGAGAGTGCTCAGGGGAGCAGCGGGGAAATCGCGGTTTTTGAGCGTGCAGGAGACGAGACGAGGGGAAGGTGCGCTTAGCAGGTTGGGAGGGGGTATTGGAGGGAGCGTGAGGGAGACGCGTGACTATAACGAAGGGTCGGAATGGATGGGCGGGGAGCTGAGACGGCCTGCTGCAGCGCTAGTGCAAGGGAGTGGGGTGCGGAACGGTGAGGGGCGCGGGGGCAGGGCGGAGGAGTATGGAAGAGAGGGCGGCGGCGGCGGTGGTGGTAGTATGAGTGGCGCTGGTGGCGATGATTTTGATAATGATGATGATGATGGGATGAGAGACAGGGTAGATGCGTTGTATGAAGACTTGGATAGGGTGAGACGAGGGGCAGGTGGTGGGAGGAACGGGAGCGAGAGCGAGGAGGACGCTGAGGAGGGGGAGGAGGGGAGGGGAGTGGATGGGGAGAGAGGGCGGGAGTGGGAGCGCGGGAGAGGAGGGGGCAGCAGGGACGCGAGTCCTGGGAGCTTGCGGTCACGAGGCAGTGAGAGTGGGAGTGGGAGTGATGGGGAGCACAGCAGAGTGAGCTTCAGTGGGAGTGAGGAGGGCGAGAGGGAGAGGCGGAATAACAATGGTAATGGCGTGCACAGGGAAGGGCAAGTGCCTGTGGCAACAGCAGCAAGAGGAGCAGGGGGAGGGAGTGGCGGGGGGCCGGCAGGAGGAATGGGAATGGGCAGCAGTGGGCGAGGAGGCATGGGCAGGGGGGTGGGAGGAGGGAGAGCAGGTGGGAGCGGAACTGCAGCAGCAGGTATGGGTGGGGCGCCGAGCCTGGGTGGTAGGGCCGGGAGAGGTCCGGGTGTGGTTCGTGGCATGGCCGGTGGCATGGCACGGGGCGGCATGGGCGGCAGAGGGGGCATGGGCGGGCGGCACAGGCGCACGAGCTCGGAGTCACAGGCAGCAGCGGCGTTCTACAGCGCGCCTGGAGATGACTTCTTCTGGAGCGGTGGGGGTGACACTGGCGCCCCCCCTGTGAGGCAGGGCGGGCAGCGGGGACTAGGGCAACAAGGGCTGGGTCAGGGGCAGAAGCAGCAGGGGCAGGAGAGTGTGGGGGCAGGACGGAGTTTGCAGAGAGTCGGGGGAGAGGCGGGGAGGGGAGGAGGCGATGTGGGGAGGGGGAGGTTGCAGGGTGTAGGTGGGCGTGGTGGGGCTGCTGGCGCTGGTGCCAGTGGGAGGGGTGCGGGTGGGCCAGGTGGGAGAGGGCAGGGAGGGGTAGGGAGAGCTGCAGGGAGTGTTGGCAGGGGGGGTGGCGGCTCTGTTAGAGCCCAGCAGCAGCAGCGACAGCAGCAGGGGCAGCCGGAGCAAGAGCAGGGGCAGGTGCAGGGGCAGTGGGGGGAGCAGGCGGAGGAGTGTGAGCCGCCGGAGCTGCAGAGGGAGCTGACGTTCCGAGTGAACCTGGAGGAGCCGGCGATTGAGAAAGAACCCGCGCTGGAGCGCGAACTCACCTTCCGCATGGGCGCCAGTTGATTGCCCACCTGATGGGGTCATGGGGGGCTCCTGATGGAGTCATGGCACCTGATGGGCTCAGGCTCCTGATGGGGTCATGGGGGGCTCCTGATGGAGTCATGGCGCCTGATGGGCTCAGGCTCCTGATGGGGTCATGGGGGGCTCCTGATGGAGTCATGGCGCCTGATGGGCCCAGGCTCCTGATGGGGTCATGGGGGGCTCCTGATGGGGTCATGGGGGGCTCCTGATGGGGTCATGGCACCACGTGATGGGGTCACATGATCACATCTCACAGGGGGGAGGAGGAGTAGGGGGAAGGAGGGCCTGATGGGCTCACATTCCGCCTGAGGCCCACCTAGTGAGCTCCTGTCAGCGAAGCAGAGAGAGAGAGAGCGTGTGGCAGGTGGTGCACACATCACCCTTGTTTCTGATGCCCATTGCCCACCCACCTGTTGTGCTGCTCATGCGCGTGTTGGAATGCCAGCCGATCTTTCATGCGGTTGGGACAGACAGTCTTGCATGGTGTGGGAGGTACAGTAGTTTGTCTGTAGCGTATTCAGTTGTTTGCAGTATTTATGTAACCCGTGATGCAATCCAGGAGATTGTGACATGACTCTGAGGAGTGTACGGTACTGTCATCATTGAGCATTCAGTGGGCTGCTTGCTGTTTCTTTCTGGCATGACGCATTGGCGCCCTGTAGTGCTGTCCAATAACCCAAGAAGAGAACCCAACTGAAACCAGAGGAACCCAATAAGAGAACGAAAGAAAACCAAGGAACCTGAGGGGACCCAAGAAAGGGACCCAGGGTACTAATCCAAGGGAACCCTAGAGGGGAATCCAGGGTACAGTAACCCAAGAGAACCCAGGTTACCCAAGGGAAATAAGAAAGAAACCCACAAGAGAACCAAACGGAGCCCGTGTTCTTCCCACGTTCCTAGTAGGTCGATTACGGCGACATGGCTCAATTGGTTAGAGTGGTCGACTCATAAACGAGAGGTTGTAGGTTGGATTCTATAACATGGGGAACATGGCGAACATGGGGAACATGGCGAACATGGGGAACATGGGGAACACGGGACACGGGGAACATGGGGAACATGGGGAACACGGGGAACATGGGGAACACGGGAACATGAAACCCAAATCCCAGTGTACCCCAAGGGGACCCAACCCAACCAAGGGATTTGGAACCCTAGTGTTGCTCCTGGCATGTCACCGCACCACCGGTACTGTACGGTAGCTTGTTGTACCCATATGATATTTTTTTTATAACAAAAAAAGAATACAGATTGTGATTCGATTTGAAGAGGGGTTTGCTGTAAAGGAGACAGACTCCTTTACCTTTCGGCAGGTCCACGGGACCTGCCACCTAGTCTCATGGCGACTGCACCGCACACTCCTCTGAAAGTCGGGTCACTATTGGTTCTCTTCAAGAAGCGTAGTGCTCGCAACTTTTACTGGTATGTATGTTTCCTTTCTTTACACTTCAAGGTTTAGGGTTGTGGCAGCCATGCAGCATCACATACATTTCTTGATGTGGTTACAGGTTACAGACAGAGCACTCTTAGACAATGCAGAAGATAGGGAAACCCAGTCACATGGCCATAATGAGAAACAGGTACCCCCCCCACTGATGCTTTCTCTAACAGGGATGAAGCAGAACAGCAACTGCGGTAGAAACCGACAGGTGATGTGGTGGTGGTGGTGGTGCATCAGCCAAGCATCTTTGCCCGTGCGAACAGCACTCCTGCAAAGCACCCTGCGGAAGGAGAGAGAGGAGAGGGAAGCAGGTGGTGGGGCGGGAGAGATGAAACAGGTTGATGTGACGAAGGAATAGAGGGGTGCTGGTTGGTGAAGCGCAGCCAGCAGTCCAGGCTTTTTATTGTGAAGATGACGGCAATTTGTTTATTCCGTGATGGGAATGGCTACTAGTCCAGCCCTTTTACTCCGTGAGGGGGAGTGGCTCAGTGAAAATAGCAATTAGGGTGCAGGCCTAGTGCGGAAGTCGAGTTTTGAGTCGACTCAAAACCCGAGTTATCACAGATAGCAATTAGGGTGCAAGCCAAGTGCGGCACGCACCCAAAACTCGACTCAAAACTCGACTTATCACAATAGGGTGCAGGCCTAGTGCGGCACGCACCCAAGAGGATGGAGGGGAGAGGGGGGGGGTCGATGCACTGAAGAGGATAGAGAGGGGGATGGAGAGGGGAGTGGGAGTGCCGTGGGAGTGGGGCACGCACCGAAGAGGATGGAGGAGATGTTGGCAGCGTTGGTGGGGGCGTTGAAGAGAATGATGCCGAAGAGGGAGAGTGGGATCTTGTTCAGCGACCCCACCAGACTGCCACAGGGGATGATGGGCACACGGGTTGGCATTGGAACCACCGAGTCGTGGCGGCACAGGTTTGCGGGACCAGAGGTTTGTGGCAGCACAGGTTTGTGGGGGCAGAGTTTTGCAGGGGACAGGGTGGGTGGGTACAGGGTTGGAGGGAGAAGGTTAAGAACTTCGGGGTTTGGGTGAAAGGATGGCATTGATGTGCCGGGTGATGGCATTGATGTGCCGGGTGATGGCAAGTGTGCAGCACGCGGAATACGGGCCCTCTGTGTGCTGTGCACGTGCACCTTAGGTGGGGCATGGGCAAGGGCATGGCACATGGTACTGTGGTGCACCTGTAGGTGGTGCACTTGGAGGTGCTGCACTTGAAGGTGGTGCACTTGTAGGTGGTGTACTTGAAGGTGGTGCACTTGTAGGTGGTGCACTTGTAGGTGGTGTACTTGTAGGTGGTGTACTTGAAGGTGGTGCACTTGTAGGTGGTGTACTTGTAGGTGGTGTACTTGTAGGTGGTGTACTTGTAGGTGGTGTACTTGAAGGTGGTGCACTTGTAGGTGGTGTACTTGTAGGTGGTGTACTTGTAGGTGGTGTACTTGAAGGTGGTGCACTTGTAGGTGGTGTACTTGAAGGTGGTGCACTTGTAGGTGGTGTACTTGTAGGTGGTGTACTTGTAGGTGGTGTACTTGTAGGTGGTGTACTTGTAGGTGGTGGGCGAGGTCTGGTGTGCGAGGTGTGGTGTGCGAGGTGTGGTGGGGGAACCACATGAAGGTGATACCTGTAGCAAGCTGTACGGTACATGCTGTGATGCTGTGCTGCTGTGCTCATGCCACATACCTGTAGGTGGTGGGCGAGGAGGGCGTACCTGTAGGTGGCGGGCGAGGAGGGCGTACGTGTAGGTGGTGGGCGAGGAGGGCGTACCTGTAGGTGGTGGGCGAGGAGGGCGTACCTGTAGGTGGTGGGCGAGGTCTGGTGCAGGAACCACATGGAGGTGAAGGAGATGGCGAGTCCCAGCAGCCCACTCAGCGTCACCGCCACCCAGAACCCCCCGTTCAGCATCAGCGGACTGCCAAAGAAGGGAGGGGGGGGGGGCATGGGATGAGGCGGGCCTGGGTGAATGAGCACTTTTGAGTCGACTCAAAAGTCAACGAGGGCCTGGGTGAGTGAGCTCTGCTACCAGCGTTGCATGCAAAAGATACGGGTAGATAGTCACAAGCAGGCAGTGATTCCGTCGCGAGCAACTCAGTAGATCAGGAAGCATGCAGCGGACTCACGAGTGCAGGAATCTTGGGGTGCAGGAGGCATGGCTGCAAGGCTGCTATCAACTCACGAGTGCACGAGTTATCAACTCACGAGTGCACGAGTTATCAACTCACGAGTGCGCGAGTTATCAACTCACGAGTGGAGAAGGTATTTGGTTTCACTGAAGGCGATGATGAGGAGGATGGCGGGAGGGAAGGAGAGCGCGTTGTTGAGCAGCACCATTGTGAACTCCGAGAGCTGCCCGCTCTTGGTCGCCGCCTTGGCACTGTCCATCACCCTGCGCAGCGTTAGCTGTTGGGGGGGGGAGGGAGGGGTGGAGGGAAGAAGGGAAGGAGGTTTGAAGTGTCTTAGTGCCACCCTGTCCCTCACGTCACCTTGCGCTGCTGGTTTGGGAAGGGGATGGGGGGAGAGGGAGGAAAGGGAGGGGAAAGCGGGCAAGGGAGGGAAGGAGAGCGCGTTGTTGAGCAGCACCATTGTGAACTCCGAGAGCTGCCCGCTCTTGGTCGCCGCCTTGGCACTGTCCATCACTCTGCGCAGCGTTAGCTGGGGATGGGGGGGGGCGGGGACGGAAGGGGATGGAAGGGGAGGGGAGAGAGAGCGGCGCAATGGGATGGGAAGGGCTGTGCTGACTGGCTGAAAGCTGTGAGGCCCTGTCCGCCCATGCTGGGGCGATGAGCGTGGCAGGACGGGACAGAGCACATAGCGAAGCACCGTGGAGAGCTCTCGGCACATCAACGTTTAAGTTCTTATTCAGGCTGTAACTAACCATGGGCACACAGTAACGAGTTGCGGCATACCGAGTACGCGGCGGTGAAGAAGCAGTTGAAGATCTGCCACGTGTAGCCCACTGGGTGGAAAGCCAGGTCTGTGAAGCCGCCACAGAAGGCCGATAGGATCTGCCATGCCACGTGGCACGGGAGACATGGGGAGCAGAGAGGCACACAGGAAACATGGATAGCACAGGGCACACAGGAAACACGGGAGGTGAGGGAAGAGGGCTGAGAACGCTGCAAGGAGATGGTGAGGCACGTGGGCGAGAGAGGACGCAGGGCGAGGATGAGTGGAGGCGTGCTGGAGGGGGGGTGGAATTTGCAGCATGGCACAGTGAGAACGTGGCTCTGCCATGCAGCACGGCACAGTGAGAACGTGGCACTGCCATGCAGCACGGCACAGTGAGAACGTGGCACTGCCATGTGCGGGCATGCGGATAGAGAGAGTGCGGTGACAGGTGATGCCGCACAGCATGGCATGAAAGTGCCACAACGATGTGAGTGTGTGTGTGTGTGTGTGAGAGAGAGAGAGAGAGATGGGCCACACGCTCCGTCTCGTCAGCCTGAGAGGCGAAGGAGCGGGGGCATGGCTGCAATGCAAGCCCTGCCCCTGACACCAGACCTCTGCTTTTCACCAGGGCAATTCCGAACAGCCCTGGCCTTCCGCATGGGTATCCGCCAGAATGTACCTACCGTGTGCGAGTGTGGAGAACTCGTAGCCGACTGCAGCCTACCCAACCACCTACTCCGCTGCAGCACAGGCCCCGACAGGACGCGCACACACAACCAGCTGGCATTCGCCGTGGCTAAAATGGCGAGGGAGGCAGAGCTGGTGGTATACCTGGAGAATGCGATGTACTCACCGCCGGATGACCCGAAGAAGGCAGATGTGATTGTACGTGACCCGGACAGTGGAGAGACTTGGATCACAGACACTACTATCACTGACCCTGTGCTACAGAACCGAGACCCGACAGCCCGCAAACCCCCAGGCTGGGCTGCAAGGGAGGCACAGAGGCGGAAGGAGAGGGACTACTACAGGCACACCGAACACGTGGTGTTCTGCGCCCTGGCCGTCGAGACATACGGGGCAAACGCGCCCCCCACGACAGCGTTCCTTAAGCTGCTGGCCACAGCAGCGGCTAGGAACAGGTCCAGGGCCAACCCCTTGGCCAAATCGGCCAAGAAGATGGCCTGCCACTTCAGCCAACGCTGGTCAGTGGCCCTCCAGCGCTCCCAAGAGAATGCCCTGCACACCAAGGCCAGGGCTGGGATCGAGGCAGCGCACCCCCAGATGGCAGCGGACCCCTGGCCACTGCACCTGGGGGACATCCTCCACACGCTGGAGGGCTAGAGGGTCACTCAGGGGGGGGGGGGGAAGAGGGGTGAGTTAAGGGGCCTAAGGGAAGGAGGTTATCATGGATTGCACTGCATGTTCTTGTACCCCTGCTGAATCAATACAAAGGACCGTTTGAGAGAGAGAGAGAGAGAGAGAGAGAGAGAGAGAGAGAGAGAGAGAGAGAGAGAGAGAGAGAGAGAGAGAGAGAGAGAGATATGGGATCGAGGTTATCATGGATAGAACTGCATATCTGTACCCCTGCTGAATTAATACAACGGACCATTTGAGAGAGAGATAATTCATCAGGAAGAGCGAGCCTACCATGAGGAAGAGCGAGCCTACCATGAGGAAGAGCGAGCCTACCATGAGGAAGAGCGAGCCTACCATGAGGAAGAGCGAGCCTACCATGAGGAAGAGCGAGCCTACCATGAGGAAGAGCGAGCCTACCATGAGGAAGAGCGAGCCTACCATGAGGAAGAGCGAGCCTACCATGAGGAAGAGCGAGCCTACCATGAGGAAGAGCGAGCCTACCATGAGGAAGAGCGAGCCTACCATGAGGAAGAGCGAGCCTACCATGAGGAAGAGCGAGCCTACCATGAGGAAGAGCGAGCCTACCATGAGGAAGAGCGAGCCTACCATGAGGAAGAGCGAGCCTACCATGAGGAAGAGCGAGCCTACCATGAGGAAGAGCGAGCCTACCATGAGGAAGAGCGAGCCTACCATGAGGAAGAGCGAGCCTACCATGAGGAAGAGCGAGCCTACCATGAGGAAGAGCGAGCCTACCATGAGGAAGAGCGAGCCTACCATGAGGAAGAGCGAGCCTACCATGAGGAAGAGCGAGCCTACCATGAGGAAGAGCGAGCCTACCATGAGGAAGAGCGAGCCTACCATGAGGAAGAGCGAGCCTACCATGAGGAAGAGCGAGCCTACCATGAGGAAGAGCGAGCCCCAGACTTTGGAGGAGTGGCGCTTGCGGAAGAGGTACATCTCGCCCACCGCTGTTATCAGGTTCGTCACGTTCTTCAGTATCGTCACCATGGCCACCTGCATGTACTGTAGACTGGTGGGGGGGGGAGAGGGGAGGTGGGAGGGGGATGGGGATGGGCGGGGAGGGGCAAGGAGGAGGAAGGGATGAGGTTCGTCACGTTCTTGAGCATCGTCACCATGGCCACCTGCATGTACTGTAGACTGGTGGGGAGGGGAAGAAAGAGAAAAGGATGGTTGACGCACTTGAGTGTTGGGGATGAGAGATAATGAAAGGTTGGATTGAGAAGATTAGAAGCTCAGCAGCAAGACAGCTGAACAGAGGGACACCTGATGAAAGAGGGAGGGCACCTGAAGAATCAGGCAGAGCACCTGAAGAAACAGACAGGGCACCTGAAGGAGGGAGAGCACCTGAAGAAGGAGGTGACGAGCATGCCAACGAAGATGAGGTTGACTGGTAACCAGACGGTCATGAGTCGCAGCGTGAGGGGCTCCGTGGCAATGACGCCCATATACACCAGCACCAGCACCACTGTCACGCTCACCAGGTTCTGCAATGCGCGCACGAAACCATAGCCATATGGTATTGTGGGATTGTGGGCCGTGTGCACGGGGAGGGGGGGGTGAGTGAGGAGGCGATGCACAGGTGCGGAAGGCAGGGAGGGCGGTGAGAAGGACAGTAGAGGAGGAGAAGGCAGGGAGCGGCGTAAGAGAATTGATGCTAGCATGATGCAGGGTGCTGGGCAGCAGGGCGTGCGGGGGGAAGCATGTTATAAGAAGGGGACGGGGCAGGGAGGTAGGAAGAAAGACGGGTGGGAGAGATGGAAGGACCGGGAGGTGCAACTACAAGGGTGAATAGGGCGGGTGGGCAGGCAGGCAGACGGGCAGAAAAGAAGGGCGGGAAAGGGAGGGGGGAAACGGAAGGGGCAAGTGAGGGAGGCAAAGAGGGAGGGAGGGAGGGAGGGAAGGGGGTGGGGGGCGTGCCTGGTAGAGCATGAGCGAAATCTGCGCGTCCCAGTGGTAACCCGACAGCACCACTTTGTTGAGTAGAATCATGGAGCACGACGAAGCGCAGTAGCACATGCCCGACACCAGCGCGCTCCCCGCCACCTGGAACCGCCGCGACCGCCGCCCGCCCCCGCTCGCGCCCACCGCCCAGTTGTCGTCGCGCTTGCGCTCAGACGCGGAGTCCGCGCGGAAGAAGCTCGCGAGCTTCCCCTCGGACGCGGAGCTTCCCCCGCCGCCGGGGGAAGGGCCCGCGCCGCCGCCTATGCTGTTGCTGTGGTGGTGGTGGCGCTCCTTCGGGCCCGCGCTTCCGCCGACGGAGAGGAGGGGCGAGCGGAGATCCGCCTGCTGCGCGCCTTCCTCCACATCAGCCGCCGCGTGCGATCTGCATGCGACGCGGCGAGATGGAGTGGTTAGTGCGTTGGACTCACTGGCGGCATGTGCGGGCGCAAGCTGGGCGGCGAGGGATTACGACGCAAACGCAAGGTGTCGTACCTGGGTGTTAGACTTGGCAAGTTGTGACTTTTGCTCCCCATGCTGCCGTGCGACGAGCGCTGTGCGACCTGTTGTTCTGCGATGGTCACAATGCCCGGCGCGAAATTTCGCAAAGTGGTGGTAAGAGCTTCCAACGCGTGCCGTGACGAGCTAGCTATCTACGCAATGGTCTGTGCAGCGCTCTGTGAGATGCTGTCTGCGACGGTCTATGCGATGCTGTCTGCGATACTTTGTCCAAAGCACTAAGCGGCTCCATTCTGCAGCATGGCGGGCAATCACCAGAACTATTACGAACAATCGAGAGCTTATAACGAGAACGGCCCGGCTGGTCCTGGTTGTGAGTGTCGTATACCGCACGGTAATGTCAGAATTAGATTCTGCACCGACATAGTGAAATCATGACGACTATCAAATCACAGTCCAATTTCAAATAATCGGCGAACAAAAATATTCGCTTTCAGAGCCCGTATGAGCGAGATATTGAAGCGCAGTCTTCTCCGGAGGTCTAGTCGATATCAAGCGACGCCAAAAGGCGATATCCTCGTCACTGCTCGGCTTTAGTAGATGCTCTACAACGACGCCTCGGCTTTAGTAGTGAATCACGATGTTGATGGTGAAATACCAGGCGAGTAGGTGCTGCTGCTGCCCTACACCTACATTCTGCTGTGGGATGTATTTGATTCGATGTGTCTGCAAGGTTGGTGGGTGGGTCGGCGAGTCTTGACGAAAATCGTAACAAATGATGGCGAAAATCTGGAGCAAGGGCAGGTTTGAGCATCTGTTACATTTATTTCGTTAGTGCAAAACACAAGCGGCTGATGTGGAGGGCACGGCGTACCTGATATAAACAGCATAAATTGTTTCGTTGTGAAACCGTAATGCTTGTGTACCGCGCAAAATCATCGAAACGTTGACGTATGTTTCACCTTCAACTGAATCTGTATTTTCACAACTGCACTTGCACCACCAACCGAACAATTCGCAGACCACTGCCTCCAGCGTTCGCAAACCCTCGTTACAAGCTCGAAACCGTCATCCACTCCCCATTCATATTTGCGCCAAGGCAGCTCGTCCTCGGGCAAACACAAACCGCTTCCCAAACCACTTTCTCCCCCTCACCCCGTCCCCTGCGCTGAACCTACAGCTTTTCCCCAGTCTCCGCGGACTGCGCCCCTGGCGCAACTGACCCCCCGTTCGCACTCGGTTGTTCAAATCGCCAAACCCTCTCTTCAAACACCACCCTGCCATCACTCCCTCCCTGTTTCCGCCCTACCTCTGACCCTAGCTCCATGGCTCCCGTGTAATTACCTCCTCCACTCCTCCCAAGACACACCGTTCTCAAGACCAAGACTCAATTTCGCGCCCACACAACATCCCCGACACGCCAGGCGTCAATTTGAAAATTGCTTTGTTTGAATTTCCGACAGGAGTATCATCGCGATTCGTCGTTCGTGTTCCCTAGACTGTACGACCGTGCTTGTCCATCCCACTCACGCGTTTAAAAGAACTGCCACCTCTCCACACGCGAAATTTCTCCGCCTTAAATCTTCACTGCTGAGTTCCGTGCTCCATTTCTAGTTCGCGCATGTCGCATCATCTGCCGCTGCTCCCCGGAATGGTGGACGACGGGCCGCTGGGCGTGGCGGGCGCGTACGACGACGCGCTGATGGCGTCAGCGGCGGACCGCCAGTCGCACTGGGGCTTCCACGAGACCAAAGAGCTGATCGCGCTGCGCGGCGAGATGGAGCGCGATTTCGTGCCGGGGCGCACGAGCAACCACGTGTGGGAGACGATATCGGCGCGCATGAAGGAGAAGGGGTACCGCCGCACGCCCAACCAGTGCAAGTGCAAGTGGAAAGTGCTCGTTAACCGCTACAAGGTACCCACTTGCAACGCCCGCCACGCAATCCTGTCGCATTTCGGAGTTAGTGCTGGTCTGAATTTTTCTTTCTTTTCTTCCGTTTTGAACTTTCTATCCTCCTAATTTCCCCCCCGCGACCGTCTCCTCGTTCCGAACGTCCCCCACGCACCCCCCGCCAGAACAAGGAGCTCTCGGCGGACGGGTCGCGCTCGTGCCCGTTTTTCGAGGAGCTAGACGCGATTTTCAAGCAGCGCGCGCGCAACATGGACCGCCTGCTCGTGCAGGCGGAGGGCGGCGGCACGCCCGGCGGAATCGGCGCCACCGGCGGCATCGGCAGCGGATTCTCCGCAGGAGAGGGCCGGGCCGGAGCAGTCGGAGGAACCCTGGGCATGCGCGGAAGCTTCGGCGGCGGGCTGGGCGCGCGGGGGGGCGCGGGGGGCGTGGGAGGGGGCTTGCTCACCCGGCGGGCGCGAGACGAGGAAGAGGAGGAGGAGGAAGACGAGGAGGAGGGGGAGGACGAACTAGAGGGCGAGTTAAACGTGCTGCGCAACAAGAGGCGCAAGCGCGACTTCAACGCTGGCGCGCGCAAGGCCGCCACGGGCGCCTACGGCGTGGGCTCCCCCGCCATGGGGAAGGGCGCCTCCGCTGGCGCAGGGGGCAGCGCTGGCGGAGACGCGTTTGATGGCATGGGCGGCGCGGGCAACGGGGGGGGGGACAGGCGCGCGGTGCTGGAGAGGCAGCGCGCGGGGAGCATGCAGGAGGTGCTGGAGCAGTTCTTCGTGCAGCAGCTGCGCCTGGAGCAGGAGTGGCGCGAGGCCATTGAGCGCCGCGAGGCGGAGCGGCGCGTGCGGGAGGGCGAGTGGCGCAGCAGGCTGGAGGCGCTGGAGAGGGACCGCGCTCAGAGAGAGTCCATGTGGCGCCAGGTGGGTGTGGGGGGGAAGATGGGTGTGGGGGGAAGGGGGGGGAGGGTTAGGTGGGTTTGTGAGGGGACAGGTGGTTTTGGGGGTTGCATGTGGGTAACCAATCACCTTGGCAGCCTCCCGCGCTCCTGCTGCCCTTTTCCCTAAGAAAGCCTTCCATCCCTTGCGCCCATGTACATATGTGTAAGTGTGTGACTGTGCGTCTCTGCATGTGCGCTGCAGATGGAGGCGGAGAGGGCAGCGAGGGAGGACGAGAGAGCAGCGCGCAGGGATCAGCTCATCATCGCTCTCATCACCAAGCTCTCTGCCCCGCCTGCTCCACCCCCTGCTGCACCCGCTCCCTCTGCACCGCCTGCAACCACCCCTCCTGCTGCCCCTGGCACTGTTGCTGCTGACACTGCTGCTGCTGCTGCTGCTGCTTCCCCCAATTCAGCAGCGCCAGCCACGGTGCACAAGCTGGGGGCTGCAGTGGGTGGGACTATCGCTGCTGCTGAGGCTGCAGCTGCTGATGTCATTGGAACTGCTGCTGCGGGTGGTGGTGGTGCTGGCAGTGCGGGAGAAGGTGGAGGTGGGGAGAAGGATGGGGTGGGTGCTGTGCAAGCAGATGCTGCCATGGGTGGGGTGCAGGAGCCTATTGCAGTGTAGATGACTTCAATTTACCAATCGTTTTGCAGGATGTGTTTCTGGTTCCTGGAAGGGTAGATTCTTAATAAAATGGCTGTACTCACTGGCCTCTTAGCTTTCTCGTATTTTTTTGTTGCTTTTTTCTGCACCACTACCGTAACTGGAATCCGGCCTTACTGCAACTCCTGCAGCCTCCACCTGAACACAGGGAGCCGTGCTGCAAACAGTCTTTGAATTTGCTTCCAAATTTAATTGCAAATGACATGAAAAATAGCACGCGATGAAGACAGAGCAGTGCATAAAGCCCTTGTTACAGCAGGCCACAGCTAGCCCACACAATGGCGTTGAGACGAGCCCGGTCAAACGAGCTCCTCCTCCCTCACAGCCCCCTTGAGCCCCTTCACCTCCGTCACCTTCTCCTCTATCTCCCGCCTCAACTCCTCCCTCCACAGCTCCTCCCTGCCCCCCTCCTCCTCCTCCTCCGCCTGCAAAGGGGCAGAGATCATTTGATGGGAGGGCAGGGGAGGACAGTGGGGAAGGCAGGGGAGGACAGCGGGGAAGGCAGGGGAGGACAGCGGGGAAGGCAGGGGAGGACAGCGGGGAAGGCAGGGGAGGACAGCGGGGAAGGCAGGGGAGGACAGCGGGGAAGGCAGGGGAGGACAGCGGGGAAGGCAGGGGAGGACAGCGGGGAAGGCAGGGGAGGACAGCGGGGAAGGCAGGGGAGGACAGCGGGGAAGGCAGGGGAGGACAGCGGGGAAGGCAGGGGAGGACAGCGGGGAAGGCAGGGGAGGACAGCGGGGAAGGCAGGGGAGGACAGCGGGGAAGGCAGGGGAGGACAGCGGGGAAGGCAGGGGAGGACAGCGGGGAAGGCAGGGGAGGACAGCGGGGAAGGCAGGGGAGGACAGCGGGGAAGGCAGGGGAGGACAGCGGGGAAGGCAGGGGAGGACAGCGGGGAAGGCAGGGGAGGATAGCGGGGAAGGCAGGGGAGGACAGCGGGGAAGGCAGGGGAGGACAGCGGGGAAGGCAGGGGAGGACAGCGGGGAAGGCAGGGGAGGACAGCGGGGAAGGCAGGGGAGGACAGCGGGGAAGGCAGGGGGTGGAACGGCAGCAGAGGAGAGGGCAGCAGAGAGGGAAGGGGGGTTTGATGGCACGGTCTCGCAGTCACAAGAAGGGTTGGGGCACAAGGCCAGGGCAGAGCGGGAAGGGGCCGGGGTTGTGAAGGGTGTGCGGAGGAGGGAGAACGGCATGTGGATATCATCAAGGCGCAGAAACAATCATGCCACTGCCGCATGGCAAGAACTAATTACACGCACCTCCCCCTGTGTGCCTACATGCCTGGTGTACCTGCATCCCTGGTGTGAAAACATCCCCCGCCAAATCCGGCGCCTCCTTCCCCCCCCTCCCAACCCTCCCTCTCCCTTTTTGTGCCAACACCCCCCGTGTGTGAGCAGCAGGTGGGGCATGGGCGTGCGACTGACCCGTTGGTAGATCCAGAACTGGGTGCCGTTGCCGCCCGCATTGCGGTACTCGTCGCTCTCGTAGTACTCGTCCTGTGGGGCACGCGCAGGGGGGAAGGGGGGGGTAGGGGCATGCGCAGGGGGATGGTGGGGCCACGCGGAGGGGGGGTGGGGACACGCATGGCGGAGGGGAAGGGAGCACGTGCAAACACCGTCAAAAGGGACGAGAGACGGTTGAAATGGCGAAAACGCCAGTGCTACACGCTGCTCCTGCTTCTGCTGATTCTGCTACGGCTACTACTGCTGCTGGTGCTACTGCTGCTGCTGCCATTAGCATTGCTGTATCTCTTGCCCTGCTGTGCGTTCGTGGACGGCAGGAGATGTGCCGTGCGGGGAAGGGAGGATTTGAGAGACGGGGGTGTAACGCGGTACCATGCGGTGAGAGGAAACGGGAGGTGAGAGGGTATGGGGACTAGAACGGAAAGTAGAAATGTAGGAAGAAGGAATGGGGGAAGATGGGCCCGGGGAAAGGGATGGAGGGGAGGGGGAGGGAAAGGAGAGAAATCGCAAAGGTGCAATGGGAGGGCGGGATGGAAACGCGGAGGGGGTGGGAAAGAGAGGGAGGGACAAGGGGGGGAAAGGGGGTGGGGCGGGGGGACGGGCAGGAGTATGGGGGGAGGCGCAATAAAGGGGGAGCGCGCACGTACGTTCATGGAGCCGAAGACGAGCGCGCCCCAGCAGAAGACGCACGTGAAGATCATGTCTGCACGCCGGGGTGGGATGGCAAGGTGAGGGGAAATGGCACAGGGGGGAGTGGATGGGGAGGCACAAGTGGAGGGGGGAGGGAAGGGGGGGAGATATGGAGATAGGATGTTAAAAGCAGGAGGGAATAGAGCAGCGAATCCCAGCCAAAAACGAACGTTTTCCGGTTTGTTTGGATAGGAACTGGCGTGTAGGTGTAAGCAGGTTGGACGCCGAGTCGAGTGAGTATGCTTGACTGGTTCTCGTCGAGGGGTTAGTCGTACTTATTCGGTTCGACACATCTACGGGTCCGGGCATACCAACGGTTTGAATGGACCTAAGGGAAAAAAAAAACAAGTCGGCTTGCATACGGAGAATAAAAAATGTGGGTGCAAAAGCGTACAGAAGGCCTTCACGGCTTCACGAAGACGGCTTACAGAAGGCCTTCACGGCTTCACGAAGACGGCTTACAGAAGGCCTTCACGGCTTCACGAAGACGGCTTACAGAAGGCCTTCACGGCTTCACGAAGACGGCTTACAGAAGGCCTTCACGGCTTCACGAAGACGGCTTACAGAAGGCCTTGAAGGCGGGCTCGGTGATGTGGAAGTCGGAGAGCGCCGTGAAGGTGTCCATGGCGTTGGGCAGCTCCGCCTCCACGAACGCCAGCACCAGCGGGAGCGCCGCCACCGGCGCCGAGAGCAGGCGGAACGGCGCGGAGGCGGGGCGACGCGCGGGGGCGGCATCGGTGGACTTGGGGGTGCGAGCCTGCGGGAGACGACGTGAAAGAGGAAAAAGGGAGAGGGAAAAGGGGAGCGGGAAACGGGAAAGAGTGGTGGGGGGAGGCGGACACGCAGGAGGGAAAAGAAGAAGGCACTCAGTGAGCGTCGCAAGGGTGGTCGCCTGATCTGACGCTGGGGTGGCGTGGCCCGCTTTATCGGAAGTCGGACATAATGGCATTCGCACGATTGCTGACATTGTCGTCAGGAACAAGGAGTGTTGAGCTGGAGGTCAGCCTTCATAAGAAGAAGCACCACGGAACTAAGATGAAAATTAGGGTGGAAGGAGGATGACAAGACGGTCGCCGCGGAGGATAAGACAGTAGCACTAGAGATAAAACCGCTGCAGCGAAAGAAAAGACAGTGGTAGAAATGGATGAGACAGCCGCAAGGAAGGGCGAACTGTCAGCAAGTGTGCATTGTGGCTCAGCCTGACATCAACACCTACTGCTCGTGCCTACAAGGCTGAAATGCCGTCTACCGAAGACTGAGATGAGCTTAACGAGCGGCATGCGGCAACGCTCCGTAACGACACTAGTACAGCAACGGAGGACACATTAACTCCGCATTGATCTCTTACATATCCAAAACGTACAGTCACGAATCCTGGATCACTTTGCGTTCTAATCACGCGACCCACAAGGACCTACCGCGCAGACGGCAACCAGGCGTTGGCTTCTGATTGGCCGGACGACGACGCTACGCTGGCCACTGGAAGCAGCGGGAAGAGTCAATGAGACTCTTGATGGCAAGGACGCGACAGCCTGAATGCACGCCATTTTGAATAATATAGATGGCGTTTTAGCAACGGCTCGACAGACAACAGACGACGAAACGTCGCAGAGCTACCGATTAGGGATTATGGAGAAGCGAGAAACTAGATGGCTGGGGACGAGGGACCAGCAGGGTAGGGTCAACGAGAACGAGCTCACGGTGACGTGCAGATGTGGCCCAGATGAGTGCTGACGCTGACGTGGCGAACCTCGATGTTTTAGAAGCAGGAACCCACGCATTCGTTTTGATCTAATAAAGTGTGAGCGCGTGTAAAAATACAGGTGGAAGTGAATTACCATTAGCACGTGATATACAAGCATAACCCCTTTTAGTAATAGCCCCTCATTAGTAGCAAAACTTATCCAACTACTGTTGAATACCATGTTAACGCCACCTAATATACGGAGTGACGCTGATGAATGGCGACGAAGCTTCACGCAAACTTCTAGCTCTCTTCAATAGACAACAAATGTGAAAGCCACGACGTCCATCTGCTAGCAAAATGTGACCCTCCTCAAATGTGAAACATACAGCCAATCGGTCACCTGTCAACATTCAAGAAGATGTCAACCGACTCCATCTGCAAATGGTCCTGTTGTTGGTCCTGGAAAATGTTGTCTTGCTGGGAAAGCTGATACGCTGGGATCTCTTGCAGTTGATTCAGATGCTGCTGCTGGTACTGCTGCTGCACTTGAGGCTGCTGCTGTTGATGCTGTGGTGGCATTGGCTGCTGGGGCTGCAGTGTTTGCTGAAGTAGCGGTGGCTGTGATGACTGTTGCTGCTGTTGTGGGTCTTGCTGGTATTGCTGATAGTGTTGGTTAGAGATCTGCTGCTGCTGCTGAGTTTTTTTTTGAAGCGATTGAGGCTGTTGTTGGTATTGGTTGTAATGACGGTGCTGTTGGTACTGAATCTGTTGAAACTCCTGCTGATACTGATTCTGCTGCTGTTGCTGCTGCAGCTGGTTCTGCTGCTGGGGTTGTTGTTGTGACTGCTGCTGCTGTTGCTGTTGATTTTGCTGTTGATGTTGATGCAGCTGTCCTTGATGCTGCTGGTACTGCTGCTGCTGCTGCTGCAGCTGCTGTGGTTGATGTGGCTGAAACTGGCGTGCATTAGCAGCATGGACCTGTGGCTGCTGCTGGTAAGTTTCATGAACCTGTCGCGAAAGGTCGACAGGGCTCTGGTACGAAGGGTTGATGGCATGGGCCACCTTACCAGGAGCCTCAGATATTGAATGGCTTCGCATCATTCCTCGAGCACGGGAATATCGAGGCTCAGGGACAGAGCTGCATCTCGTGAGAAAGGCAGGACGACTGGTAGAAATACCCGGCACAGGAGTTGAAGCAGGATGGCTTGAGGAGTTCGTAACCACAGGAGCTGGAGCGTAGCTCAGGTGATGGCCCATGTGTGACTTGTCAGAATAAGATGAAGCAATCTGTAATGACGCCGACCTCTGATGGGATGATACACAGGAAACGAAACACAAGAATTGCATTAGTTGAGATGTTGCAACACGTGTCAGGAAATTTGTGGGAGTCTGAGTTTGGATTGCAATGTACCTGCAACATGTTTGGCAGACGAAGAAGTGGGACTCTTGAACTGCTTCCAGGGGTATCATCATCTCCATCCCTCTCCCATATGGCAGCTCTTGGGGTGTGCTGAATCTGGTAATGTCCAGGCTGAAGTTGTCCACCTGCTGTCCCATGGTTACCAGACTGCGTAGGACCGCTGTTCAAACCCACGATGCTCGAGCTGACATCAAGGGACTTGGATGTTGAAGGGGCTCCGGGCGTGGTATTCTCAACTTGCAGCGACTGCCCAGGCTGGAAGGAGGAAGTGAACTGAGGACCAAGGTTGCCACTCAGCTGATATTGCTGAACACGACTGGAAGTGCTGCAGTTTATGCTTTGATTCATGCCTCCAGAATGAGGCACAGCCTGCTGGTCTTGAGGTGGATGTTGCATCCTGTGCTGCTCTTGCTGTGCTTGTGACTGGAAAGTTGTCGGATTCGTCTGCCATGTTGATGTTGCAGTGGCTCGCCTGCGCAAAACGGAGCGATGAATATGTAAGAAACTGGACGAGGAGGTCGTCATGAAGCTTACAAAGGGTAAGTGACTGTCTTACGAGTTGAGTCCAGAAGATGGCTCCACTTGTGCTGCGCCCATTGGATGAACCGGGGGAGGTAACGTGAGAGGCGGTAGAGCTGACCGTTCTCCCATTTGAGCACTTGATTCGCATCTTGAGTCGTTCTTGCGCTCCGAGACAGAAACGACTGCATGCTCATCGATATGCCTCGCCTGCGTGATAGCACTCTCAGCGATGCTGCTTGTCGCAGCGTTGATTCCGCCAGCTACTTCTGACGCAGGTCCGTCGGACGACGCAGCAGCAATGGATGCATTTGAGCCTGCAGTGCAGTTTTCATTTGTCTTCCGCGACCTATTTCTCCCTCTATGCATGTGACGATCACAATACTTCTGATCTTTGACAGCCTGCAAAGATGATAAAGCAGAAGTGAATCAGCCATGCATGTCAATACTGACGGCGCGGGTATGGAGGTGAAGAATGGAATCCATTATGTACCTCTCGAGAACACCGCCACTTCTTCCCATCAGTACGACGACACCTGTCAGGCTCCAAGTCAAGACGCATCGGGTGCATCCACTCGCCTGTTTTAAAAGACACGTCATGCGCATGAGGTTTCTGTAGAAGACAACGTAATTCTGAGTAAAAAATTCTGAGATAGTAGTTACCTCGCTCGCTTTCCCGATGACCTTTGGAGGTATCAGGGGATGCGTAAAGTGACGCAACAAGATCTTGTGGAGGAGAAACACCAGATACGAGATACTTAAATATCAAAGCTTGCTTCTCCAGTTGTTGCCACTGGCTTATTGTGAAAGGGCCTGCGTTAGGATCTGCATGATCCATTAGACAACAGAAGGTCAGACCTTGAAAGACGGAAAGAGCACGTGGCCGGGACCACGCCTTTAGATCAGAACCATTAGAAAAGGTTTTTGAGAAATCTACCTGCAGACACGGCTGAGTCTGGCGAGCCAGCTTGACCATCAGGGCTAATGTTTGTCAGCGGCGGGATTGATGAGAAGACAGGGGTTGTGAGAGCGGGAGGAGAAACCGGAGCTCCCATTATGTGTGGAGAACGGACTTCAGCGATAGGTGAGAGAGCGGGAAGCTTTCGTACAGGCGAGCACCGAAACGAGCTGGAAGAGCCTGGCGTCCTGGGTGTTGAAGAAGGAGAATAGTCTGCAGACAATGGAGAATCGTTGAGCTTCGGGGTTGCCAGTGACTGGTGATGGTCAGAGGTTAGAGCGAATTGCGGCTGACGTGCGATCAGTTGCGGGGAGTTTTGCAGTTTGCCATCGATCATTGGCTTCAGCTCCCTCGGATTGCTTTCAGCGTTGCAGACAAGTGCAGAGCTGTGGATGTTCTCTCCAGAAACTGCAGGGACTTCACTGGAGACTAACACAGGCAAAGTTTGAGATTGAGGGGGGGATTGACTACACGAAATCTTCACAGCTTGGTGCTCAAACTTCTGGTCCATCTGTTGAACAGGCGCCATTGCAATTCCAGTTACAGGTGACGGTGGCTGAACGAGTAGACTCATTGGGCTCCAGCTCAAGTCTCAACCAGACACCGCTCAGAATACTAAATTTCCGGCGCCTAACCTTGCGGTATAAAGGCAGAGATTCTCACTTCGTTCTCCTGAAATAGGGCTCTGAATCTCAGAACAGGGATTTCAACAAGCAAGCACGTGAAATATCGCCAGCTGAAACCTTCCACATGTTCACTGGCCTCCCTCAATGTTAGCAGATACACTGCTGTGTGTTCCCATTTTATCTGACTGGCTGCTGTGCTGGAGTCGTGCTAGTGTGCGTACATATGGCCCAGATTGTGTTTCGCCGGTTTGGTTCCGAACCAAGCAGCTTCTTCTCCTGCACATCCAGGGCCATGGCCCCTTCGCACCAAATCCCCATCATTTGTGCCCCCCAAGCCTATCTGTATAACCAGCAAGTCGCATGATTTGGTATGGGTTCATTTTCAGAAGCCAATCATCCTTTGTTCTCTAAAAGCCGCCAGACCGATTGGACAAATTGTTGAAGAGCACATCTGGAACTTGTCAGACTCAAGCATCTCCAAGCCTTCCGTATGAGCTTGATGAACCACTGAGATCAGCTTTGAGATGCGCGTGCCTCATTTTCAGGCTTGATGGTCGCTTGAAATGTGGTTGGTGGTTCTTGAAAGGGATTGAGCTTCCGTCTCTCCCGGCACTCCTGGAGCTGTTCAGATCCTAAAAGGCGGAAAGAGAGTGGCTGGACGCCTGGAGCTCAGCTTCGCGTCTACCAATCAACGAGTCGTCGAGTTCCTCAGCCAGGAATGCCGACTTTTGTGGCGGGTCCACCCTCCCGCCTCAACTTGACGGAAAAAGTGAACGTCTTCTCCGTCCCCAATCCCAAGAAGGTGCCTTCTCTGACAAACGAATATCTGTCACGAATTGGAGCAAAGCGCACCGTTGAGGCGGTCCACGATTTGTCGTACATGTAATTTGAAAAGATTGGAGCAAGTGCGAGTGTCAGGCGAATGGGATTCACGTGGCTGAAAGTGGCTGGAGAGTGGTTGAGACAGCTGACCGACGTCGGTGAGTTCTGACTTGTCACCCAATCTTTGGTCAGTCCATTTTGTGGTCAGGATTAAATTCAACACCTTGACAAAAGTGTTTCCTAAACAAGCGTCTATACATACATCTGAACTTTATTGCAAATTACTAAAGATCAGGCAGCACCATTCAATCACAACGGGTACTTCCTCTGAAGAGCATCCACATCATGGGCATCACAAGCTGGGAGTAGCTCCGCCTTTCCAGCGCAGCTTAATGCGATTCTCAGGTACTGCCACGCATTCTCTGCCGTTGGATTCATCGCAATCGCACGCACATAATAGCGGGCCGACTCCTCATACTTGCCTTGGTTGGCATATCCAATGCCCATGTTCGTCCATGCACGAACATAATTGGGCTTCAGATCCAAAGCCTGGAAAGCAAAAAAGATTCAGTAACAAAAAGAGCACAAATCAACTCATGAAACACACACACAAATTTGCTGAAGGGGTGCATCACCATGAGGGAACTTGAACAGGACTGCCTGTTGCATGCATACCTTCTGATATGCCTCAATCGCTTCAGCGGACTGGGCGCTGTTGGCCTGTGTGGCGCCCAGCTTGTTCCAGAGCGAGTAGTCGGAGGGGCGCAGCGCAAGGGCCCTACGGAAGGCTGACTTGGCACGGTCGTACTCGTGGGAGAGGTTGAACAGCACACCCAGCACCACCTGGTGTGGGAAAGCAAGTGAGGAGGGGAGAAAGGGGAAGGTGGTTTTGCTGTCCTCCATGTACTGAAAAGAAGGCAAGAGCACACAAGAGGCTGCCTTGGTATGACAAAGTAATCAAATCACCAAGGTATGCAACATCAGAACTTGACTGAGCATGGCATGGAAGGGCAGGGCATGGCATGGCATGGCATGGCAGGGCAAGGCCCTCCGGACCTGCAGGTCGGCATCCTCTGGCGCCATGCGAGCTGCCTCCGTGTACAGCTGCACCACCTGGCACACAGACATGCGCACATCCACACACAGATGCGCGCAAGCGCGCGCGCACACACACACACATGCACACACGTGCACACACACACACACACACCCCTCCCCCCTCACCCCACACACACACATGCAGACAGGCAGGGAGGAAGGGCGGTAAGACGTGCAAAAGGGAGACATTTGCGGAATGGTGTTTGAGTCAGCTTGTATCAGGGATGTTGGCGAGGGACTCGCGTATGGAGCTGGACAAGTGACAACTTTGCAGCAACATTGAGGCGCACAGGAATGATGCGCAGAGAGAGGAGAGCAGCGAGGCGAGCAACAGAGTAGAGCGAGGCAGTGCGGTGAGGCGGAGTGGGCATTGGATTGGAGGGGTGAGAGGGGTGAGAGGGGTGGACGCACGTCGGAGTGGGACATGGAGGCCGGGCCCGACGGTGGCACGAGGGTCTTGTACTTGGAGTGGTTCTGCAGCCAGCTGCGCAGGTGGTACAGCGCCTCTGCCTGCTCCAGCTCTGGAAACAGAGAGGGCGTGGCAGTAGGGAGTGGCAGTAGGGGGTTGGAGGGAGAAAGAGAAGTGCGGATTTGGCTGAGTGGGTGGGTGGTTGAGTCGAGACATGAAGAGCGTTCATGTGGCTTTTCAGGTGGTCCAGCACCTCCGCCTGTTCCAGATCTGATGGCAGGGGGAAGGGGGGTTGCAGCCGGGTGGGAGAAGGGAGTGGGTGGACATGTGGCTTGGCAGAAAAGCAGCCGCGCACATGGTGTGGCGCCGGGAATAATGGGGCAAGGAGGAGAATAGGTGGGTGGGACAAGGAGGGGGAGAAGGCGAACGAGAACAGTGAGGGAGCCTCTGTGGGCCAAAAGCGAGCAGAAAGAGGTATGTGATGTGCATGAGACGAGCAGAAAGAGGCATGTGATGTGCATGAGACGAGCAGAAAGAGGCATGTGATGTGCATGAGACGAGCAGAAAGAGGCATGTGATGTGCATGAGACGAGCAGAAAGAGGCATGTGATGTGCATGAGACGAGCAGAAAGAGGCATGTGATGTGCATGAGACGAGCAGAAAGAGGCATGTGATGTGCATGAGACGAGCAGAAAGAGGCATGTGATGTGCATGAGACGAGCAGAAAGAGGCATGTGATGTGCATGAGACGGGCAGAAAGAGGCATGTGATGTGCATGAGACGAGCAGAAAGAGGCATGTGATGTGCATGAGACGAGCAGAAAGAGGCATGTGATGTGCATGAGACGAGGGGCACTGACCGTTGGTGTGGCTGACGCCCAGAGCGAGCAGCACATCCAGGTTGGTGGGGTCCGCATCTCGAGCACGCGTCATGGCTGCTATGGCCTGGGAGCCATGGCAGGTATGGGCGTATGGGGAATGACATGGGGATGTCATGGGGATGGCATGGAGATGGCATGGAGATGGCATGGGGATGTCATGGGGATGTCATGGGGTTGGCATGGGGAAGAACCCAATCTCCCTCATCTCTTGTTGACCACTCCCGCAATGAGTGAGTGAGCACGGGGAGCACACCTGCCTGAGCATGAGCGGCCCACCTGTCGGTCGTCGTCGTTCTCGGCGTGGGAGACGCCCAGCAGGCGCCAGGCCTCGGCGTTGCCCTCGTTGCGCAGCACCTCCGCCTCCAACGCCAGTATGGCCTCGCTCAACAGACCTCTGTGTGGGGGTTGACAGCACAGCACGCAGGTCACATGACATGCATACACAGGTCACATGACATGCATACACAGGTCACATGACATGCATACACACAGGTCACGTCACAGACACACCGGGATTCAGGGCAGGGGGAACAGACTCGAGTGAGCACCACAGCACGGACAAGTCTCCTTAACAAGTCGTCTAACCGGATAATAAGTCTCTGTAACAGCTCTCACCCCACACGAAACCTCCTCCACGACAAAAAAAAAAAAAAAAAAAAACCACAGGAGGGGCTTTCACAGGCTAAAGAGCAGCCGCTCACGACTCACCATCAGAACAGGGTGTGCCCTTTTCCACTGGCCCTTCCCCATTGGCCCTGACTCACTGTCTGAAGAGGTCCCGCCCTGCTGGAAGGGCTGGGGGTGGCCCACATAGGGGTTCTTGCCTTGACATGTCTCACACACCAGGTGCCCTTGAATGAATGCGACGCACCCCCCACTCACCGCCTGAAGAGGTCTTGCCCTTGCTGGAAGGGCTGGGGGTGGCCCACGTAGGGGTTCTTGTCGGCAAAGGCGTAGGGCCAGCGCGATGAAGATGACTCCGCCCTCCTCTGCTGCTCGTCCCGCAGCTGCTCCTCCACGTACCTGGGTGAGGGGGCAAAGGGGGGGGGGAAGGGGTGGTGGTGGAGCGAAAAGAGGGTCGGGGGCCCAGAGAGTAGAGGAGAGAGAAGAAAGCAACAGAAGAGATAGGGAGAATGGTGAAAAGAGGCGCGCTGTTCATGTGGGCTGTGTCATGCATGCGTCCCAAGACGCGCAGTGAAGCCATCGTATCGTATCATGGCAATAATGGTGTATTGTATCGTATCGTATTGTATCGTATCGTATCGTATCATACCATATCGTATCGTATCATATCAGTGCAATGATGGTGTATCGTATCATATAGTATCGTATCATACCATGGCAATGATGGTGAATCGTATCGTATCGTATCATGGCAATGATGGTGAATCGTATCGTATCGTATCATGGCAATGATGGTGGCATACCGCTCGTACAATTCGAGCCACGCGCTGGGGTCACCATCCTCCATCACTCCCTCCGCCTCCGCATGTGTGTGCACATGTGGGTGTGAGTGTGCCATGGTAATGAGGCGCTATGGTGCTAGGGTCGCATCTGCATACTGCTCATACGACTCGAGCCACGTGCTGGGATCGCCATCCTCCACCATGCCCTCGCCCTCCACGTGCTGCTGCCCATGCACATGCCCGTGCGGGTGTGTGTGCACCATGGTAATGAGGCACTATGGTGCTAGGGGCGCATCAAGGCATACCGTTCGCACGACTTGAGCCACGCACTGGGGTCTCCGTCCTGCACCACGCCCTCCCCCTCTGTGTGTGTGTGCCTGTGCGGGTGTGTGTGTGGGTGTGTGGGTGCCATGGTGATGAGGCGCTATGGGGATGAGAGCATGCATACCGCTCATACGACTCGAGCCAGGCACTTGGGTCGCCATCCTCCACCACGCCCTCGCCCTCCGCGTGCGCGTGCCCGTGCGGGTGTGCATGTGCCATCTGCTGTGCAAACTCGTCCGCCCAGTCCCTTGAGTCCAGCGACGTTGATGACTCGTTCTGCCATGGCGCATGTGGGTGGGTGAGTGTGAATGGGAGGTGTGGTGTTGCTCTGATGACTCAGTGGACCAGTGACAAGTCAGCGTCCGCCTTCATGGCATGCAAGTGTACGCGCTCGTGCTGGTGAGGGTTTTTAAACTCGCTCACCCACTGCTTGCGCACTGCACCCCGCACCCCCCACCCCCACGCCCTCTTCCACTCACGGCTTACCCGGGCAGCGAATTCAGTGGCCCAGTCAGCGTCCGCCTTGATGGCATGTGAGTGCACGTGCTCGTGCTGGTGAAGGTTCTCAAACTCGCTCGCCCACTGCTCTGTTGCTGCTGCCGCTGCTGCTTCTGCAGGAGACACCTCCCTCACTCCGCCCTCCTCAGCTATCAGCTCGCCACGGCTCATCTTCGATACAAACTGCAGGAACTTGGATTGCTGGAGAGGGGAAGGGAGGAGGGGGGAGGGCGCGAGGGGGATTGGTGTTGCGGTCCCGAACGCTCATGGCTGGCGGCAGTAATAGATCCTGCTTGGACACCTCCCTCACTTCGCCCTCCTCTGCTATCAGCTCGCCGCAGCTCAACTTCAATACAAACTGCAGGAGCTTGGATTGTGGGCGGGAAGAAGGCGCGGATGGGGAGAGGGGAGGGAGGGGGCAAGTGACGAGTGCGAGAGAGGTGAGGATGGCCAGTGCTCACAATGAGGAAGCCAGATTGTGAGCACTGGTGGTAAGAGAGAAGGGGCGGCAGTCAGAACCCACCTGCAACAGCAGCACCTGGCCCCCAGCGTACCTGGAACTTGGGGTTGGGGTCCTGGGCCAGTGTGTCAACAATGCGCTGTGTCTGCTGCCTTGCCGCCACCCTCTCTGCTTCACTGCGCGGACCCCCCGCCCTCGCCTCCTCCCTCACGCGCTGCTGCTGCTGCCAGTCCTGGGAGGGAGAGAGGGATAGAGAGGGAGAGAGCGGTAGATAGAGAGATAGAGGCAAACAAGGCGTAGCAGGGCGGGAGTAGGGAGTTGGAGGTTAAAAAATCAGAATAGGAGAATAGGGGTAGGGGAGTGGGGGTAGGGACATGGGGTTGTAAAGAAACGGAGACAGGGAGATGGCAGTAGGCAGATGGGGTTAGGGGGATGAGGGTGCGGGAATGGGGATAGGAGGTGGGATGGGGATGGGACAGCGACGGAAAGAGGATGGCAAGAACGAGGATGGGAGGTGAAAGTGTGGGGAGAGAAAGAACTGCACATGAGAGTACCACCACACACCCACAACCACGGCACACCCGCACCCCACCACACACCCCACCGTACACCCATCGCACACCCACACCCGCACCCTGCCCTCGAGGCTCGTCCCCTTTCCCACCTCGGCAAATTCGTCCGCCCACCCCGTGCTGCTGCTCTCTCCCCCCTCCTCCCGCCACCTCTGCTGTTGCTGCGCCTCAAACTCCCCCACCCACCCCCCTGCGCCCCCCCCTCCGCCAACACCCGCCACCATCCCCCCCCCACCCGCCACCTCCCCCGCATCCTTCCAAAAGTCCTCAAACTCGCGGAACCTGCCCCCCAGCGGGCCAGGCGCGCCCATGAGCGCGCCCTCCGCGCCCCCCGCGCCCTCCCCCAGGTCCTCTATGCCCAGGGAGCGCAGCAGCGCGGCCACCTGCGCGGAGGCAAAGCCCTCCCCCTGCGCGCCCGCCCCCCCCTGGTGTGCAAACACGTGGCGGGCGAGGATGGAGGAGCGGTTGCGGATGCGCGCTCGGTCCGCAGGGGAGAGGTGCGCGAGGGGGGGGAGAGGCGCGTGGGGGTGCGCGGGGAGGGGGACGCCCGCTTGTGTGGAGGAGAGGAAGGAGTGCAGCAGCGCGCGCACTGCCTGCTGCTGCTGGGGGGGCAGCCCGGGGACTGAGGGAGAGGAGGGATGGGTAATGGGGGAGATGGGTAACGGAGGAAACGCAGAGCAGTTAAGTGGATGGGGATGGTGGAAAGTGGAGGGGAGAGGAGGAAGCAACGCACTTACTCCACCGAGACGTCTCAAAAGGAATCTCAAAGAGACATTGACAAGATGGCACACAAAGAACCAAGTGAATACTGATCCCATTCAGAAAATCCCATAGATGTCTTACTTGCAGGCGGTTGCATGGCAGCATCGCCACTGGCAGCAGCAGCGCCCCCATCCAGCGACATGCCGCCAAAGATCTGCTCAAACTCGCGAAAATGCGCCGCTGCTGCTGCGTCCGGGGGCGCCATGCCTGCTGCCATGCCTGGCGGCAAGGCCTGGGTGTGCCGAGCCTCGTTCCACAGGGCCTCTAGGTGAGCATCAGGTGGCGCTGCTGCCGGGCCTGCTGCGTGGAAGGAGGAGAGGAACTGCTGCGCCTGGAGGGAGGGAGACGGGAAGGGGGAGGGAGGGAGAGAGAAATTGGGGGTGGAGGGGGTGACAAAAAGGGATTGAGAAAGAGTTACAGCAAAGAGAAACTGTACTGCACAATAGCCGCAAAGCAATCATACTAGCACAAATTTCACACCATACAAGCGTTCACTGGTGGTACATACGCCTAGAAAAGCATCCGCACAACCCCATCCTCACACCATAACCCACACGGCATTCTGCCGCACTCACTTGCATTGACGGCCCCATGCCCCCCATGCCCCCCATGGCCCCCATCGGTCCCCCCATGGGTCCACCCATGGCGCTCTGCATGTCGGCGCCTGGCATCGGCATCATCGCTGGTCCCGCTCCTGCTTCCGCCGGACCAAACAGGTTGCTGCCCGAGGCTTGGCCCGGACCGGCCAGGCTCGGCAGCTCACGAACCCTTTCCTGCAAAGGCGAGCACAGAGCATGTCTGGGTCAGGGAGTAAGCATGGAGTGCAGCAGGGCCGCGTGCGAGCATGGAGCACGGCGGGAGAACGAGCGGGAGGAATGAATGAGGGAGGCGAGCAGGAAGACGCGCAGCAGGCTGGAAACACTGCTTCATCCGGACGTCGGATGCCGAGTGTGACGAAGGAGGGCATGGACGCGCGCGTTCATGCGTCTCCATCTCCAAGCCATGCTCGGACGAGAGAGCTACCATGCTCGGCCTAGCGCAACGCCAGGTCGCCCGTCGGGGACTCGCGCGCCGCGAGGGCGCTCGCGAAAACCAGCGCGATGCTTTTGCTGATTCGCCGCCACTAGAGTATCGCTGTCTACGTCGACTCAGGAGTCCGCCAGAGCGTGTGCTCACCTGCTGCTTCGCGGCGGAGCCCAGGATGGAGTCCGCAAGCGCGCCGAGCGGGTTGCTGGTCGACGCCGACGGCCGCTCGCCCGGCACGGAGCAACCCCCCCCTCCCGTCACCATGCCACGGATCGACATGTCTGCCGCACAGCACCGTCGGTTTCGTACGGTTTGTATCGTACAGTGGAATCCGTACGACCACGTCGGATCGTACAGTCGGTCGGGTACGGTTGGTCTCGTACGACGATGATTTCGCACGGCGGGTGACTAAACGTAGGAGGTTAAAGTCGTACGACGAATCGCACTCGCAGGGCAGGTTGGAGAGTATCAAGTTAGGGTTGCGAACAAAGTCGGAACCAGCAGCTATTCGCAGTCGCGCTCAAGCTTCTCGCAGCTCAAGCTTCTCGCAGCGAATATTATTCTAACCCGCTGAACGTGGCGAACTGCACTAATCTGCAGATCAGTAGTAGGAAGACTAATCTGCAACGACTGATCACCTTCGTTGAGCGGGAGAGTAGGCAGGTTACGAAGAAGATTCATGACTCGAGTCATAAAAGATGGTTGTTGGTTGGCATGCCCGGCATAACCAACAGAACCTCAAATATTCTGAATACGATGTGAAGTGTAGCAGTAATAGTAACAAAAGCTGTCAGATTTAGCTTATTTTCTTGATCATTCTCAACAAGATCTACTTCTAAACAAGAATTATTGTTTCTAGATTTTGCTAAAATCTCAGGATTTGTTATGTTCCATCATTTTGGAACACAGTCATCCAGCCCTGCTAGCCAGACTAGATCAGTTCCCACTATTTGTTGCACTTGGCAAAGTTTTCCTGACGTCAGTTCCCACCAACACCACCACCACTGAGGGAGGCTCACCCTCCCCTGCCTTGCTCTCCCCTCACTCAGGGAGGCTCACCCTCTTTCAGTGCACCCCCAGCACTCCCAACCACTCCCCACCACTCTCCACCACACCTCCAGAGTGGGGCTGAGTGGAAACCCTGAGAACTGAACCCTCACCGACGTAGCAAGAGGGGAGCCACACCACACCCCCGGCCGCAGGGTGTGGAGATCGTCCATTATGCCTTAAACGTGCGGCTATTGGAATCCAGTCTCAAGGCCCCCCTCAACCACCACTCTCCACCACCACCACCAACCACCACCACCAACCACCACCAACACCACCACCACTCTCCACCACCAACCACCACCACCACCAGCACTACCACTCCTCCCTTCACCAACCAACAACAGCAGTCACCAATGAGCCTGCTGGGGTGGGGAGGGGAGAGTGCAGAGAAGGCGATTAGTAAGTGACAACTGGAGAGCAAGTCAAGGAGCAACAAGTGCAGCAGGGGCGAAAGCAACAAGAGCAGCAGTTGACAAGTCATAAACGAGAGTGAGGAAGCGAGCGGCAAAAAAACAGAGGGATGAAGGAGCACGACAGGTGGCAGAGAGAAGGTAGAGACACTTAGCTGCGGTGCGGTGCAGTGCGGTGCGGATGAGCGGAGTTGAAGCGGGTTGGAGCACACAAGCGGATGCAGCAGTTGCAGTCCTCTCTGCGTGCTGCTTGCTGGGCGCTGCTCTCTGGGTTGCCTGAGGGGCGGGAGAGGGGATGGAGGTGCAAGTAGGAAGGGAACAACGGCGGGAGTGGGTGAGTGGAAACAGCAGATGGGCATTCAGTGACGTCAGCTGCATGCTGCAAGCGAGGCAGGCAAGGAAGGAACGCACGACAAAGGCTGCTGTGGTGGTGGTGGTGGTTGGTGGTGCACCCAAGGGGAGGGAGGGCTAGGGGGGGCTGTGTCTCACCTCACCATACCAAGGGGACGGCTAAGGGGACCTGAACCTAGCCTCACCATACCAAAGGGGGGGGGCCTTGGGTGCGCCACAGGCAGCTTGATGGACGAGCAACTGTGTATGAAGCAGTGAAACGGGGAGCATGCAACATGACAAGTGGGAAAACAGGCCAAAGGAGTTACTGGTGAAGTGATACTCATCTTTGTCTCAGCTGCTGGATAGCCCATGAAGACCCTCTGGTGCTGCTTCCTTTGCTGCTTTCTCTGCTGTTGCCTCCGCTGCTCCTTCTGCTGCTCCCTCCGCGCCCCACGTTGCTTGACACCAGCAGGGCACTGAGAGTCGGGGAAGGGAGGGCGAAAGGGAGGGGGGTTGGGCGATTAGACCAAGGGCAAGAGAGAGGAATCAGTCGAATCACAAGCAGTCGATTCCAGATGCGAAGATGGGAGGGGAAGGCACAGCTGCTGTCGCACACCCAAGGGGAGTGGGGTACCTTTACCTTACCATACCAGGGGTAAAAGTTTTGTACCTACCAAGGAAGGTATCTGATGCTCTGTACCTTTACCAAAAAGAAAAGAGAGGGGGGGACTTGGGTGTGCTACAGCGAGCTAGAGCGACGAGGGAGCAAAACAGAAAGCAAGCGAAACGACAAGCGGCAAAACGTTCAAAGGCAAAGGCAGGGTGAGTGGTGAAACAATACTCATCTTGTTCTTGGCTACTGGAAGGCGAAGCCCATGAGGGCCCCCTGCTGCTGCTCCCTCCGCTGATGCCTCTGCTGCTCCCTAAGCTGATGCCTCTGCTGCTCCCTAAGCTGATGCCTCTGCTGCTCCCTAAGCTGATGCCTCTGCTGCTCCCTCCGCGCCCCATGTTGCTTGACGTCAGCATGGCACTGAGAGTCCGGGAGAAAAGGGGGAAAGGGAAGGAAGAGGGGGGGGTTGATAGAACCAACAGCAAGTAAAGGGAGTCAGTTGAATCACGAGCAGCCGATTCCAGGTGCGAATGCATGAGGGGAACATAGCTGCAGTCTCACACCCAAGAGGACTGGGGTACCTTTACCTTACCATACCAGGTTTGAAAGTTTTGTACCTACCAAGGGGGTTACCTGAAGTCAGAACCTTAGAAAAAAGGGGAGGGACTTGGGTGTGATACAGACAGCAAAGCAAGAGCGACGAGGGAGCAAAACAGGCAGCAAGCGAAAGGACAAGCGGCAAAACGGTCAAGGGCGAAGGGAGAGTGGCTGGGAAAACGATACTCATCTCCTTTTTCACTTGATGGTTGTTGGAGAACCCCCGTTGCTGCCTTCGCCCTTCCTGCTGCTTCCTCGCCCCGCGTCCCTTGAGAAGTGTTCGCCAGCCAGGCAAAGCGAAGGTCCTCGCCTCCCCCGGGCACTGAGAGTCAGGAAGGGGAGGGCAGACGATCGAGGGGAGGAGGGGTGTTAGAGTCACAGCAAGGAGGCGGAGTGCAGTCGCGTCACATGCAGTCCAGTCCGAAGGAGACGAGTGCGAGTGGCCAGATGCGAATGGAAAGGGCAGGTATAGCTTCCGTTGCACACCCAAGGATAGTGGGATACCTTCACCTTACCGTACCAAGGGAGAAAAGTTTTGCACCTACTAAGGGGGCTACCTGATAGTCTGAACCTTCAAAGAAAAGGTTGGGACTTGGGTGTGCTACAGACAGCTAGAGAGTCGAGGCAGTGAAACAGGGAGCATGCGAAATGACAAGCGGAAAAAAAGCTTAGAGGCAGAGGGACGGTGGATGGAGGAGCGATACTCATCTGTTTGATGCTGTGTGGGGGACGCTGCAGAGCCCACAACGACCCGCCCCCGCCCCACGTACCCACAGCGACTCCCCTTGATGCTCCTCGCGGCCAGCAGGGGGACTGAGGGACAGGGAGGGGTGAGGAGAGGGTTGGTGGGGGGGAGAGGTGAGGCGGAGGATGTGTTGTGATGAAACAAGAGGAGTGCAGTAAATTCACATGCAAGCAACGAGCCCTCGTGTAGGTACAGCTTCTGTAGCACACCCAAGGGGAGGACCTTTACCTTACCATACCAAGCGTAACAAGTTTGGCACCAACCAAGGAGGTTACCTGATAGTTTTCAAAAAAAAAGGGAGGGACTTGGGTGTGCTACAGAGCTAGAGAGTGACAAGGCAGCGAAACAGGGAGCATGCGAAAAAAAGCGGATAATGACTGAGGGAAGATGGATGGTGGAGCGATACTCATCTCCTGGTGGGTGTGTGATGAGCGGTGCAGAGCCCACAACGACCCGCTGCTGCCTCCGCTGCTGCGTCCGCCCCCGGTCCCCACAGCCACTCTCCTTGATGCGCCTCAAAGCGTTTCCAACGCGACGCTCACCGAAGCGACGCTCCTCGCGGCCACCAGGAGGACTGAGGGACAGGGAGGACGGAGGAACGAGGAGGGGAGGCGATGTGATGAACCGATGTCCGAGTAACTGCACTGGGATCACATGCAAGCAACGGACGCTCGACTAGCAAACACGGGAGGGGAAGCACAGCTGCTGTAACACACCCAAGGGGAAACGGGGACCTTTTACCTTCCGTACCAGGGGGGCGACAAGTTTTGAACCTACCAAGGGGGATTACCTTATGATTAAAGGGGAAGAACTCGGGTGTGCTACAGGCAGCTAGAGCCATGAAAGCAACAAAATCATACCAATGACAAGCGCCAAAACGGTCAGAGGCAGAGAAATACTCATCTCGCTGACAGCTGAAGCGCGTGGACTCGCGGCGGCAGCGCGTTGACTCGCGACGACAACGCGTTCACTGGAGCCGGCAGCAGGAGGGTTGACTAGCGGCGACAGGACGTTGACTCGCGGTGGCACCGGGCGCGTTGAGCGAGAGCGAGAGTCGAGAAGCGGCTCCTAGAGCAACGGGGAGGGCGAGCGGAGTACACGCGAGTGAGACAAGGGGATGAACTGCATAAAGAGCGGCGGAAACGAAGGCGTAGAGCGAAGCGGCGAAGCAGAGGCTCCTATAGCACACCACAGGAAGGGATACCTTAGTCTGTACCGTACCAAGGCCGAACCTGTACCGGAGCTTACCTGTTTTGCACCTGGAATGGGGGGAATACCTGCACCAGTTACACCTGCACCTGGAACCTGAAGCGGGGGGACCCTTGGGTGTGCTACAGAGCATGCGATGCGAGCAAGGGGAGATGCGGATGGACAGCGAGAAGGCAGTGATACTCATCATTGTCGTTGTCGGCTCGGGGCAGCACGCGCGTTAACTCCACGCCGACGCGCGTTGTTCGCGCGTTGACGCCACGCACACGAGCGTTGACGTCATGATGACGGGCGTTGACTCGAATATCACGTGATCGTTGACCGCAAGACGAAGAATATTGCTTCGACGCGGATGCCTTGTTTGTTTCGTGCGAGAATGTCAAGAAAACCTGCAAGCGACGACAGAAAGAAAATGGCGTTAGTACGCGTCAATAAGCGCAAAAGTGCGACTTGCAAAACGAAATCGTGGAAATACTACGCGTTCCCATCTCCATCTGGCTTACCGTGCAGTGGAAATGCTGCTTGTCGCACACCCAGCATGCTCGAATTTCGCAAATGTTAAATTGACACATCTTGAGCCAATGCCGATCTTCGTGTTACGCATGGACCTGCACGGAAGAACAAAGAGTCGGAATAGCACTTAATAATGGAACAGGTTCGACACGTTGATATATTCGAAAATCAGAGAAAAGCTACTACTTACACGCGGATTCCTCGTGAAAAAATTGTCGCGAAGTTCTCACTGCGTCGAAATAACCGGCTCGGCAGCAACGAGACTCCGGTTCGGTTTGAAGGGTTCCGATTCCGAGTCGTTCTCCTCCTCCTACCAAGGACCGCACGGACTGAAGGTTGAATGGTGATTCTGGAAAGTATAGTCTCAATGTGGGCTGAAGGGCAAAATTGATTTCAGCAAATTGGAGTGAAATTGAAGACGAGTGGGAGAACACTGCGAGGTGCGAGTGAGGCGAGACGGTTCGGAAACGGGAAGCTGACGGACGATCGAAGGAAGGAACGGTGGACGCTGGATGGGAGGAGCGTGGGGTAAGAGCCGAGCCGCGGCAGGAAAAAGCTCGGCGGGTCTCTCGCTGCTGATATTCGTTGGACCGTTGGCGCCAAGTTGAGCCAGAACCGTTGGCAACAAAAAACGGGTAAAAAAGCCATCTGATTCACTGAAATGGAAACCACCAGTAGCCGAACCGCAAACTGCGAAACAGGATTCCCGCAACCCGCTATTTTGCCGCCGAAGGAATAAGGTTGGGCCACGCGCACTGACAAGGAGCTGAGTGCCAGTCTCAGGGACCACGAAACCCTAGCTTCAGCGTGGAAGGCAGAAACGAAGTTGGAAGTTTTAAACTCTCAGCAGCTGCTATCAGGGAATTTGGGCTGCTTCTCAGGCAACTCCCAGTTTGTGTTGAGTTGGCTGCTTCTCGTGGAAGTTTCTCCTGCAAAACAAAATATTTTGAGTCGTTCTTCACATCTTACCTTTTCGGGATCAGATTGGAACGGAGTCACTCCCCGTGATGATCTCGACGGCACTTGAGGCTGATTCCAGTGCGAATCCACCAACTAGTTAGTGAAATCTTGATTGGGCTATGCATTAAACTTCTCATCATAAGGTGACCCAGAACTGACCTGACAGCTGAAGTTGGCTTTGATTGGTGGCTTTGATTGGTTGACCTGCACTGACTGGGCGAAACTGGCGAAACTCGATGTCCAGGGACACCTTGTCGCTGAGAGGGCAGTTGAAGTGGTCATTTTCGCCTGTCACGTATACATGTTGAAACAAAGTTTGATTTTACAAATGTTATTTTACATGCCACACATACTGTATGTTCATATTTGAGAATGCTAAGACAAGTGCCTTTCCCGGCAGATCCATTGCAACAGCTGCCAGAAAGAGTGATGCCATAATTTAGAGCCGATTTTTCCGGGCCTGGACATCAATATCTAGTATACTATTTATACAACATTATATTTATATCACATTTAATAAGGAGGTTTATTGCTCCCCCATTTTATTAAAAGGGTTTAGTTCAAAGGTGGCTTATTATGCATATGAGAAAGGCATAGCATGTACACGTGGGTAGAGGCTACAGACGCTCTAGGAAATCCGGCACCATCTGAGCTGCTAGCAACACATATCCTAGGGTTTAAGTGATCTGATCCAACATCCCAACCATTACCAAACCTGATGCCTAGCCCGAAACCCTGCGCTACCTAACCTGATCACCGCACAACCGAGGCTACTTTATCTGTACAGCCTCCACTCCCCTGTTTGATTCAACCAGCAAAGTTTGGGGGAGTGGAGGGGTCAGGGCAGAAGTCAAACGGCATCCATGCATCTCCCTCCTCTCCTGCCGCTGCCGCCACCGCTGCTGCTGCTTCTGCATTCCACCATGCAGTCTGCATCATTGCCTCGTCCCCTCCCTGCCACGCTGCCTCAGCTGCCCTCTCAGCGTCATCCCCTCCCTGCCCCTCTTCTCCCGCCCTCCTTACCACTGTGCACATGTCCTCATCTAGATGCTCCTCCATACTCCCCTGCTCCACCGCCCCTGCTCTGCCCTCCGAAGCCACACCTCCACCTGCCACACCTCGACCTTCTAGTGCAGACGTCTGTGCTCTCACATCCTTCTCCTTCTCCTCCTGATCCTTCTCATCCTTCTCAGACTGCTCATGCATACTCTTCTCCATCTTATTCAACGAATCATCCTTCGGACCGGCTGCCACAGCACCGGCTGCTGTCCTCTGCATGCCTGCACGCTCCGTCACACCACCTGGTGCTGCCGCCATGCCTGCAGCCCCACCAGCGCCCGTCCGCCTCCCCACCTTGGCTCTTGTACCGCCGTGTGAGTGCACAGTGGGTGGCACCACTGGGAGACTTTCCTTCCACCAGGAAGGGAGGGAGCCGGGGACAAGGTGAGCAGCAGAGATGGTGGCATCGGGATCGGCAGCACCATCAGTGGTACCACCACCAGCGGTAGCAGCAGCAGCAAGGGAAGAGGCGTAGGGGGGGAGCATTCCGTGCAGCAACATTTGGTTGTGCATCCCCGTGCCTTGGGGCAGCACCATTGCCTGACTCGGTAGCATGCTTTGTGGCAGCATCACCATGCCATGCTGTGCCATCATGCCCTGCTGCCCCATCATGCCTTGTTGCCCCATCATCCTCTGCTGCCCCACCATGCCGTGACTCCGCAGCATGGCTTGGTTCATCAGCATGGCTTGCTGCGGCAGCATGCCCCCCCCCACCATGCTCTGGTTCGGCAGCATGTTCTGGTTCGGATTCATGTTCTGGTTTGGCAGCATTGTTTGGTCCGGAGGCATGGCGTGGCTCGGGGCCAAGGCTGCGTGGGGAACCATGATTTGCTGGTAGACAGGGATGGGGCTGGGGGAAGAGGAGAAGAAGAGAGCACGAGGCACTGCCCTTGCTGCCGCTGCAGCAGCGGCAGGGGAAGGCCCAAATCTGCTGTGGAAGGACGCTGGGAAACAGCTGCTGCTGCTGGGGCCGCTGGGGCTGTGGCTGCTGCTGCTGCTGCTGTTGTTGGTGTTGGTGTTGGTGGTAGCTGTGGCGAAAAGCATTGCCTGCTGCTGCTGTGCTTGTAGCCGCTGCAACTGGCGCTGCTGCTGCAAGTGGTGCTGCTGTAAATGCTCCAGTTGCAGCTGCTGCTGCTGGAACTGATATTCTTGTAACTGCTGGTGGTGCCAGTGCTGCTGCTGCTGCTGCTGCTGCTGCTGCTGCTGCATCTCCAGATGAGAGAGAGGGGAGAGGAGTGGAAGAGAGGAGGGGAGGAGGGAGTGAGCGTGGTGAGGGGAGGTGGACAATGAGGCCTGGCTGGGGAAGCGGTGGAGTGAGGGCGATTGGGATTGGGAGAGGGAGCGTGAGTGGGAGAGCGAGCGGGGATGGGAGAGCGAGCGTGAGTGGGAGAGCGATTGTGAGTGGGAGAGCGAGTGTGAGAGGTAGAGCGAGTGTGAGAGGGACAGTGAGCGCGAGTGAGGAAGTGAGTGAGGGAGTGAGGAAGACTCAAGGGTGGGCGAGGATGCAGTTCTAGAAAGGTGCAAGTCTCCGTCAATCTGTGAAGCAGAAACGGCAACAGCTGAAGGCATGGCAGCAGCTGTAGCAGCACACATGGCAGTTGTGGCTCCGGACACAGTATTTGCAGCAGCAGCAGCCGATGCAGCACTTGTAATGTTCGTAGCAGCAGCAGGAGATGCAGCATTTACAGCAATCGTAGCAGCTGCTGCTGCTGTTGCCGCAGCGTTTCCACCTGCTCCTGCTGCCGCTTGGAGTGCATGGCTCATTTTCCTGGCAGCTGAAAAAGTTTCCACGGAAGGTGGCGATTGGCTGAGGGCGTCAAACAGCTGAGTGGTCAGCTCTTTTTGAACCGAGGAGGGAACAGGAAGGACAGCAGCAGAGGAACCGGATGGGAGCTGAGACGATTGGTTGGTCTTGCCTGTTTCATTGGGGGTGTGAAGAGGTTGAGAGTGGTGAGACTGCTGAAAGCACTGTGACTGATGTGGGTCATTGCCGCGGTTGATTTGGAGCTTGTCCAGGTTCGTTGCTGCTTTCATTGCTTGCTCCTCCTCCTGTCGCTGCTGCTGACGCTGCTGCTCTTGTTGCTGCTGCTGGTGTTCCGCTGATGTTGCATCTTTCCCCTCCCGTGCCGCACGGCTCTCAGGTGCCCCCCCAGGTGAATTCTCAGGTGAGTTTGGGTCAGAGCTTGCAGAGGTGGTGGCGGCAGAAGCAGAACCACCACCAGCACCACCAGCACGAGCAGCAGCAGCGGGTAAAGTCGCAGCAGCAGCATCACCACCAGAAGCAGCAGCGGCGGCAATGGCAGCAGCAGCAGTGGGCGGGGGCACGGGGAGGCGGAAGAAGTCAGCCATTCGGCGAATGAAGGCCGGGTCGTGTGAGTGCGGTGAACCGGAGAACAAAGGGGAGTGTGGAGCCATTTTCCTCCTGGTGAGGGGGAGAGGGGAGGACGAGCAGAGAAAGAGATGGTAAGAGAAGAAAATGGAGAGGAGGCGAGGCGAGAAGGAGTCCCTAGCCATATTCCACAGCGCAGGTCAGGAGAAGCGTGACAGAGCTGAGGTATGGCGCATGTCATGATGCATACCTGGCAGCCGTCTTGAAGGACGTGGACGCATGTGGGCGCAGCCCCTCTCGTATGGCGCGCTCCACCGCCCATGCATGCGCGCCCACTCCCCCCCCATGCGCGGCCCCCTTCCCCATGTTCCCTGCGCCATGCATTGCCGTGGCTGCGCTGCTGCTGCCACCAATGGCAGCGCGACACATGGCGTGACTACCGCCCGTCCACATGGCATGCGCTGCTGCGTGTGCCCCTGCCATGCCCTGCTGTGTGCTCTGCATGCCTGCCATTCCATCATCTCCCATCATACCCATCCCTGCATCACCTATCCCTCCACCCACCATCCCTCCACCCAGCATCATACCATCACCAGCATCATAAGCTTCTAACAGAGCATCCATCATTGCCCCATCCATCACCCCCCCATGCGCCATTTCAACATGCGCTATTCCCCCATGCGCCATTCCCCCATGCGCCAACCCCCCCTTCCTCTCCTCCCACTTGCCCCCTTCAGTAAGCGCCAGCCCACATAACTCCTCTTCCGCCGCCTCCGGCTTACTAAAAGCCGCACTTAGCCCAACCCGCACTGCGGATCCGCCAGCACCACCAGAAGGCTCGGCGGTAGGCCCGGGATCCGAACCTACAGGGAAAGGCAATCCCCGAGGCTGCCCAGCCATCGCTCCAGCAGCAGCAGCAGCAGCAGCAGCAGCAGCCGAAGCAACAGCCGATCCAGCAACAACAGAAGAAGCAGCAGCAGCAGCGGCAGTGCTGGCGTGCGGTGAGCTGGTAACCAGGTAACCGCGAGGGTGATGCGGATGAGCGAAAGAGCGGTGGCTGGTGATGGCGGCAGGGGAGGACAAGGCGGTTGTTGTGGTGGCGGTGGTGTCATGGGGGGACGTGGGGGAGAGAAAGGACAGCTCAGATTGGCTGTGCGCAGATCGGAGGGCTGGGGTGAGTCCTTGAGATAGCGGCTCGGTAAGGCCATGATAGACTGGTGCGCCCTCTTGGTCCAGGTAGCGCCTGCAGGGGGAATGGGGGGAGGAGAGGGGGGGGGGATGGGTGGGGGGATGAAAAAACCGGGGGAAAGGAAGAGGAATGAGCGAGCGAGAGAGGCTGAGTGAGAGGTGAGAGGGTGAGAGGTTGAGAGACTAAGGGTGGAAGAGTAGAGAGCTGACGGACGACGGTGAAGCAGGCACGTGTGAGAGAAAGGACGGCACAATAATGGGGCTGGAAGGAAGTACAAAGCCCAGTAACGAATCACTTCTTAAGGAGGACGGTTGTTGAATTACTTTTTAAGGAGGATGAAGCGGTTGCAGCAGGCCTTGTTGTCGCGGTGCGGCAGCCGCCCCGACGCCTTGAGCACGCCCCAGTGCCGCGTGCCGTAGCTGCGCACGTGATCCAATAAGATCAGATCCTCCTGCACGGGGAAAGTCGAGGGGAAAGGGGAAGAGGTGGGAGGATAGTGTGATTAGATGTTGCGCGGGTAACGCGGAGGGACTCGCAACATTCCGTCAGCACAAACGAGTGCGGCATTGCCGCACGCGCAGCATTGGGGGCGGCAGTGCCGCGCGCGAGGCAATGGGGCGGCATGACCTCCCGCGCAGGAATAGGACGGCAATACCGCATGCGCGGCAGCGGGGCGGTAACAAAGATTTACCTCGGGGGACCACCAGCGGGAGTAGCTTCCCGTCGCCCCGGGCTCTCCGCCGCCGATCGCGCCGTCCCCCGTCGGCTCGCGCGCCCCTTGAGGCACCTCCACTTCCGCCGATCGCGGCAATGGCGACGGCTTGAAGGCAGCGCCCCCCGCCGCCACCGCCGCGAGGGCCGCTGCTGCGTCGGCGCGGTCGTCGCGCGCGGCTCGACTGCCAAAAGCCGCCGCCGCCGCCGCGTTCGCCCCCGCCATTATCGAAGCAGCGTCGCCAGTACCGAAACGGGTCGCAGCGATCATCGCATCGTCTTGTGCGAAAAATCCGCCGAGCTCACTCTCCAAACGACTCTCTCGCTGTCAGGAGTATTCGCTCGACGCGGCAACGTCGTCGTCGCTGTCGCCAGCACCGTCGTGTCGCCGTCGCTTTCACTGACACCGTCGCCGTCGCTTTCGTCGTCGCTGTTGCCGTCGCTGCGGCAGAGAACGCTTTGAATTCGTCGAGCGACGCTGTCGAGTATCTTGGACGACAAAATCCAACCTCGCCTCTCCCGCAAGTTAGGCGCTTCGGGGGCTCTCCTTAAAGACCTCCTTCGATCTCCGCAGTCGACGGTCAACTCGATCGAATCAACGGTCGTACTCTTTCGTCAGCAGAGCTGACGTCGCGAGGGCTCCGTCGGGATGTACGGACGCGAGACGACTGTGATGGTCGTATGGATAGTGCAAGATGGCACACTGTGGCACAGTCGCACTGTCGCCCGTGGTGCTATAAGTTCGCGGCTTGAGGCTTCCACGGAGGATCGAAGAAGATGCGCGACGCGAGACGGCTCAAAGCGCAATGCCTTCCAAAATGTTGGCGGCAGACAGTAAGAATCTTAAGACGTGCGCTGCGGTGCCGCAGAACCCTCAATTTCAGTGGAATGCGGCGCGGCTTAGAATTGCGACACGGGTCGGGCGAGCTCATCCACGATGATCGTCGTCCTCGTGCGAGACGGCACGCGGTGGTTTAAATCGCCAGATGAATTCAGCACCCAATCGTAGTGACTTGCGAATCGACAGGACACGCGGGTCGTCGATGCTCAACAGCTACGGCGGGTAATGCGGGTAAGTCCCTGGAAATCAAATCGCAGTAGCGATTGGCTGGTTTTCCGTTGTGGCACGCCCAGGCGAATGGTAATCGTACGATGCGTCGGGAAATGTGAATGAATGTGGGAAGATGATCGTCGGGGCTGAAGCTGACTTGGAGACCACAGAGCCTTCGAGTGGTGGCGCTGAAAATGCTGCGATTTATTTCTGTTATAAGAGGCGGTAGAGAATGTATGTGCCAGCTGGGACGGTCTCGTGGGGAAATGCAGGAGATGAGCAGAGCAGAGCAGGACAGTAGGAAAGGCAGGAATGGTGCAGTGCAGCGCTACGGGCAAATTGCTGGCCCGCTTCTGGCAAGTTGTGTGGGACTTGTGGGACTGTGTGGCGTCGAATTGTCGATGTGCAATGTTGAAGCTCCAATAGTGGGGGCTGACTGGAAGTACCGAGCTTCGAGAGGTGTTCGGAGGGAGGGAAGGGAGAGAATTGGAAGGCGGGCCGTGGCGCGCGTGGGATGAATGGGTTGAAGGAGATGAAGGGAATGGGATGTCGGGTGGAAAAAAATCTGTGGCTGAGCTGGATGAAGAGCTTCTTGGAAAAGACTGCCCCACTTTGGCCCAGCGATTCTTGAGAAAGTGCAATGCAGTCAAGAGGGAGCTCGGATTTCGAAATGCGACAATTCTCACAGCTGTGATGCATGCGACTATTGTTTGTTGAGTGGGGGTGGATGGATTGGAACGGGGAAGGGTGGGTTGAGGAACTGTATTTTATTGAACTGCCTGAGGATTTATACGGAGGAAACATTGTTCATTGTTTAGTGCTGATTCTTCCGGGCAGTATATGAGAAATTACAGTGTAGTCTAGGGAGAAAGACACCAGCGGGACGGAGCGGAGCCCTTCGGATAGTCTCGGCTCGGGAGAAAGACACGCCAGCGGAATTCGATAACGACGAATGCGGTGACGTTATCTTCCACAACAAACGTCGAAGAACCGTCGGATCGGCAAGCCAAGTTCTAGAAAATCTCGCTCGATCGCCGATCACCTTCGTGAAAACAGCTGCAGTTGTGCGAGGACAGAAAAATAGGTGATGATCTTGATGAGTTGGATGCAGAAGCCCTGGCCTTGCTGGCACTTGTGAGATCTGGGTGGTGGGCAAATTGTTTGTGCACACGAAAACGGTTCTGTTTCAACAGTGCACTCTAGACACGCTAAGCAACAACAAAGAGCAGCTCAGCACGGCAGGCACACTACACCTGATTGCCGTTTGAGTCACCCCTACTTGGGTTGTGCTCTGGGCTTATAAACGATTTGGATATTTCGCCCAGTTCGTTCCGATCGCCAGGGTGTTGAGGTGCTTCTAAAAAACACAGGTTGTAACTCATTTGTTTTTTTCAAAACAGTTCTGGTGGGCCTGTGTTTTTAGTTCAGGGTTTAGAGTTTATGCTTGTTTCTGGCCAAGAAACAAGAACAAACCGGGTCAGCATGGTTTGTTTTGCGCCTAAGATTCACACTTTGGCGTTTTGTCGCCCAAATGCAAGTTGATCCGCGTGCCTATAACCTGAGTGCAACTTACTGGAAAAAAAAACAACGGGCGCAGAGTGTCTGAAATGAGAAATGCAAATTCGCGCGCAGTGGTTGGGCATCATGTGTACGAAGGCTGCTGATTGGCGGGAGGGTAACTCAAAATTCGAATCATGTGGCTGCCATGTTGCATGGAAGCGACGCTCGTGTGGCTGGCTTGCATGCCACAAACGGAGCCATGCTCTCCTCCGACCTTGTGGAAAGAAGAATATTCGTTTCGTCTCGCCTCGTAGGCAGGCCTGTCGATTCACGGACATTTGTCCGTTTTCCCTGAGAAAACAGGGTTAGTTTCAGATCAGCTCGGAGATTTTCAGGGCTGGTTTCCCCCCCAGCCCGGATTCCTAACGGACAGGTTTGGGGCTCCCCGGATTCCCGTAAGAGCCACCCCCCTTCCCCTCCCCCCCTTTCTTCCTGACCTTAGACCGCGAACTTGTCCCTCTCCCACTCCCCCAACAATACCAGCCCCCCACGTTCCCCTAGCGTACTCTGCTCTTTAGGACGTGGGCCCATATCGACTTTGATCGGATCGGATTGAATCGGGTTAGATTGGTTCGAATTGCTTGTGATCGCTTTTCCCGCGCCGCTCGATCAAAGCTATTTTTCCTCGAAAACTCTACGAGCCTGTATGATAAGTGTGACACAATTACCTGGTATTTTCTATCCAGCTTTGGCGAGACTGGCGAACGCAATGTATCGTGGTAACGTCGTGAAAACCGCGTTGCAGACAATGTCAGTCTAGAGCCTTCGCATACTGTTCTCGCCATTCCGTAGGCATGAGCGAAACACTTTCGAGACCTCTAGTCGACTGTGTAATGTTTCACGAACGTCGTCCAGGCCCCCGATCACATGCAATCAAGTGATCGGGACTGATTGTGTCTGATCGTGATCGATCGGATTGTTTGAGGCGGTTGATCGATTTAGAGCGATCAGCTTATTGCGATCAGCTGATTGCCTCGCCTGAAACCGGCTTCCTGCCTTCCTAGAAGTTATTGATTGTCTTTGATCGAGCCGATCAAAGTCGATTGGGCCCACGTCCTCAGTACATCAAGCTTGAATAACTTAGCTATATTACACATGCATTCTCAGAGAGGGAAATATGAATGCCCTGAAATTACGTCCGCTTCCCGGATAGCTCAGGGCTGTTTTCGAGGCAGCTCAGCTTCGTACGGCTTGGGCCCAGACCAATCGACAGCCCTGCTCGTAGGGTCAGCGTCTGATGGGAAATTATACGGGCAGTCACAATTATGCCCTTTTTATCACGTTTAGTCACAGGGGAATCACAAACAGTCACAGTACAGTAGATTGCTATCGCGGGTGATCACAGTGCTATCACGGATGGTCACACCTCGCCCCGAAAATCTATCACGTTTGGTCACTCATTGAAACGGTCATTATAAGTTGAAACTACACAAGTCACTGTAGGGATTCAAGGACAGTTATCTCGCGCGCGACGTTTTGTCCGTAGTGTTACGAAATTGTTTCGCGCACCCTCTCGGTAACTCGTTAAAATCATTTGAGATTTCTTGTTACTATTCGATTGTCCACTGTTCGATGGATGCATAATGACCCTAAAATATCACTTTAGATGGGTGAAACTCGTAGGGTTGCATTTTTTGTTCCCAATACTAGAAAAAAAACTAAAACCCATTCGGATGGGATTTAATTCGGGATGCATCAACCCTAAACACCTTGTCGCATGGTGTTTAGGGTTGATGCCTCCCAATGGACGTGCCATCCTTTAGGGGTTTATTTTTTTCTTCATTCCCCTTAATGTCGGGCTAGAATTTTGCGCGAGGTAACAAGCAATGAAGGTTGGGATTCCCCAAAATTTCTACAGTTAATTTTGTGGTTTCAAATTAATTATCCTCGTTTCATCGAGTGACCAAACGTGATAGCTTTCTCGGGCGAGGTATGACCATCCATGATAGCACTGTGATCACTCGCGATAGCAATCTACTGTACTGTGACTGTTCGTGTTTCCCATGTGACCAGTCGTGATAAAATGGGCATAATTGTGACTGCTCGTATAATTTCCCGCGTCTGATTATTATTATTTTTGTAAAATATACGTTTGTTTTCCCAATCACAGCAAGCTTCAGTCAAGAACCAACTGTACTTGATCTGAATGGATTCAACTCTGCCCAATCATGCTTCATAGAAATTGAACTTCCAAAATCCAAACTCAGAATCTCCTTTTGCTACTCACATCGACGCGTCCAGTTCTTGAGCAATCTTGCGAGGCCAAATGGCAGCCATCGATTCGTTCCATTTGAGCGGCAAATGTGGCTTTTGCTTCCAATCGCGAACAGCCTGCCAGAAGCTTGGCGTCCGTGTTTTACATGTGAGGAAGGTCTGTTCCTGTATTCGTTTTAAACTGCTCTGGGTGTACCATGGCATGGTGCATTCTTTTCCACCCTTTCGGACTGTTCGGAGTACTATAAAAGTATCGAGGCTGGCACTACAAGGTGAGTAGCTGCTTCTAAACTCCCATACCTATTCCGGACCATTAACGAAGCGTCGGAACTTCCGAGCCGTGGAATGTAGCGTGCCGGTGACGCATAATGAGCTCTCCATACAATTCTTGTCAGATCTGTCTTCATTTCCCCTCAGCTGTCCTTCATCCCATCGAGGTTCTTACGCCGTTCACCTCGTGTCCTCTCCCCTAGTAAGTCAACTTACTAAACATTATGCTTGTCCTGGATTGGGGAGTCCGCTGCACTTCCTGATTGCTTGATCGTCCTCGCCGCTGCGATCAAAGCTGATCTGAGGGCACGATAGCATTACATGCCGTACAGCGGGACGTTGGTGACGGTGGGACGAAAGCGGGCATTGCTTGCTGGCAGCAGCAGCATGAGCGACACTACACGCGAAAGTTACCATGGATATGGGAGGGAGCCTCGTTTCGTGACGGGATCAAGGAATTTCACGAATTCAGTTACAGCCTCTTTTAGCGAATCAAGGAGCTTCTTGTGCTATTATCGAGGACAAGATTGACACGGCATGTTTGCAAACCAGCAGGGCATTTTTCCGACCGACGCGGGCAGCATGGAAAACGTCGAATATTTTCATGAGAAGCTTCTCCTGCCCGACGAAGAGTTCGCGCTTCTTGAAGCGGCAGTCGCGGCCGCGGAGCGGGAAGCGGCGGCGCGGAAAGCTGCGCGAGCGGTTAGCTCCGCGGAGGTAGTGGCGGAACACCCACGGCTGGACGGGATGGCGGAGGCAGGGGGGGAATCCGCGCGCGAGAGGAACAATGCGCGGGGGCGCGGGGACAGGATCGAGTCCGCGGAAAGCAGCGCGGATGCGTCACGACGGCTGGTGTCTCCAGAGTCAGCTCAGAAGTCGCTTTACGCATGGATGCGACCAGAGGCGCTTTTTGAGGCGCCTCGAAATTCCGAGGCGCCTTTTCAGGCTCCTCAAATGGCGGAGCCTGTGACAAGGAGGTCGCTTTTTCCGGACATTGAGGACGTGGCGAGTCGCGATGCGCTGCCCGCGGATTGGACACGTGGCGTTGCTGGAGGCGCAGGCGCTGATGGGTGTGCGGGGGAGCGCGAGGCAGGAATGGAGGCTCGGGGAATAAGCTCAGAGGCTCGGGGAACGGATTCAGAGGAGAGGGGCGCGGAAGTAGAGGCGCGGGAAGCCAGAGAAGGGGCGATGGAGGTTCACGCAAGGCACGTGGCACGGCGGCCGTTGGATTGCAAACGAAATCAACGGCTGTCTGTGACAGATATCACAGACGCGGTACTATGCGCCTACGAACCTGTTCCATCGCGTCATGTTCTCAGAATCCGCTTACTCTCCTTTTCTAACCCTTTTCTTTTTACAATTGTTTATCCATTCGCCCATTCTCCCACTCTCCCATTCCCCCGTTCCCCCATCCGCCCATGCTCGCAGGAGTGGTGTGAGCAGCGGGTCATCTTCTCTCTCGCCCGCGGCCGCCCCCCGCCAACAGCAGCGATGAGGGCGGGCGCGGAGAGGCACGCAGCGCTGGAGCGGGAGGTGGTGGAGACAGTAGAGGTGGCCGTGGAAACCAGGGAGGACGCGTGGGCGCTCAGACTGCTGGGGGGCGCTGCTAGAGTGCTCGTCCTGGGGGAGGATATGAGGGAGGCGATGGGGGGTGCCATGGGGAGGGAGGATGGAGGAGTGGGGCCCTTTGGTGGTGATGCTGCCGGCATAACGCGAGAAGTCTTTGTGTGAGTGTTTCCTGCCCTGGCCCACTGCCTGTTGCTTCATCACCTGCTGCTGCTGTTTGATTACCCAATCAATGAGCACATTTCTGTTGCTCTTACTGTCGAATCCCTCTGTACTCAGGTTGGGCAGGGTGCATGGTGTGTGGGTGGTGGGCGTGATTGATGAGCTGCGACTCGTGCGTGCTGGAGTTGCTGCAGCACAAGACAGAGAGGGGAGTGCTAGGATGGAAGGCTGCGGCACTGGCAGTCAAACAAGTCAAACAGGCGAAACAGGACAGACAGTTAGTCAGACAGGTCAAGCATGTTAAACAGGTCGAACAGGACAGACAGCTAGTCAAACAGGACAGGCAGGTCAGATGGGCAAACCGAGCCATACAAGTCCTGTGAAAAGGAAATCTGGGTGCATGGGGACCGAGGGATCACAGCCGTTAGATTCACAGCCGTTGGGCTCGCAGCTGTTAGATTCTCAGCCTTTGGAATCACAGCCGTTGGATTCACAGCCGATGATTTCAGGGTGCTCAATGGGATATGGTTCTGATTCACAAGCGATCAACTCCCAGTCGTCCGATGTGTCCATGCAGCACGCATCACAACCTGATTCCACTAGAAACCCTGGCAGGGATGGGGCCCTTAAGGAAGGTGGTGGGGGAGGCAGGCAGGGCAGTGGGGAGGTTGGCAGGGAGGGAGGCATGGAGGGAGGCATGGAGGGAGGCATGGAGGGAGGCATGGAGGGAGGCATGGAGGGAGGCATGGAGGGAGGCATGGAGGGAGGCATGGAGGGAGGCATGGAGGGAGGCGGAGAGCACGGGGGCGGGTGGCATGTGATGGTGGTGGACACCAAGACCCGCGTGCGGCCCCGCCCACCGAGAGCAGCGCAGAGCAGGAATGCCAGGTGGGGGGAGAACACAGGTCGCCCTCATCCCTCGCTAGGTGGGCTCGCTCGCACACATGCTCCTGAATGTTTTCTGTATTGCTCCTTCTTTGCTTGCTCCTGGCTGCACCTCATGTGGGACACAACTCCTCCTCTGCCTTCCGCCCTCTTTCTCGTGCAGCCTTCACCTCGTGTGCTACAGCCGCCCTCCCCCCTCCTTCTTTCTCATCCCCTTTCTCCCCGGTGCAGGCTACAGCTCATGTGCTACAGTGCGCTGCTGAGCAGCATGATTCAGCACGGCGTGCCGCAGGAGCCATTCTTCTCCTCCTTCCGCCTCCACCCCCACACCACCCTCTCTCCCCAAGTCCTCGGACATGCTGCTGAGGTCTTTCCACGGAGAAAGGTGTGATTTTGGGGAGATGAGGTTATAGGGAGGTGTGATATTTGGGAGGTGAGATGTTGGGGAGGTGAGAGAATGGAGGGTGTGGTGTTGTTTGCCGCTGCCTGTAGCCTCGGTGTGTCTTGTGTCTGCTGTCTTGTGTCCCATTTGAATCGAGCTTTTAGTCGACTCAAGATCACCCTGCCTGTAGCCTCGGTGTGTCTTGTGTCTGCTGTCTTGTGTCCCATTTGAATCGAGCTTTTAGTCGACTCAAGATCACCCTGCCTGTAGCCTCGGTGTGTCTTGTGTCCGCTCTCGTGTCCCGTTGTTCAGATCACTTGCCTTGCTGACTTCACGGCCGCAGTCTCTCACGCCTTCCAGTCACTGCAGCCGCTGCACTCCACCCTGCTTCTACGGTATGCAGACAGTATGGTAGCCTTGTCACGTCAATTCCTAGCGTATGTTTTCCTTGCAATGCCATGCATGTCTGCACGACAGTCACAGTCACAGTCACAGCCAGTCTCCTCTCCCACGGGCGCCTGGAAATAACTCTCCTCTGAGTTGCTCGAGTTGCTTTTCGCCGTGTTGCTGCTTGTTTGCAGGTATGAGTGGCAGGCCGATGGCGCACTCATTCACGAGGACCACTTCCCCTACGATCCCCCCTGGCTGCAAGCTAGCATCTCCACGAGCCTCGAGTTCTGGCTTGGGCGCCGCCAACCCTTCACCGTGCCTCGTGAAGAGGCTTGGAAATGCTCCTGGTGCTCATTTGCACCAGTTTGCCGCCCGGATTTGAGGTGGAAGGGGCAAGCAGGCAATGGAGCACGTCGCTAGCCTGGGCTTTGTGTGTATGCTCAACGATATCATTGCAGAACAACGTGGCCACTCACTCAAGCCAACTAGCTAATGCTTGTAAATTCCGCAGGTAACTTGCATGTATGATTCCATGTATCAAGCATGTTAATGTACAGTAACTGCGTTGACCAAGACAGTAGCCCTAGTAAAGTGCTAAACATGCGCACTTTATCTCCAATAGTACAATAAGCACATTGCTGAAGGGATGTGAAGTGTAGTGATTCTGATATACTATGCTATATTGTTGTGAATCTGACATTGTGGTGGCGAGAGCATCAATGACGTCACGCGCCACTTCAGATTGGTTGAGGACTCCACTGATTTCGCACGCTTCGTGCACCAATCACCCTCGCCCTGATACATTCCCAAGGGCCACCTGGTGGTACACCTGCGCTTTGGCATTCCGCAAATCAAGGCGCCCAACCACCCTCCCTCGAGCTTTCTATGCCTCCACCTCGAACCGCTCGCGCATCTGCCCCTGTTTCTGCACCTTCCCCAGCTCTCCGCCACACCCTCTTTCTCCTCCGCTTCGTCCCGCGATCTCCGCTTTCCGCCATGATTTAATTTTCAGGGGAGCTGCTGTCTTGTTCGCTGCACTTGGTTTGCTCTCCAACATCCTTCATCGCTTCCAGATGCAGCAAACCGGACAAAACCGTGGTATATCCCCAGAAAACGAACATCCTCACACCTTGTGAGTTGCTGAATTCGCCCCAAGATTTCCACCATCCCAATACAGTTCGTTCACAGGCGCCAATGGCGAGACAGGGTACGGTTCATTGCGGAAAAGGCAGCAAACCGCTTTCAATTGCAAAGTATCGTTTTAAACCGTGATACAGAAAAAATGCGAGCTCGTGTTTCTCTGGTCAATTGATGTTTTGAAATCTAGAAGAAAGCCTGCGCAGGTGGTTGCAAATGCACACCCCCAACTAGAAGTCTGTCTGCCATAGCTCGCTCCATGTCAGCTTCGCTAGGTGCGACCAGCACAATTTTCACCATCGGCGGTGGACTTGGCCCGTGCATGTTCTGACCATATAGTAACGGTATCCGTCCTCCCGGATGTATATTGCCTTGACTTGACACCGCCCGAGCCTTCGAGCCCATCCCGTTGACCGTGCTTTCCGTTCACGCATCTCGCAACTAGGGGCGTAGGGTCGAAGAATCTCGTCGTCAGTATCGTCACCGTGAGCGCATCGGCTCCCTCCGCGAGTCGACTAATGCCACTGGGCTGAAGTAGACTCTATTGGCGCGTCAGCTCGTGCTCTTTTCTGATGGAATCGTCGGTTCTCAATCCCTGTTCGTAGCCATTCGTCGAAGCAGACCGACGGCGGCGGCGCCTCCGCCTGTCCCGTCTTCGGCTCCTCTCAAATAGGCGCACTTGCGGGTTCAGTACCTTTCGGGGCGCCTCAAAAGGCGCATCCGCCTGTCCCGACTTCGGCTCATCTCATCTAATCACACTTGCGGGATCAGCATCTCGCAACCATGGGTGTGCTGGACAGGACGAAGAAGGGCGACCAGAACAAAGGTATGTCCATCGCGGATGCCATCTCTTTCGACAGCGTTAACAAATCCAGGATACTAACATGCAATATTTCCGCTTTCCAGGTGGCTTTGAGATTTAGCTCGGTTCAGGTTGACCTTACCAGTGTGTCAGTGCGGCCAGCTGATTGTATGATCATGCCACACACGAGTCGACAATGTGACCCAAATTAGCGGGCGGTTGACCTTACCAGTCCGCCTGAGACCATACCGATTTTATTATGAAAATTGAAAGTGTTTTGATGGCGACGTGACGTGGCATGAGCAGGCGGTAAGACGGTGGAGATGGGCGAAACCGGCGCGTGGCAGGCGGGCGGATTCGGCATCGACCCTGACGAACTCTCACGAATGTCGCATCCGGGCGACTTCGCGAAACTCCAGTCGCTGGGAGGAGTGAGTGGTCGTTGGTGCTGTGCGCTTTGCTCTGCTGTGTGCGTGTGTGGGTGCGTCTGTGCGTGCGCGTGTGCGTGGCTCCAACATGCACGGGGATGGGTATGTAACGTGCGCGTGCATGGTCAAGGGGTCGGTGATGAGCATGTGCACGGACATTGGCAGAAAATTACGGCATCGACCTTGGCGCAAGCAGGGAATGCGCCCTTCCACTCCCTCTCGTTATTCCAGGTTATTCCAGTCATGCGGCTAAGGATCCCCCCCTCATTTCCCCCCCACGCCGCACTGCGCCCACCCGAGCTCTGCTTCCCCTTCAACCTTCACCCGGACCTCTCCACCACTCTTCGAACCTCCCCATTCTCTCCCCTGAACCCCTGAACCCCCCATGCCACTGGGCTACATTGTCAGCTAGCGGGGGTGGCGGAGCAGCTGCAGGTGGATCCGCGGAAGGGCATCAGCGGCACGGACGAGGACATCGCGCGAGTGATGAGCTACCCCCTCATCCCCGCTCCCTCCCCCCCACTGAACCCCTCCCCTTCCCCCCCCCCCATTGGGCTGGTTTGGCAGCTAGCGGGGGTGGCGGAGCGGCTGCAGGTGGATCCGCGGAAGGGCATCAGCGGCACGGACGAGGACATCGCGCGCCGCCAGCTGCACTTCGGCTCCAACACCTACCCCGAGAAGCCCGGCAAGACCTTCTGGGTACGTTTCTGCAGGTCAGGGGTCATCGGTTAGTGTCTGTGGGCCAGTGTCAGTGTCTGTGTCTTTGGCAGTGGCCAGTGTGGTCCAGTCCAGTTGGCGCCAACACCTACCCCGAGAAGCCCGGCAAGACCTTATGGGTACGTGCATGTGGGTCAGTGGGTCAGTGGAAGGGAGGGAGCACCACGACGCACGTGAAACCCAAAGCCTTAAACCCAGACTCCTGTGCCCCCGTTGCTCTCTTCCCTGTGCGGCCCACCCTATGCCTCTCCGCCCTGAGGTTCTCCATTCTCCTCTCCCCCTTTCCTCCATCCCCACCGCAGTACTTCGTGTGGGAGGCGATGCAGGGCACGTTGGTGCAGATACGCTTTGTGTGTGTCATCGCATCCATCGCCATCAGCATCCCCGCCCATTGCTCCCTGTCCATTCCCTTCCCTGTGCCGCCCACCCTGTGCCCCTTTCCCCTCAACACCACGCCAGTACTTCGTGTGGGAGGCGATGCAGGACACGTTAGTGCAGATCCTATTTGTGTGTGCCATCGCATCCATCGCCGTCAGCATCCCGGCGGAGGGCTCCCTGGAGGGGCTGTATGACGGGCTGGGCATCTTCATCGCTCTCTTCCTCATCATCACTGTCGCTGGTAATGCACACACACACGCACATCCACACCTGTCCCACAAAATCGCCATTGCGCATGCACACACACATCCACATTCGTCATCTCCATCGCACTCTTCCTCATCATCACCGTCGCTGGTACCACATGGACACACCCACACTCCCCCCTCCCGCTTCTTCTCGCTCCTCCACTTCCCCTGTCATCTCCCTGCATCACCATCACCTCTTCATCTCTTACCGTGGTCTCTCCATCCGCTCACAATCCAATCCGCTCGTTCCCCTTGAACCCCCCTGCATGCGCCCATGTGTGGTGAGCAGCGATAAGCAACTACCGGCAGGCACTGCAGTTCCAGAAGCTCAACCGCGAGAAGCAAAAGATTCAGATCGAGGTGAGGTGCTTACCAGCAGCCGACGCCTTGTCGCCCGCTCAAAGCAGGCTCCGCTGTTGGCATCCATCCCACCATCCATCTTACCATCTCGCCCTATTGTGCCCTACGCTTCTCTCCTTCTGCCACGCATGGCACCCTCACACGCCCTGCCCGCCTTCATCCCTTCATGCCCTCCCCACCCCCGCCCTTACACGCCTGCGCACTGTGACACACACCCCACGCCCCGTGCTGCTACGTGCAGGTGACGCGGTCAGGGCGGCGGTGCAAGGTGTGGATAGACGACCTGGTGGTGGGCGACATCATCCACCTCTCCACCGGTGACCATGTGAACCACCCGTGCCCCTCGCCTTGTATCTCAGTACATGCCATGCCATGCCATGCCATGCCATGCTGCGTTCTCCCACTCCCACTCCCACTCCCATATTGTGCTGGCTTTGGGAAATACAATTTTAAATGAAAGATCGTAGTCTGTCCCTCACACTGTGTGTTTTCACTGTGTGTTTTCACTGTGTTTTCACTGTGTGCTTTCACTGTGTGCTTTCACTGTGTGCTTTCACTGTGTGCTTTCACTGTGTATTTTCACTGTGTGCTTTCACTGTGTGCTTTCACTGTGTGCTTTCACTGTGTGCTTTCACTGTGTGCTTTCACTGTGTGCTTTCACTGTGTGCTTTCACTGTGTGCTTTCACTGTGTATTTTCACTGTGTGCTTTCACTGTGTGCTTTCACTGTGTGCTTTCACTGTGTGCTTTCACTGTGTGCTTTCACTGTGTGCTTTCACTGTGTGCTTTCACTGTGTGCTTTCACTGTGTGCTTTCACTGTGTGCTTTCACTGTGTGCTTTCACTGTGTGCTTTCACTGTGTGCTTTCACTGTGTGCTTTCACTGTGTGCTTTCACTGTGTGCTTTCACTGTGTGCTTTCACTGTGTGCTTTCACTGTGTGCTTTCACTGTGTGCTTTCACTGTGTGCTTTCACTGTGTGTTTTCACTGTGTGTTTTCACTGTGTGTTTTCACTGTGTGCTTTCACTGTGTGCTTTCACTGTGTGCTTTCACTGTGTGCTTTCACTGTGTGCTTTCACTGTGTGCTTTCACTCTGTGCTTTCACTCTGTGCTTTCACTGTGTGTTTTCACTGTGTGTTTTCACTGTGTGTTTTCACTGTGTGTTTTCACTGTGTGTTTTCACTGTGTGTTTTCACTGTGTGTTTTCACTGTGTGTTTTCACTGTGTGTTTTCACTGTGTGTTTTCACTGTGTGTTTTCACTGTGTGTTTTCACTGTGTGTTTTCACTGTGTGTTTTCACTGTGTGTTTTCACTGTGTGTTTTCACTGTGTGTTTTCACTGTGTGTTTTCACTGTGTGTTTTCACTGTGTGTTTTCACTGTGTGTTTTCACTGTGTGTTTTCACTGTGTGTTTTCACTGTGTGTTTTCACTGTGTGTTTTCACTGTGTGTTTTCACTGTGTGTTTTCACTGTGTGTTTTCACTGTGTGCGTTCCTCTCTCTCGTGGCACACACAGGTACCAACGGACGGGGTGGTGATGGAGGGGCACTCGCTGGCAGTCAACGAGTCCAGCATCACAGGGGAGTCAGAGAATGTGAGTGCTGCTCTGTTGCCTGCTGCTGTTTTGGCTGCCGCCGTTATGAGTGCTGCCTTTTGAATGCCGCCCTTTGAGTGCCGCCCTTTGAGTGCCACCCTTTCAGTGCCGCCCTTTGAGTGCCACCCTTTCAGTGCCACCCTTTGAGTGCCGCCCTTTCAGTGCCGCCCTTTGAGTGCTGCCCTGATGCTTGTGGGCCCCACCACGTTGGCAAACGCGGCCACCAGCATTGACATTGGCACCTGCTGTCAGTGAAGCGAACGTAGCAGTGACGGCCTGTGCCATGCCGCAATGCTGCTGTGCTGTGCTGTGCTGTGGCATGATGCGGTGCGGTGCTGTGGTGTGCGGCGCTGCTGCTGTGCTGCACTGTGGCGCGCTGTGTTCTGCTGTGCTGCACTGTGGCACGCTGTGTTCTGCTGTGCGGCGCTGTGGTGTTGTGTGGTGGGGCAGATGCACAAGGACGAGGCCAACCCCTTCATTCTCGCCGGCTGCACCATCATGGATGGATTCGGCGAGATGATGGTGAGACTCAGCTACTAAACTGCTTCTACTCAAACTGTCAGAGTTTCAACCATGTATGTCGAACCTCAAACCTCTGGTCCCTCGATTCTGGTTGGACTGGAACAAACCAGTTCAGTCCAATCAGCTGTTTGGCGGCCTGTTTGAGCCAGTTCGGCCTGGTTGTTGCTCATCTTGGCCAGTTTGGTCTACCACCCCCGTCTTGTCTGCCTGCGTGTGTTCCTGCGTGCATGACACCTCTTCCCGAACTGCGTGCATGCGTGCATGGCAGGTGACGGCAGTGGGCATGAGGACGGAGTGGGGCAAGGTGCTAGCCACCATCACAGAAGACAGTGACGAGCCCACGCCCCTGCAGGTTAGTTCGTTAGGTGTGAGGCGAGCAGAGCAGCGGTGCAGGTGAGTGGTTGATGGGTAATGGTTGCACGCTGCTGCAGAGCCTGCTCAATATCACTAGCAATGCTTGTATTGTATCCTTTTTTAGCCAACACAGCCAACACAGCCAACACAGCCAGGTTTCTGGGGTTTGAGCCGTTATATATGTCCGCCCTGCCCTGCCTTGTTCCAGGTGCGGCTGACCAGAGTGGCAGAGCTGCTGGGCATCATGGGCATCACCGTGGGCGTGCTCATCTTCCTCATCCTCAGTATAAGGTGCGCTCTTTCCCGGTATAAGGTGTGCTCTTACTTGGTATAAGGTTCTGTTATGGGGCTGCGAATACTCATTGAGAGAGGACCCTAATGACATGACACGACCACCGTATCGTGTTCAGCGAGGAGAGAAATGATGGAATGCGCATGCATTGATGGCTATGTTGATGAATCTCGAAAGTAGAGCTTATGGAGTCTCAAAACACGCCACACCACACCACACCATGCTCATCACACCACGCCACACCACACCACACCACACCACACCACACCACGCCACACCACGCTACACCACGCCACACCACGCAGGTACCTGGTGACAGATGCAGATTTCAGCAACTTCACGGCCGATGACGTCAGCGTGCTGCTCAGCTACTTCACCATCGCGGTATGCCCTCTTTCCCCCATTCCTCTACCAGTGCCTCTCTCATTGCCACCACGTGCCATGTGCTCGCACTGCACTAGCTACTTCACCATCGCGGTATGCTCTCACCCATCCCTCATCTCATCCAGTCACTCTTTTCTTGCGACCCTGTGCTGCGTGTATGCTCGCACTCACTGCGATATCTGTCCTCCTTTCCACCCCTCTCTGCATCTCCATCCGTCCTCTCATTCGCCCCCATCAGATCACAGTGCTGGTCATCGCAATGCCAGAATGCCTTCCCCTTGCTGTCAATCTCCTACCCAAGTGCAGTGCAGTCGCCCAAGTGCAGTGCAATGTAGCACTGGAATCACTGTCGTTCCTCCCCCCATGCGTCCCTCGCCTCGCCCCCATCAGATCACAGTGCTGGTCATCGCAGTGCCTGAAGGCCTTCCCCTCGCTGTCACTCTCACGTAAGCTCAAGAGCATGTCTACAAATGGTCATGTGCCCTGCCTGTGTACCTCACTCTCCTGCTCACGCACCCATCCTTCCTCCTCCACGCCTCTCCCTTCACAATTCTTTCCTCCCTCCTCCCCTGCTTCACCACATGTACCCTTCTCCCCCCACCCATACCCTGCATACCAGTCTGGCCTTTTCAGTGACAAAGATGATGGAAGATAACTCGCTGGTGAGATCACTCACATCTCACGCACCTCTGGCTTGTTTCCATGTGATATCTGCTCGGTTTTGAGATGTCTGAAAACCAACCGTGCATACCAGTCTGGCCTTCTCAGTGACAAAGATGAAGGAGGATAACTCGCTCATCAGTCACATCGCATCATACTCACCTCTGGCTTGAGATGTCTCATCGCGTGATATCAGTTTGGTTTTGACATGTCTCAAAACCAACCGTGCATACCAGTCTGGCCTTTTCAGTGACAAAGATAATGGAGGATAACTCGCTCGTGAGCTCACTCTCTCGTTTCCTTCACTGCTGCCCCTGCCTGCTGCCGCCTGCTCTTTCTGCTCTTCTATTGGAGCACTGCTATTGGTGTGTTGCTGTTGGTGCACCGCTCACTGCATGACATCTCATGACATCTCATGCGTGCTGTGTGCCCTGTGTGCTGCCCATGCCCACCACCACCACCACCAGGTGCGGCACCTGCAGTCGTGTGAGACCATGGGGTGTGCCACCACCATCTGCAGCGACAAGACCGGCACTCTCACTCTCAACGAGGTGAATTTCCCCCCTCCGTACTCCCTCACTAGCCACACTTTCACACTACCACACTCCCTCACACTCAGTCATATGTTATGCGTAGTCCACAAGTACTGACCTGCGTACACCTGCTCCCACCCACTGCCTTGCTCGTGCAAGTTCTGCACCTCTCATTCTCTCTCATCTTCTCTCACACCACCCGTTCCGTCTCACCTCTCACTCCCTCTCCTATGCGCGCCTCTCATTCCCTGCGCCTCCCATCCCCCCCCCTGCACGCAGATGACGGTGGTGCAGGCGTGGGTGGCAGGCGACTTTCACAAGCCCCACACCGTCCGCACTGGCGTCTCCACACCCGTCGCTCAGGTATGCCTGCCCCAAGTACACTCATGGCTCAGATAGGCCTTATCTGCTGCTGCTGCTGCTGCTGCTGCTGCTGCTGCTACGTCTGTCCTATGGCCCCACCTCGCCTCTCTCCTCCCCGCACCATCAACCGCAGGTGTGTCAATGCCTCCAATGCCTCCTGCTTCAACCTGTCTCACACGCCCGGGTCCTCCTCTCCCCCTGTGCTATGTCTGTGCTCACCCCTCACAGCTGCTATACCAGGCCATCGCAGTCAACACCAGTGGATCTGTTGATGAGCCTCCGGTACCCTCTCTCCTCCTCACCTCACTCACCTCGCTCTCCTACTCATCTTTCCACTCCTCACCTCTCCTGCTTCCTTACCCCTCCCCCCCCTTCACCTCTCTCTACTCCTCGCCCCCCTCTCCTTCTCACCCCTCCCTCCCCTTCACCCCTCGCTCCTCTTCACCCCTCTCTCCTCCTCACCCCTATCTCCCCTCCATCCAAGCATGCCATGCTAATCGCGCTGCTCTGCTCTGCTCTGCTGTGCGCACATCATCTCACAGTTGCACCACTGCGTCGCTTCAACTGTCATCCTCTCATCATTCACACCCTCCCCCCCCCTCTCCCCCCCCTCTCTTCCTCTCCTCCCCCTCTCTTCCTCTCCTCCCCCTCTCTTCCTCTCCCCCCTATCTTCCTCTCCCCCCCCTCTCTTCCTCTCCTCACTCCTCCTTCCACTCTGCTCTTCTCTCCCTGCCTAATCTCTCTCCGTCTACCTCTCTCCCTCTTCCCCACACCCTGTGCTGCCACGTGGAAGGAGCAGGGCATGCCACCTGTCATCAGCGGCAGTCCCACAGAAAAGGCCATCCTCGCCTGGGGAGTCTCGGTAAGCCATCCCTCCCACCCTCCACCCTGCCATACTGGATTCGTCCATGTTATATGTTTGCCACTAACAACCGAGAATTCTAAAGTTAGCCACTCGTCCCCCTCCCATGCACACATGGTTCTTTTTCAAAAGTGCACACCCTCCCATCCTCCTCCCTCCTTTATCTCTCCCCGTCATCTGCTCCCCTTTCTTGAGATGATACGAGCCCACTCCCTTCATCGCACCAGTTCGGCATGCGTTTTCACGAGACCAAGGACCAGTGGGAGGTGCTGGCAGAGCAGCCCTTCACCTCCCATGCTGCTGTGTCTTGCACTCACCATTCCCCTCTTCCTTCCACCACCACCCCTCACCATTTCCTCCTCATCTCCTGTGCCCCAACCAGTTCGGCATGCGCTTCCATGAGACCAAGCAGCAGTGCGAGGTGCTGGCAGTGCAGCCCTTCACCTCCGATGCTGCTGTCTCTTGCACTTACCAATCCCTTACCCCAACCCACTTTCATCTCCTGTGCCCCAACCAGTTTGGAGTGCGGTTCCACGAGACCAAGGAGCAGTGCGAGGTGGTGGCAGTGCAGCCATTCAGCTCTACCCGCAAGCGCATGGGCGTGCTCATCCGCACTGCTGAGTCCCCCACCACCCACTCTCTCACCACCGCTTCTCCCTCTCCCCCCTTCCCCCTTCCCTCAGTTCGGAATGCGGTTCCATGAGACCAAGGATCAATGCGAGGTCGTGGCAGTGCAGCCCTTCAGCTCTACCCGCAAGCGCATGGGTGTGCTCATCCGCACTGCCGACTCTCTCACCACTCCCTCCGCTACCACCACCACCACCACCACCGGCAGCAGCACCAGCAGCACAGCAACCGCGGGAAGCACCACTCTGGGCAGCCTGCGCGTGCACTGGAAGGGCGCAGCGGAGGTGGTGCTGCAGCACTGCGGGCACTATGTGAACTCCCTTGGCAGCATCGTGCCTCTCACCGAGCCCAAGCGCATGGAGCTCGAGCGAGCCCTCCGCGACATGGGAAAAGAGGCGCTGCGCACGCTGGGGTTCGCGTTTCGAGACTTTGACCAGCGCACGGGCGTGGAGGGTATGCCGAAGAGAGAGGACGGCAGCGTGGGGGTACCGGAGGACGACTTAGTGTATGTGGGGTTTGTGGGGATCAAGGACCCGTGTAGGGTTGAGGTGCCGGACTCGGTGCTGCACTGCCAGAACGCGGGGATTGTGGTGCGCATGGTCACGGGAGACAGCGTTGAGACGGCCACGGCTATTGCCACGGAGTGCGGGATTCTGACCGCAGGCGGCACAGTCATGGACGGCGCTACGTTCCGCGCCATCCATGAAAACGACCTCCCTGCAAATGTTGATCGCCTTCAGGTGGGCTTTATCGTGCAAGTGGGTTGCAGATTTTGCAGGTGGGCGGCGGTTTCTGTATCTTCAGCTCCTCATCCCCCCTGCCCCTCCCTCTTCCTCTGTGATCTGCTTTTGACTGAATCCTCTCCACCGCTTACCAAACCTCCCCCATCTACCCTCTCCTCCTTCCCGCCCATGCCATCCTGTCCCCTTCACCAGGTGCTGGCGCGCGCATCCCCCACGGACAAGCTACAGCTGGTGCGAGCGCTCAAGGAGATGGGGCATGTGGTGGCCGTGACAGGCGATGGCACCAACGACGCGCCTGCTCTGCATGAGGTATGTGCGGTTGATGCATGTCTAATGTTGATGGATGGGTATGTGATGTGTGTATGCATGGGGCGTTGATGTGTGTGCATGCTGGCACGTGTGGCATGGCACCTCAGCAGCACCAGCCAGAGATGCGGCATGCATGGGGCAGTGCTGCACAGTGAAGCCAGGACAGAGTATGAGCATCTTTTTCCGTCCTGGACAACACCGTGAAGCGACACATGTGTGTCCCTTCCTCTCGCTTCCCCTCCCCCACAGGCGGACATAGGCCTGGCGATGGGGCAGTGCGGAACAGAAGTGGCAAAGGAAAGCGCGGACATCATAATTCTGGACGACAACTTTGCGTCCATAGTGCGCACCGTGGTGTGGGGGCGCTCTGTGTTCGCCAGCATCCAGCGCTTCCTGCAGTTCCAAATCACCGTCAACTGCGTTGCTCTCACCCTCAACTTCATCTCCGCCGTTGTTACCGGCGATGCACCTCTCACGGCTGTCCAGGTGTGTGGCTGGCAGAATGGTGGTGTGTAGGTGCTTGTTGACACACACAGTGCTTGCAGCCGCTCTGTGTTCGCCAGCATCCAGCGCTTCCTGCAGTTCCAAATCACCGTCAACTGCGTTGCTCTCACCCTCAACTTCATCTCCGCCGTCGTCACAGGGGATGCTCCACTCACAGCTGTGCAGGTGCATACCAGCTTTGTTGCTGAGAATCAACCATGCACCCACCGATGAGTCAACTCACTCCATTGCTGGCCAGAAGTTTGTGGCACCATGCACGCACTCTCGTCTCGTGCTCAACTGGCCCTTGCCCTTGCATTTCACCCTTTCCCCCACCCCTTTGTTCTCTCCAGATGCTGTGGGTGGATCTGATTCAGGACACACTAGGAGCGCTCGCCCTGGCCACCGAGCCCCCCTCCGACAAGCTCCTGGACCAGCCGCCTGTGGGGCGCAGCCAGGAGCTGGTGTCCGCCGCCATGTGGCGCAACATCATTGGGCAGACGGTGTACCAGCTGTCGCTGCTGTGCGTGCTGTGGTTCAAAGGCATGGAGCTGCTGCAGCTACCCGGGCCCCCAGGGGTGCCGCGGGTGATCGCCAAGGGCGGGGAGGAGATATCTGAAGGGGAGAAACAGCTCGTTACCATAATATTTTCTTCATTCGTCTTCATGCAGGTGAGTGCAGGTGTTGGGGTATTGTATTGTACGGTTTCTCGTCACGCAGGTGGACTGGGGGGGTCTCAACGTTTGACTTAATGCAGGTGTGGGTGGTGGGTGCTGTGATGGCAATTGCATTGCTGTGCGTGCTGTGGTTCAAAGGCATGGAGCTGTTGCAGCTGCCAGGACCCCCGGGCGTGCCGCGCGTGATTGCCAAGGGCGGGGAGGAGATCTCTGAAGGGGAGAACCAGCTCGTTACCATCATCTTTTCTTCATTCGTCTTCATGCAGGTGGGTTGGGGGTTGGGTGTTATGCTGGCAATGGTATTGCTGTGCGGGCTGCGGTTCAAGGGCTTGGAGATTCTGCAGATTCCCGGGCGTGTTGAGGGTGATTGCCAAGTACGAGGGGAGATCTCCCTCGGCCCACCAGATATTCAACCAGCTGAACTCGCGCAAGCTGGAGGAGTGGAACTGTGTGTAGCTTTGTGTCACAAGGTCAGATTCACCCCCCTAACCTCTCCCTTCCTTCTTCTCGTCCACGCTCCTCCTCTCCTGCCACCCATCAGATATTCAACCAGTTGAACTCGCGCAAGCTGGAGGAGTGGAACGTGTTTGAGGGGCTGCTGGTCAACCGCCTCTTCATCCTCATCGTCTCCATCGAGCTCTCCGTGCAGGTCAGCGCTGGTCAACGCTGTTCAGTTCAGGTGAATACTGGTAATGCAGGTCAATTCTAGTCAATGCTCGTCAACCGCCTCTTCATCCTCGTCGTTTCCCATGAGCTCGCCGTGCAGGTCAGAACCAGTCAACGCAGGTAAACATTGGTCAATGCTTCTGGTCACTGCAGGTCAGTGCTTGTGACTACTAGTCACGGCAAGTGAGTGTAGGTCAATGCTCGTCAACCGCCTCTTCATTCTCATCGTCTCCATTGAGCTCGCCGTGCAGGTCAGCGCCAGTCAACGCAGGTCAATGCTAGTAAGTGGTAGCTGGTCAGTTTTGGTGGTTATTAGTCAATGCAGGTCAGTAGTGGTCAATGCTGTGTGCTGCTGCGGGCCAGTGAAAAGGCTGCTGCAGCAGTGGGACGTGACTACCAAAAGCTGTGTGCGCCTCACGTAACTTCCATGTCCCTCCCCAACAAATTCAATCTGCATTCGTTCCCCCCCTTTCTCCCTTCCTCTCTCTTGCCCCACACTGCAATCCCCAGGTGCTGCTGGTGGAACTTATGGGCAAGTTTGCGGGCTGTGAGCGCCTGACATTGCCCCTTCCCGCTTCCTCCTCCTCCCTCGCTACCTTCCCCAGGTGCCGCTGCTGGAGCTGCTGGGGAAGTGTGCCGGCTGTGAGCGCCTGACATGAGCCCTCGTTGGGAAGTCCACCCTTTGCCCCACCTTGGTCTCCCTTCCTCCCTCCTTGCCCACAACTCCCAAACCCACCCCAGGTGCTGCTGGTAGAGCTGCTGGGCAAGTTTGCGGGCTGTGCGCGGCTGACGTGACGTGAAGGTCCCTCCTCGACCAATCCACTCTTTGCTCTCCCTCTCTCCCCCTCCATTCGTCCTTGCCCCCATTTTCCAGGTGCTGCTGGTGGAGCTGCTGGGCCAGTTTGCGGGCTGTGTGCGCCTGACTGACGTGATGTAAAGGTCCCTTTGCTCACTCTCTTTGGCTCTCCCTCCCACCTCCCATCTTTCAACAGGTGCTGCTGGTGGAGCTGCTGGGCCAGTTTGCAGGCTGTGTGCGCCTGACGCTGCAGCAGTGGACGCTCTGCTTCCTGCTGGGGGCTGGCTGCGTGCCCTTTGGCATGCTCTCCAAGCTCATTCCCCTGCCAGGTATGCTTCACATCGTAAGATTGGTTCAACACTTGGTTGGAACGTCATTCATGGTACACTGCCATCTTCAGTACACTATCCCCAGTCGTGTATTACCGGAAGCGATACCAACTATTTCCTTCCCAAACACCCCCTTTGCCTTGGCCGTGCCTCATCATTCTATCCACAGGAAAACGCCATGCTCGGAAGAAGATACTTTTTGGGCGGAATGCCAACCAGGGCTTCGAGCGCCTCGACGAAGCCCAATAATCGATAACTCTTTAGGGTTTATCGGAAAATATTAGTCTTACCACAAAGGAGGTAAGCCTCTTGCGTGCAAATTTTGAACAATGTTGGGACATTTTATTCTTGGCTTCCAGAAATTTCATAAAACGCTGAAATCATTATATATAGGTATCTGTAGGGGAAAGAAGTCACTGAAGTTGAAGCTGTTTAGACTATTTGATTAGAGTATTCAAATTTGCAAAATAGTACCATATTCGAAATTGTAACTAAAACACGTCAAGTTTTGTTGAGATTGACAATGCGGTAAGAGCAAACGTGCAGGTAAAGGCCATGCTCGGGAATGATACCAACTAATTCCTTCCCAAACACCCCCTTTGCCTTGGCCGTGCCTCATAATTAGATCTACAGGAAAACGCCATGCTCGGAAGAAAATACTTTTTGGCCGCAATGCCAACCAGGGCTTCGAGCGCCTCGACGAAGCCCAATAATCGATCGCTCTTTAGGGTTTACGGGGAAATATGAGTCTTACCACAAAGGGGGCTTCAAATGGCCAAGCCTCTTGCGTGCAAATTTTGAACATGTCGGGGCATTTTATTCAAGGCTTCAGGAAATTTCATAAAAGGCTGAAATAATTATATATAGGGGCAATAAGCCACTGAAGTTGAAGCCGTTTAGACTATTTGATTATGCAGTCAAATCTGCTGAATAGTACCCTACCGTACTTGAAATTGTAAGAGCACATGCAGATAGCGAGGACGTCTGGGTGGGAGCTGCTTGCTTGTTGCTCATGCCAAAGGGCTCCTGCAATTCGCGCCATCGACTGCTCCGCCAATTGCTTTCTTGCAATCTTTTTCATAGCGGCCAATCCGCTTAACTGCACGATTCTCACCCTTTCTCGTTCATCTTCACACGTGACGCGTCGTGCAATTCGCTGTGATGTCAGCAGCAGCGGCAGGTCGCGCGATGTGGTTCGACGCGCACTGCCACCTGCAGGACCCGCGCATCGCCGCGCGCGCCGCGCGCATCGTGGGCGACGCGGCTGACGCGGGCGTCCAATGGATGGTCTGCAACGGCACGCATGAGGTCAGCAGTGGGCGTAGTGACGTCAGTATTGACAGGAATCGTGTCCCTTCTCCCCTCCCACCCCTACATCCCCACCCCCCTCCTTCCCCGGCCCCCGTCTCCGACAAAGGAGAGCAAATGAAAGGATTCATGCTCCCATAACCTTATGCCCGCCCTCCCATTCCCATGCCCCCATGCTTCCCATGCACGGGCGGTCGTCAGGGGGACTGGGATGCAGTGGCCGCCATTGCTGCTGCCCACCCGTGCGTCATCCCATCCTTCGGCCTGCACCCATGGTATGTGAGCGTACACGCATGGCACATGACAGATGGATTGCTCATGATGCATGACCAATGGCGCATGGCGCATGACTTGAAACGGATACCACGTGATCATGCACATAATACATGCCCTGCACTACACGGCATGGTTCCATGCCCCAGCCTCGGCCTCCCCATGCCCCTGTGGTCCCGTACCTCCATATACCCCCCATGCCCGTGTCCGCACCAAATTAGCCGCTTGACTGCAGACCACCACTTCCCATGATGTTGCATTGCAAATCCCCGTGCCCACCCCCGTGCACTCATGCCCCCATGCCTGCAGGTACATCGAGTCTCGGTCGCCCCAGTGGGTGCAGCATTTGGAGGAGCGCCTATCAGCGCATCCCCACGCGGCCATGGGCGAGGTGGGTGCTGGGTTCTGGAGGGGAAGGGGGAAGGCACATGCAGGTACGTGCACTCTCCGTCGCCCCAGTGGGTGCAGTGGGCGCATCCCCACGCTGCCATGGGCGAGGTATGCTCCTATGCCCCCATGCCTCCATATCCCCTTGGCCCCCCATGCCCCCACGCCCCCATGCCTCCAGTGGGTGCAGTGCAGCATCTGGGGGAGCGGCTCTCGGCGTGGGGGCTGTGCACGCTGCCATGGGCGAGGTGGGCAGTCCATGCAGCTCGGGGAAAGAATGAATGAAAGAACAAGAACAAGAGGGTTGGGGAAACGAGGGAGCCTGTGAACGGGGGGCTGTTGTGAGGGCGTGTGAACGGGGGGCTTGCCCTGCCCCTCGTCCCACTCTCGCCAGGCAGGCTTGCATGGCAGTAGGCAATCTGGCAACAACAGCAGCAGCAGTGGCAGTGGCAGCGGCAGCGACAGCGGCAACAGCAACAGGGGGGCGGAGATGGAGGAGCAGGTGGAGGTGACGTGCGAGCAGCTAAAGCTGGGTCGTCGCTTTCACCGCCGTGAAGGACCAAACCTTTCCTTGTTTCTCCGCCTGCCCTGCACCCCAACCCACTCCCCCCAGGCAGGCTTGCATCGTAGCAGGAAAGCCAGCAGCAGCAGCAGCAGCAGCAGCAGGGGAGCGGCGATGGAGGAGCAAGTATCTGTGATGTGCGAGCAGCTGAAGCTGGCTCTCCGCTTTCACCGCCCCATCGCCCTGCACTGCGTTCAGGCATATGGTCATATGCTCACAGCCCTGCAGCAGGTACGGCGCTGCAGCAAGAGTGGCGCTGCAGCAAGTGTGGCACTGCAGCAAGTGTGGCACTGCAGCAAGTGTGGCACTGCAGCAAGTGTGGCGTTATTGAAACTCTGTGCCCCATTGCCCTGCGCTGCGTTCAGGCATATGGACACATGCTCACAGCGCTGCAGCAGGTATCGCGCTTTTTGCCCAGCTCTGTGCGTAAGCCATGCTGCATGCGATGCAACAGGTGCATGTGCATGTGGATGGATTTTGGATTGTAAACAGGTGGTGCAATATCAGCATCATGTGCACGTTCTGTGCTTTCCATGCATACTCTCGGCCATGTGGACTGCGTGAGCTGCAGTCAGGAAGTCACTTTTAATGCTTTCCATGCATACTCTCATGCCCTTGGTTCCACTCCAACCTCCTTGCACCTTCTCTCCACCCCCTTCCACTCCACCCCCTCCGCACAGCACAGGCCATTCCCAGCAGGAGTCATTCTGCACTCATTCAACGGCCCACCAGGCATGCCTCAGTCACTCCCTTCTCTCAATCCACCCCTCGTACCTTCTCCCTCCCCTCTCCCATTCCCACAGCACGGCCCATTCCCAGCAGGAGTCATTCTGCACTCATTCAACGGCCCTCCAGACATGATTTCAGCGCTCGTCTCTCTCAACGCCTACTTCTCCTTCTCCCGCCTCTCCGCCTCCTCGCCCCCCCACAAGCTCGCGCACCTGCTGCAGCAGGTATGCTCCTCACTGCAAACTCCGCCACTGCACTGCAAAATCACACCTTCTTTCCCCCACGTTCCATTTGATTGCCCTCGTCACCCTCCTCACCCTTCTCCTCCTCCCTCAACCTCCCAACCCTCTATTCCTCCCCCCCAGGTGCCTCTAGATCGCCTCCTATTGGAAACAGACTCGCCTGACGGCCTCCCCTCTACCCCCCTGACCCACCTCTTTCTTTCTCGCCTGCTCCCGTCCTCCTCACCCTCTCTCTCTCTCTCCCCCCTGCACCTTCCACCCTCCCAGGTGCCTCTAGATCGCCTCCTACTGGAAACAGACTCACCTGACGGCCTCCCCCCTGCCAGGCGCAAGGGGGAGGGGGGCAGCACTGGGAGGGGCGGGGGAGAAGACGTGAAGGCGGGGAGGGGTGGGGGGGAGGGGTGCATGGACTCTCATTCTGAGGCGCGACAGCAACGAGAGGAGAGGGGAGGAGGCGAGAGGGGCGGAGTGGAAGTGGAGAGAGGAGAGGCATGAGGAGAGAGGAGAGGAGAGAGGGGAGGAGAGAGGGGAGCATAGAGGGGAGAGGGGGTCAGGAGAGGCACAGGAAGGAGGAGAGAGAGGGGCGGAGGACAGTGGCGATGGTGCTGCGTTGAACACACCGGCTACCATTGGACTGGTGCGAGGGCACTTCCATTGAGATACATTCACACCCTCCCGCATGCCACACACTCAGATCCCACATGACACACACTCACAAATGACACTGCGGCACCATGAGGTGTGACTCTAGTCGCCTCCCTTATCCCTCCCATCTCGCCCTTTCCTACTCCCTTCTCCCGACTGCCTTGTCTCTGTTTTCCTTCTCCCTTTCTCCTCCTCCCTTCTCCCTTGTCCCTCCTCCCTGTCCCCGTCCAGGTGCATAGGATAGTAGTGGCGAGTGGCATGTGCAGGTCAAACAAATAGGTGGCAGAAGCAGCACTTTTGAGTCGGTTTCAGAATCAACTCCCCTTTTCCCTCCTGCCTTCTCCCTCCGCCCTGCCCCCATGCAGGTGTGTGAGATGGTGGTGAGCAGCATGGGCAGGTCTAAGGAAGAGGTAGCAGACGCAGCATTCGCCAATGCTGTTCGCCTCTTCTCCTTCCCAGGCTCACGTCTTTCTTCTATTGGGGCGTTTCAAAGAACAAAGGAGTAGCAAATGCAGCATTAGATAATGCTCTTCGACTCTTCTCCTTCCCAAGGTAACTTATTTCTTCACACCAATGGCAGAGCCAAGGCCAGCGGAAAATCTAGCAGCAGCACCAGCATACATAAGTCCCATGGGACCGAGAAGGCTTGAGCTCATACTAGTATGAGCTCAAGCCCCACTAGTGCCATGTGCTACCATCGCCACGCGAACGTTTTTAATACCAGTATGAGAAGGCGACGTTTTGATTCGAAGGATGCTTGAAAAGAGATGCTGGGCAATTGTGAACATGAATTACAAGGTAAAGCGGCGGAAAAGTGGTAAGGATTGAGGAGGGAACTTAGCGGGATTCAGAAACTCGACGCTTTGTTAATGTCAGCAGCAACACTCCCAGCAGCAGCACTCCCAGCAGCGGCACTCAAAGTCGTTGGGCGCGTGATGGGGCGGCATGGTTAGCAAGACATGCAGGAGGCACGCACGCCGTTGTGACTGCCTGCCGTGCGTCATCCCACCGCCCTCCATCCCTGCACCACGCTACCATAGCCCTGTGCGAGATGTTGGAAGTTTAGGAGAGGGAAGGGAGCGAGTGCGGGAAAGGAGAGAAGGCAGAAGGGGACAGGAATTGAAGAAGTTCGTCTAATATAAGCATGGACGCGATTGACAAATTGTAATGCGGCAGGGATAACAGGAGGAAAAACAATTGTAATACTGTGAGAGAAAAAGCTGGAAGTTAAACAACAGGTGGTATAGTGAAAAGGTAGGCGATGGTAGTTCATGACACTAGGTTGGCGAGCTAGCAGGTAAGGGGGACAAGGTAAGGAGACGCGGGCATGAGTATGAATGTCCTTCTTACCTCGTCCCCCTTGCCTGCTAGCTCGCCAAGCTTGTGCCATGAGCTACCATCCCTACCCTTTTACTATACCACCTGTTGTTTAACTTCCAGCTGTACTCTCACAGTATTTTACCTCCGTTTTGTTTTCCTCCCGTTATCCATGCCGCTTTACAATTTGTCAATTGCGTCCATGCTTATATCAGACTAACTTCTTCGATTATTGTCCGATTCTGTCTTCTCTCCTCTCTCTCACTCGCTCCCTTCCATCTCCTAAGATTTCTCCTCTCGCACAGGGCTGTGGCATCGTGGTGCGGGGAGGGAGGGCGGTGGAATGACGCACGGCAGGCAGTCACAGCTGCGTGCGTGCCTCCTATATGCCCTACTGACCACGCCGCTCCCTCACGCGTCCAACGACCTAGAGTCCTGCTGCTGGGAGTGCTGTTACTTGGAGTTGCTGCTGACATTAACAAAGCGACGAGCAGCTTCTGAATCCAGCTAAGTTCCCTCCTCAACCCTTGCTATCCTTACGCTGCTTTACCTTGTAATTCGTGTTCACGATTGCCCAGCGTCTCTTTTGAAGCATGCTTCGAACAAAAATGCCGCCTTTTCATGTAGTTACTAAAAACGTTCGCGTGGCAATGGCAGCACGTGGCACTGGGCGGCTTGAGCTCATGCTATTGTTCAGGGGGTTATAATTCTTTCATACTCATTCCCGCGATTCCTTCTTACCTCGTCCCCCTTGCCTGCTAGCTCGTACCAACAATCAAAATTATCCGACGTGTAAAATTAATGATAACATTATTAGCTCCTTGAACCATCTCGCTTTGGTATAGCTCGGTAGCTAGTGCCATGGGCTACCATCGCCTCCCTGCTTTCATTGCATCATTCCACCTTGCTTTCACTTTTGTATTCTTCAAGCTTTCCCTGGCTTTGCTTCATTTGTCGCTTGTCATCCTTTTCCGTGGCTTTATTCCATCCCTAGACCAGTTTCCGGCATCCAGTATCTATTTTCTCCCTATCACCATCCCATGCCCTTGTCCCAGCATAAAAGGAGTGCAACACTCAAGAGCATCACTTGAGGAGCAACACTTCAAGACTGTTACAAAGGTACTGGAGCTGGACACTCTATAGCTGGCTCGTGAAAGCTGACCGCGGGTCTTGTGCATCAGAGCATAATAGCTACAGAGAACACTGACCATAGGGCTGATTCTGAACATCCAGGTCTCTAGTCAAAGTTTGTGCATCAGAGCATAATAGCTACAGAGAACACTGACCATAGGGCTGATTCTGAACATCCAGGTCTCTAGTCAAAGTTTGTGCATCAGAGCACACCAATTACAGGGAAGACTAACCACAGGGCTTGTAGACAGGCACCCTAGCCACAAGTCTTGTAGTCCAGGCCCTCTCAACCACTAGGCGTGCACATCCAAACACTCTTACCCAGTAACCACAGGTGTTCTATCCACAAAGCTTGAACATCTAGAGACACCCTAACCGCAGTGCTCGTGCACGGAGGATTGACCCCAAGTACGGAAGCATGCATTATCCTTGCATTGATTGCAACAGTTGGTTTGCTTGGATTGCATCTTGGTCTCTACAACGCACGTTTCACGTTGTTCAGTTATGCTTAGTGTAACTCTTGCCACTCATAGCGGCCAAAAGCTTATATTAGAGCATAAGGCTCAAGCCACCTTAGATATTGTTGATGGATCACCTGAGCCTTTGAAACTGCCCCCTACCATTCCAAGACGGGGCAACTGGCTCTTGTGTCTGTAACTCTGGTGATCCGGCATTTGAATCTTCAGACAACTCTTCACGTGAGCCTTTAGGTGAATTTCCAGGTGAATCTTCAGGTGAATCTCCTTGAGAGCCATCTGGAGAATCGAGGCATGAGTCTGCTCGGGAGACAAACGAGTTGTGGGAAGTGGTGCGGGCCATGCTGAGTCGAATCATCGCTCGGCTGATACCCTGCAGCTCTGATACCACTGTGCTGATGTCGGGACGAGACCGGGCGGCGGGGGAGGCACAGCGGGCGGCGAGGCGAGCGAAGGAGCGGATGGGACGGAATGGCATGGACTGGGCGGCTATGGAGGGGTCGAGGACTGTAGCAAGGTCGTCTGTTGCTATGCTGTCTAACATCTGGGGGCGAGGAGTGGTGGAAGAGGTAGGAGGAGCAGGAGAGAGGAGGACAAACGGAGGTTCGAAGTTTGAGGGTTGACGGGGGAGGTGGGTGGGCGGATGCATAAGGATTGGGGAGGGAAGAAGAGGGATAGGCTTGCAGAGGAAAGCACGGCGAACGTGACCACAGAAAGATGTTCCAAGCACCTAAGGAAGCGGGTGAGATGCAGCAGGGTGGTTTTGAAAATTCTCAGAACCACCCTAAAGCACGGCGAACGTGACCACAGAAAGATGTTTCAAGCTCCTAAGGAAGCGGGTGAGATGCATGGGTTCCTCATGAATCGTGAAGAGCAGGAGATTGTGCGGAGAACAGCAGGCAGGGAATCGATGGTTACCGGTAATCGAATGACAAGGTGCATTTGGGGCAGGGAATCGATGGTTTCCATAGGGGCAGGAGGAAGGCCCACCTGGTGCACATTGAACGCGACTGTGCTGGCAGTGGCTTGGTCCGTGGTGGTGGCTGGACATCCTGAGAGCAGCTCTAGCATTATGATGCCGAGGCTGGAGAGGTGGGGCAGAGGGGTGAGAAGGGCGAGAAGACAGGCTTGAGGATGATTAATGTGTGGCTGACCACACAAAGGTCTGTGGTGGTGGCTGGACAGAGAGCAGGCAGCTAGAGCATTACGATGATGCCCAGACTGGTGGTCGGATGAGACGAGCTGGTTTTTGAGAATCCTCAAAAACCAGCTGGTGGCTGGATATCCAGCAGGCAGCTAGAGGATTATGATGATGCCCAGACTGGTGGGATGAGGCAGGGCGAGGGAGGTGAGGCAGGAGGAGGAGGCGTGAGCGCAGTGAGGATGGGTGGAAAAAAAAAAAAAAAGTAAAAAAAAAAGTGAGGCATTAAGCCTACTGCACGCACGCAGCTCACTGAGCCATGTCCGGATCTCGACTGGTGGGATGAGGCAGGGCGAGGGAGGTGAGGAAGGAGGAGGAGGCGTGAGCGAAGTGAGGATGGGTGGAAGAAAGTTGGCGACAAAACAGCTGCTGCACGCATGCTGCACTCTGCACCGCACCCATATGCATCCGTATGCACCACAAGAAGCCTCAATCAGAAAGTCCATTTGGAAAGAGCATTGCGGAAGCCACAATGCTGCACTTATATGTACCACTAGGAACCGTTTTGGGAAGCACCAGGAAGAAGACAACCATACCCACCCATAGATGTCTGTGCGGGTGGTTGGCCGCATGCGCTCCCACCAATCCGGGTCCCTGTTAGAAGGTGCCACGTGGCACTGCTGAATTAAGCAGGGAGAGCTGGGTAGGCCCTTGATAATCCCCAGATTCGCCAACCGGGCCTGGAAGGGGTGGCGACACATAAAGGTGAGAAAACGAATATATAAAAAAAGAAAACTATTTGAGCAGCAGACGTACACCAAGGCTCCCCTTGGTGGCGGTGCACCAAGGAGGGCTGGGGTCCTTTGAGGCGACTCATACAGTGCAATGTACACACAAACATAAGACTTGCACACATCAGTCATGCACTGACACACTCACCACAGGGAGCACTTCAAGGAAGATGGAGGAGGAGCAGAGGCGACGGTGCACCAGGGGGGGCTGGGCGGCCTCTTGAGGCGAATCATACAGCGCATTACACAAACACACACATCAGACATGCACTGACACACTCACCACAGGGAGCACTTCAAGGAAGATGGAGGAGGAGCAGAGGCGCCGGTGCACCAGGGGGGGCTGGGCGACCGTGTGCAGATGGCACAGCGCCTCCGCCACGGCTGTGGCTATGTCCAATCGCTGCGAGAAGGCTAGTGGTGGGGGCGACTGTGCGTCTGCGGTAACACGGGGAATATGGGGAGTGCACACGTTGTAAGGGGAGGGTAGCACCAGAAGTGGCTGGTTGAGCGACTGTGTGCAGATGGCACAGCGCCTTCGCCACGGCTGGGGCTATGTCCAATCGCTGCGAGAACGCCAGTGGTGGGGGAGAGTGTGCGTCTGGTGCAGTGGGGGGAGGGGACACGGGGAATATAGCTGGTAAGAACATTGGAAGGGGAGGGAACACGGGGAGTGGCTGGCTGGGCGGACGTGTGCAGATGGCACAGCGCCTCTGCCACTGCCCTGGCTATGTCCAGCCGCTGGGAGAAGGCCAGTGGCTGGGGTGACTGTGCGTCTGGTGTGAAGGGAGGGGAGGGAAGGGGAAGGGAATGTGGTGAGCAGCGCATGTGCATGTGTGGATGCAAGCACATGTGCGGATGCAAGCACATGTGCGGATGCAAGCACATGTGCGGATGCAAGCACATGTGCGGATGCAAGCACATGTGCGGATGCAAGCACATGTGCGGATGCAAGCACATGTGCGGATGCAAGCACATGTGCGGATACAAGCACATGTGCGGATGCAGCACATCGGACCCCCATAAGGGAGGGAGGGAAGGGACTGTGCGTCTGGTGTGAAGGGAGGGGAGGGAAGGGGAAGGGAATGTAGTGAGCAGCACATCGGACCCCCATAAGGAAGGGAGGGAAGGGACTGTGCGTCTGGTGTGAAGGGAGGGGAGGGAAGGGGAAGGGAATGTAGTGAGCAGCACATCGGACCCCCATAAGGGAGGGAGGGAAGGGACTGTGCGTCTGGTGTGAAGGGAGGGGAGGGAAGGGGAAGGGAATGTAGTGAGCAGCACATCGGACCCCCATAAGGGAGGGAGGGAAGGGACTGTGCGTCTGGTGTGAAGGGAGGGGAGGGAAGGGGAAGGGAATGTAGTGAGCAGCACATCGGACCCCCATAAGGGAGGGAGGGAAGGGACTGTGCGTCTGGTGTGAAGGGAGGGGAGGGAAGGGGAAGGGAATGTAGTGAGCAGCACATCGGACCCCCATAAGGAAGGGCCGCTGCGATTTCTGTGCCCGATGACCGGCCTGCTTACATGCACAAACCCCACCACGAGACTTCTTTTTTACGAAAGAGCCACAGCAAGGGACGTGAGTACTTACCACTGTCCGCAGCAAGGGACGTGAGTACTTACCACTGTCCGCAGCAAGGGACGTGAGTACTTACCACTGTCCGCAGCAAGGGACGTGAGTACTTACCACTGTCCGCAGCAAGGGACGTGAGTACTTACCACTGTCCGCAGCAAGGGACGTGAGTACTTACCACTGTCCGCAGCAAGGGACGTGAGTACTTACCACTGTCCGCAGCAAGGGACGTGAGTACTTACCACTGTCCGCAGCAAGGGACGTGAGTACTTACCACTGTCCGCAGCAAGGGACGTGAGTACTTACCACTGTCCGCAGCAAGGGACGTGAGTACTTACCACTGTCCGCAGCAAGGGACGTGAGTACTTACCACTGTCCGCAGAAAGGAACGTGAGTACTTACCACTGTCCCTGCCCTGCATCATCAACTCCCTCTGTGCCTGCAAGCGAGCACACAGTGTCTTCTGGTCAGACCACTCATACAGCAGCAGCAGCTCCCTCCCCCCACTGCCTCCTCTCCCTCCCACTGATGCCGATGCCGGTTCTACCCCTGCTCCTGCTCCTGCTCCTGCTCCTGCTGCTTCTTTTGCTCCTCCTCCTGCTTCTGATGTTCCTGCTTCTGCTCCTGCTTCTGCTCTTCCTCCCCCACCTTCTGCCTCCCACGCCCCACTGCCTACCTTCCCCCCACCCGGTTCTGGTGCGCACTGTGTTCGCCTCACCCTCCCCTTCCTCCCTTCCATTACACTCTCCGCGCCCTTCCCGCCCTTCCCTTCCTTCCCCACCCCCTCTCCTCCTACCTCCACTCGGCAATCAGACGAAGCAACAGATTGGTCACCCGCCTTCCCTCTGTCCTCCCCCTCCTCCCCTTCCTCCTGTCCACCCACACTCCCCACTCCTCTGCCTTCCATGCCTGCTTGCCCACCGTCTGCAACTCGCCCTGAACCCTCACCCTCGCCTTGCCTAGACCCCCCACCCACTCCGCACCCCGACCTCCCACCCCCCCCCTGCTCCTGCGCGCCCCTCTTCCGCCACAGTATTTGCGCCCACTGCCTCATGCTCTCCCCCACTTGCCTCAGCCGCCTACCGCCGCCCGCCTGCCCCAGAGGTTGGTCGCTCCAGCCAATCAGGTGCAGCAGATGGGGATGCGACAGACCGGAAAAACGGTTGATCTGCCGTGTGTGGGTTGGGGCAAGTGCGGTGGCGGCGAGAGGTGAGAGGAGAGAAGTGAGAGGTGAGATGTAGACCAAGATAAGAGATGGCCGTTCTTGCTTCAACGAAACGGGAGAGTCATTAATCCTGCACTACCCACTACTCTCACTTTTTGTCCCTCACTCCCTATCACTCACTCCCTATCACTCACTCCCTATCACTCACTTCCTCGTTGAACGCTCTTCTCTTGGCAGCTGCGCCAGTCCAAGGCAGCCACGTGGCACCTGCCAAACCATCAGGTATGGTGGTCCGAACCACAAGCCAAGGCTCGCCCTCGGGTCCGGAGCATGGAAAGGAGTCTCCAAAAGGGCCCGAACCAAGCTGAGTGGTGGCGTGGGGAAGGGATGGACGGGGGAAGAGAAGAACGACAGGGTGTTGGAGAAAGGTGGAGAGGTATGGAGAGGGGTACCAATGGGTGATCAGCAGTGCAGGGAAGTGGAGAGGTGAAGGAAGTGCTGCAACAAGGATTTGAAGGTGAGTGAGAGAAGGCAGGAGGGAGCGAATGAACAGGAAGTGACGTAATGAGTGAGTGCGTGAGTGCGTGGTGCAGAGGGACCGAGAGGGGGTGTGCAATGCAGGGGAAAGGGAGGGGAGGGGAGGGGAGGTATACCTTGAGAAGAGGGTCGTAGTGGTGGGTGGAGCGGGCGATGTAGTCTGCTAGAAACACCTCATCGAAGCTGCTCTCTGCTCTCCTCGCTGCAAATGGAAAGTATCCGGTGCCATGCCATGCCGAGCCAAGCCAAGCCATGTCATGCAGCATCATGCAATGAATGACACATGGCAGCACATGGCAGCACATGGCAGCACACCAGCAGCCATGACCCATGACAGGGAGAAGCGTCAGGAAGTGCCAGCGTGGTGAGGGGAGGAGCAGCAGCAACATTAAAAACTCGGAACCACATCCGTGTGACACAAGTAACCGGGTTACCAGACGCAGCAGCGGGTGGGCTTACCAGAAACAGCAGTGCATGGGGGACCGCACCTTGTCGGCAGCACAAGCAGAAACAGATGCTGGCTATAACGAGGATGATTGCAGCACAAAAGATGGTGGCGAGGAACGATATTCGCGACAGCAGACGGCTGCTCCAGCCACCTGACAGGGTGGGGTGCGCAGGGGCGGGGGGAGGGGGGGAAGAGGAGTGGGTCTGTTTTTGAGGCGTCTCAATAACAGCAGCACACGTGGCGAGGAACGATATGAGAAGAGGGTGCGACTGCAGACGGCTGCTCCAGCCACCTGACAGGGTGGGGCGCGCAGGGGCGCGCAGGGGCGCGGAAGGGGAGGGGAAGGAGGCGGGACGAGAGAGGAGAAAGAGGTGAATGAGAGGGCGGGATAAAAGGGGGATATCTGGGAGGAGCAGTTGGAGGGGGTGTAAAATGTCATTGAGGAGGGAAAATGCGAATTAAGTCTGAAAGCGAAAAGGCGACAGCGCGCATGCTCGGGGAGGGGGACAGCGCGCATGCTCGGGGAGGGGGGCAGCGCGCATGCTCGGAGAGGGGGACAGCGCGCATGCGCAGGGAGGGGGAGTAGAACACATGCACGGGGGAGGGGGCAGCGCGCATGCGCGGCGGGGAGGAGAGGAAAGGGAGCATGCACGGCGGAAGGGACTTGCCAGAGGGCGAGGCGGGCGATTCTTGCAAAAGACGACGCGAGACGCGTTGAAGCGCGTGAATGGAGTGATGCGCGTCAGGCGCGAGACGCGCGAGAGGCGCGAGAGTAGAGTGAGGGGAGTGAGGCGCGCACGGGGGCTTCTCGTGCGGCAGGCTGCTGCTACTGCCACGACTGCTGCCATTGCCCAAGACGGCAACGACCATGAGCAGCGCTACCAGGGCTGGCGGCCGCCGGGTTAGACGCACGGGCGTATTCCGGCGAACAACGAGGCGTGGCGAGCGCACCCCGCCAGTGTGCGAAGTAGATTTTTGAGGCGCCTCGAGAACCGAGCGCACTCCGGTGTGCACGGAGCGCGGAGCGGTGCGAGCTGCGCTGTTACGTGCCGCTGATGTGCCACTAGGTGCAAAGGTCGAATCTAGCTCCATCGCCGCTTGGCGAATCTCGTACGTATAATAGATAACTATGAACCCCGAAGCCTATTCATGAGCAAGATGCTGCAACGCGGAATAATTTACATCGGACCCTGGCGAGCCTCGTCTGCGGCATTTCTGTGGCTAAGCAGGGTCGGGACTACGCGAGACTGATACATAAGCCGTGAAGCCACAGACAAATCGAAAATTTAGAAGAACCCACACAACGAGCTTCGGTGCAGCAATGACGGTGACATAAAGACATCAAGAACGGCGGAGCCTGCTGTGTCTTAGGAACTTCGTTTCGGACTAGTCAAAAGGGATCTCGAAATCGTGACTTGAGTACAGAGCACGTGAATGGGAGGGATTTCTGGCCTAGTACCATCAACAATTGTTTGACTGCATGCCGAGTTGCAGCGTGAAAATCATTCCTAACCCATCCGAAGCCATCCCAAACCATTTCCATCCCACTCAAACTGATCGCACTGCGTTACATTTCATTCGCATCGCTCGTCGACAGCAACACCAATAATTGCTACCTCGAGACGCGGCCAGTTCACAACGGGATTTTCGACAGCGGTGCGCGAATATTTTGGCGTGTATAAAGAGCACACTTGCGGTACAAGGAATATAACACGAACGAGTGCTTCTTGTAATTCCTTCTTTTGGTCACTCGAGAGTAGATCATCTAATAATAATAAAAAATCTCAGTACAACAGCACATGACATAATAGCCTACACACGGATAAAAACAAATTTACACCACATCATGTCCCATCATTTAAAACTCTTCGATCAGTTGTTGCCTGGACATGCCAAAAAGTCAGCATTAGTGCAACCCAGAATCACCAAATGAACTAACAGCACCAAAACAACAGATGCATGCAAATGGATATGATTGAAGCAGCAAAACTTGAATTCTAGGACAAGCAGCAGGAGCCTTACCCTGCAGATACTGTAGGATCTCAAGCATGCGAATGAAGAGGTTGATGATGTCAAGATAGATGTTGAGGCTTGCCATCACATACTCGTCATATGAGTACCCTGCACACACACGGAACAGAACATAGCGGCAGTAAGTAAATGCAAGCTCAAATGAAGATATCACTGCAGCCAGGCATATAAACTAGGGTAATAAGGGATCCAGCTCAAGTATTGTGAGATCAATTCATCGCACAACTGTGTGCGAATAACGCGGTTACTTACGCCTAATGATAAGGTCGGTGTCGTACACAATGAAGAGGGCAAAGATGAGAGCACCCACCAGAGCCAGAGCAAACCTAAACAAGGGGAACACACACAGGCAGACAAGATATAAGCAGGAAAGAGTGGCATGACACCCAGCATACGTGTCCGCGACGCCAAGTGCAGCAAGTATTACAACAGAGCGGAACAAAATCATGCAACCCCTCATGTTTCACACCTACAACTCCCTTTATGTATAAGAGCACGGACAAACGTCTGCAAGTGTAAAACTGACTGTTGAGAACTGAGTTTGAAACTCACTCGCTGCCGAGGCCCCAGAAGATTTGAATGAAGGACCAGCCGAGAAGCAGCCAGAGGCTGACGTACAGCATGGGACCCAGATAGCTGGAACAGAGACGGACAAGGGAACGACGAGTGAGAGGGGTGAGAGGTGAGAGACTGAAAGAAGCACTAGATAAGTAGCCGCTATATATCCACGTATAGCATAGGGGGCATGTAACTAGAGCAAGCGAGACGGGGTGGAGCATGGGAGGGGGGGGAAGGGAAGAGAAGGCCGGGGGAGGGGGGGAGGGGGAAGGGGAGAGATGGGAATTGGGAGAGGAAGGAGTAGGAAAAGCAATGGAGGCCAGGAGAGGAATGGAGAACGATGTTGCATGGCAGGGCGAGAGAGATGAAAAAGGAGGCGAGGGCGTACCTGAACTCCTGCCCCTTCTTGACAGCATAGTAGGTGTACGCTGTCAGCCCCAGTACCACTGAAGCCGTAAGGCCAAGGGCCTCCACCACTATGGGCCCTGGTGAAGAAAAAAGGCGTGCAGGTGGAAAGGAAAGGGGGGCGAGAGTATGAGTGGGTCCTTCGAAATCTCAGGCCAGAAATGACCAACGGCACGGAAAGCTGAAGGGAGCCTCAGAAAAGAGAGAGAAGAGGGGGTGATGGCAAGGTCGGAATGGAAGGGAAAGCATAGGAACGAGAGGTCGACAAAGAAGCAGGAGGGGGGAGAAGGGGGGGGGGGAGTGGGCGAAGCGTTGGGAAGGGGGACAAACAGAAAAGTTGGGAATATGTGCTGGAACGATACAGAGTGCAGAAGGAAACATTGTGCTCGAAATAGAGAAGGTTTTAACGGAACACACAGAAGAACCCTTTTCCAGCCCCACTCTCTGATCCCTCCTCATCCCGTCTGACCAGCCTCTTGGTCGTACACACCGCGGCAACCAGATGCAACACTTACCGCTGTACATGCTGCAGATGAGCCCCACGGTCATGCTCATAGACGCCGTCTGCCCGGTCAGAAGAACGGGGGGACGGGAGGCGAGGGGAGGAGAAGGAAGTGAGGTGGGAGAGAGGGTGCGGAACGAGGGGAAGAGGGGAAGAGGGGAAGAAGGGAAAGAGGGGAAGAGGGGAAGAGCGTTGTGTGTGAGGACAATGAAAGGCGAAGAAAGGGCTCTGTCGTCAGACAGACAGCGCAAAACGAGAAAATAAAACGAGTCCAGAGCGAACGGAAAAGCCGTACGCGAAAGCAGAGAATTGAGGAGCATGCACACGAAGAGCCTAGATGACGTACCCAGATTGCGAGCAAGGCCAGGTTGAGAGGATGGCGAGACCGATAAATGACGAGAGGAATGAGCGCTGCGCACAGAACAGAGGAAGGGCATACGAGGATATCTTACGTGGCTCATCGTGAACAAACAGAGCCGACCTATCTAGATAAAAGAATCCACCGTCACAAATAACTGAAGCAAAGAGAATTGAACATTTGCTGGACGGGGGCGACGAAAAATGAAGCGAAGGGCTAGAATGAGCGGCGAACAGAAGGCGAAAAGACACACCGACTGAGGAACGTGGAGCGAGAGGAAGGACGTACTGGCGAAGGGTAGGATGGTTGCGAAGAACATGAAGTATCCATTGGTCAAGCCGAAATCACGGACGGATGGGATGAGAGCGAAGCACGATCCGACGGCTGCGGTGAGCAGGAGTTGTGCTCCGATGATGCCGTAGACCTGCGGAAGTAGAAGAATCAGTGAGTGGATTCTACAAAATGACATGCTTAAGGAACAACAGCGCTAACGCGCGCCTTCGCTTCGGGCCATCTACTCCTTCACTGATTAGCTCAGCACGATGGTCCTACACATTCGAATCTGAAGGGTGCTACGACGCTATGCCAGTCGCGTTGACTAGCTTTTAAAGCCAGCGCGCAAATGACGTCCATGACAAATACTACAGAAGGAGAGAAACACGCGACTGCCGCGAAGAAAGTTACTGTATGCAGCATACCTTCCTGATGAATCCCCATCGCATCTCATTCTCGGACAGCGTGATTCCTGGGTACAGCAAATCAGACGACGGGCCCGCCTCCACGTCAGGACCCTGATTCTTCATAAGGTGCGCGTCGACGGCATGAGAAGCTTCCATGGTGGCAAGAGGATACTAGAACGAGGAAGAGGCGACGGGGCAAGCAGAAATCACCACTAGAACAGGATTTGAACACTAGAACTGAAGTGAGCCTTCAAATTGGGTTCTCTGCTTGTTTACCATTGCCATTAGGGTTTCATGTCAGCCTTGAGCAAGGTTGGGGGACGCGCGAGGAAGTAGAGCATATTGGTAACCACACCGCATGGTATGTTCGTGAGTTGCCATGAGTCATGTTGGTCGTGAATAATCCGTTCCAGCATGGCGGAGAAGTGGGTCATGTGACCAATGATCATCATCGAAGCGGCGTTTGCTTGGACGGCACGGTAACGGAGTTTGTCGAGTTTGAGTTCCCCTTCAGCATCTGAATATCAGCATTGTACACTTCATATTTCCTAATCTACACTTTGAGGGAAGTTATCATGAAAAGCTCAAACTGTATTGCAAAAAAAAAAGTCTAATTACAAAACCCGGCCATCCATTCCATCAAGCGGGCCGGCCCACATTCCCTTCATGGGAGGTAATTGAGCAGCGATCACACTCCATGGCGGATATCCCACTCCACTAGCTCGCACACGCCCATCTAGTCGTAGCGAAATGTACCTGCAAGAGTAAAATTCGTGGAGGTAAGTCAGTGCAGTGAGCTCAAGAGAGATTGGCAGATAAAATAATCACTTAATAGAAATGAAGATTTTGAAAACATAGGACAAAAGAGACACCTGGACTTACACAGGAGATCCCGGAGCCACATTGGCGAACTTCATTTGCTCCTTCAACCATCTGCACAACAAACCAGAGAAATTAAACAACCAATGCAATGTGACGGCTTTCCAGCTGCCTACCGATGAATGACTGCAATTCCCACCTGTTCCATTCATCGGTGTAAGTTGGCCGGCCCATCCACCTCTGAAGCAACCCACTGGCAGCCGTAGCAGCCTGGGCATTACCACCCACCTCTCCCACCTTCCCCGCACCACTACCATCCCCAGCCACTTCACCTCCCCAAGCAGGGTCCACCACCTCCGCAAACCCCTTAAAATTTCCCGGCAGCACAACATTCCCAGAAGCCGCCACCCCTGCTTCAGCACCCACAGTCACAAGTGGCGCCACCACCACTGCTCGCTCCAGGAGTGCAGCGCGGTACGGCTCAGCAGCAGCGAGAGCGGTTTGCACGTGGGAGAGGGGGCCGGCGACAATGATGAGGCGACAGGAGCCCTGCAGCTGGGCGAGGCTGACTATGCGCCCCGTGGGCAGCTCTAGACGCAGCTTTGCCAGGGACTCCTCCCGGGTGAGCCGGTTCAGGGATGCGTCCTTGCCCCGTGCGTCCGACCTTGGGGTGTGGGATGGGAAGGGATGGGGATGGGGACAGTTTTGAGTCAACTCAGAGTCCTGCAGCTGGGCGAGGCTGACTATGCGCCCCGTGGGCAGCTCTAGACGCAGCTTTGCCAGGGACTCTTCCCGGGTCAGCCGGTTCAGAGATGCGTCCTTGCCCCATGCGTTCGACCTTGGGGTGTGGGATGGGAAGGGATGGGAATGGGGACAGTTTTGAGTCAACTCAGAGTCCTACAGCTGGGCGAGGCTGACTATGCGCCCCGTGGGCAGCTCTAGACGCAGCTTTGCCAGGGACTCCTCCCGGGTCAGCCGGTTCAGAGATGCGTCCTTGCCCCATGCGTTCGACCTTGGGGTGTGGGATGGGAAGGGATGGGAATGGGGACTGGGGTGGAAATGGATGGGGCGCAAGGTTAGTGAGGGTAAGAACGAAGGGACGGGGAGCTTCGGGTGCAGTCTGGCCCAAAATAGCTGCCAAATGAGTCGGCTCAGGGAGGCGTCCTAGCCTTTCATGCGATCATGGAGGTTGGAATGGGGGTAATTGGGGTGTCTGGATTGTAGGGGGGAATGATTGGCGTATATGGGTTGCTTGGGGAAAAAAATGGAAATGAATGAAACGGAGCCTTTTATTCCCCGTCACTGTTGCTGCTGGGCCTTTTCTACTTTGGCATGGATTACTACTGCCCGGTGCTGCTGTTCCCGCCCACTTGAATCAGTGTCTTTTGCTCGATTCCTTCGATTTCCATAGCGCCTAGGATGCCCTTTTCCAATAATTAATTTTCAGTTCCAGTTCCAATCCTTTTTTGTTCTTGACCAAATCGAGCCTCCACTTCCCCGTGCCTCACCGGTACAGGAACGCGAATATAGCGACAGCCGCCACGTCAATCCCGAGGTCCTTGAGCGAGTCCTGGATCTGCAGTGCGTCCGCGTCGCGCGCGCCGGTCGCGATGGCGAGCAGCGAGGTGGCGGTGATGAGCGCGCCGATGGACGCGGACGCGATGAACGCGCCGTACAGAAACATGCGCACCGTGCGGAATGGGTTCAGCACCTCCTGCCGCATGCGCGCCTCCTGGCTGCGCGGAACGAGGGGGGGGGTGAGGTGGGGGGAAGGGGGGAAGAGCGGGGAGGGAGGCGGGGAGGGGAAGAAGGTGGGAGGTTACGGCGCAAGCAGGGGTAGTGTAAGGGGCGAGGCGGGGCCGGAAATTGGGACTGAATTCGGCATGCGGCTGGAAATGTTCACATTTTTGTATTTATTTTACTAATGCAAGCATGCGTCCCACTAATGCACGCATTCATCCCACCAGTGCACGCGCGCTCGTACCTGTATTCTTTACGCTCCTCCTTGCCGTCGCCGTTCGACCCGCTGGCTCGGCACACCGCTCGCCGCTGCCGCTCTTCGCCATGCGCGCCTGAGCGACAATGCGGAAGGAGTCTAGCGCGGAGCGGCAAGAGCAGCGAGCGGTCGAGGAAAGGCGCGACTGGCGGAGACTGATGCTGCTGCAGGTGCGCGTGGTGAACTAGAAGACTTCTGGTTGCGATATGAGGTTGAGAGAGGTTTGCGACGACGACACGAGAGGGTCGCTGTGAGTGAAGAGAGCGCGAGGGAGAGGAGGGTGAGATGGTGGGGGCTGTGGTGGCAGTTGGGACATGGCTGACAGACAACATCTTGTTAATCAACGTCCGGAAGGAAATGCAACAATAATTAGGCAATGCTGCGGCCGCGAGGCTGATTGAGAACGGAGAAGGATAATACGCGTCGCGATTTCACCTCGGCTGAACCAATGCAAAAATGCGCTGCTGCACCTATGAGTGACCTACTAGTTTGAAACTCTGCTATCGCTTGTTGCTGATTTCATGTTCGGAAGGGGCAGAATCTGGTGAAGGGTGGATTTGAGCAAGAATGCCATGCGGGCCTGTGATTGTGGAGAGGTGACTGGCAAAATTCCGACGTGTATGTTCTGCAATTGAGTTCTAGTGTCGTGGCGAGCTGTGAGTGCTCCATGTGCATCGCTGGAAAGCCAAACAAGATTCAGATGACCGACATTTCTATACCGCGTATGCGTCTGTCTTCTTGGGGATGCTCGAGGAGACGTGGAGCTTTCAAGGGGCTTCGAGGTTTCGATTCCCAAGGGCGCGGAGCAGATACAGTTCAGTGAAAATACTATACCATGAAAATATGTTCTCGGGGCTGTCGAGTTTTCCAAGATTGCTTGCGCACCGAGCCAAATTCTTATGAACACCGTTTTGAACCGCATTCAAAGTCGATTTTCAGACATTCCCATCCCTCCACTTTCGTCGAGCCCTTCGCGCCAGCACAGCAAATTTGCTCGTTCCGAGGGAACATCATTATTGTTCAGCAGACTATTTTCAACTGTTGCTAGGCTGTGCCGTGCTGTGCGGTGCTGTATTGTGGAGTTCCGCGCATGGTTGAATCAGTCAGCCGTTCATCGAGGGTTATCAGACTATGCTGCGGTAGCGCTCTTGGGTTGGTGCCGTGAAATCACATTTCCAATCCGTCATCTACTGCAATCTTGTAATCCCTTGTGCAAGTTCCAAATTCGGCTCCCTGTTATCCTAGCACGCACTATAAGTTTACTGCGCCACCGAGAAATTAGGTCATCCGCTTGACAATATACTGAGTATACATTGAAGTCCTATCATCCATGGCGAGTTTCGCCGTTGCGCAGTCTACACTAGCAGCGTCAGGAATCCAGCGCGCTTCTAGCATTCTCCTCACGCCTCGCTCGAGAAATGACGGCTTGACCATTACTCCAGCTCGAATCGCACACGTGTCAGCCCGTCGCCGCAACCACCTCCAATCAGACCTCCTTCCAGGAAGCATCTCCGGGCTTCGTTTCTCCTCCTCCGCTTTCCCCGTTCATCGCTCCACGTCGTCTCGCTTCGTTACAGTCACATCCGTTCTAGCGAGGGATGACGTGGTTGCGACAGGTGACGACAGCGGGTCGCAGGCCCAGCAGAGTCGCACGGAGTCGTTCTTGCTGGCTGTGGAAGAGGGAGAGAAGCGCGTTAAAGAGCTGGAGGGTAAAGTGGACGCGAAGCAACGCGCGCTGGAGCAACTACAGGTATCTTTACCCATTTGATACAGTCACACACGTTCCCTTACTCCACCCGCCTTCCTCTAATCTGTTTGATTAGTATCCAGTAGTGTTTTCCTTTCTGCGACAGGGGAAGAAAGAAAGGAATACGCGCTTGAGTGACTAATCTCCGTTTGTTCATGTCGCCTACATGAACTGCAGGCTGGCATTGACAAGCTCTATTCTGAGACATTCGCTGGCGTGGAGATTGCAGCAGAAACACCAGGAGCAGGCGAACAGGAAGGGAAGGAGGGGGAGAAGGAGGAACAGCCTGCTGCTGACGTTCCCCCGCGGGTGTTTGAGAGCATGGATGAGGAGGCGTGGGGCAACCTGGGCCGTTCAGAGCCTTCCGCGCTGAAGGCGCTGATTGGTGAGTCGGAGGAATCGTACCTCTGAAATTTCACTGGCATCGCTGCACGTACTAGACGGGTTTTCACGCTCAAAGCACCCCTCGATGATTCTCTCCCTCTGAGTCTAACCTTGCAGCTCTATGGCACAAACGTCAACACAACCCTGACCTTTTCTCGCAAACAACATCAACCGAATACGTCTACATTCAGCTAGCTAAAATTAATCTGCACAGGAGATTACCACTCTGTTGTGAGACGAGCTTTCACTCATTTTTTATGGTGCGGGATGTGGCTGGCTGCTACGTCGTACTCCTGCACTCCCATCCCACCCGTCAGAGTCGGTGGACCGGGCAAAGTGGACGGCCTTTCAGCGGGACGTGCACAGCTTGGCGCTCAGGCGCGATCGCACGCGGCAGGAGCTCAGGACGCTCATGGACCAGCTGGATGAGGCCCGCACTGCCGCCGCTGCTGTACGGCCCTCCTCTCGCTCCGCCCCTCCTCCCTCCCTCGCTTTCTCCCTTGCTGCCATTTCCTTTCGACCACCTGTCTTCATCTGCCCACACCATTCTTCCTTCCTCGCACTGCATTCTCATCACCCATTATTCACCCTCACACTCTCCCCTCCCACCCCCCACTGCACCCCCCACCGCCTTTCGTCTCCTCTCTTCGAACCCTTCCCCCCTGCACAGCCCATGGAGCACTCCTCCTCAGGGTCCGACTCAGAGACGGAGGGCCCAGAAGCAATGATTTCGGAGTTGAGAGCAGGGAAGAGCGCATGATTTTTCCACTGCATTCCTCTTTGTGTACCCTTTCCCCTCGCCTCCACCTCTTCCCCATTGCACAGCCTATGGAGGAGACATCATCAGGGTCAGACTCAGAGACGGAGGGTCTAGCAGCAGTGGTCACGGGACTGGGCGCAGGGGGGGAGCGCAGGACTCCCGCACTGCATCCCTCACTGTCTTCCTTCTCCCCTCGCCCCCACCCCTTCCCCCCTGTGCACAGCCCATGGAAGAAACATCGTCAGGGTCGGATTCAGAGGCGGAGGGGCCAGCAGCAGTGATCCCAGGGCTGGGGGCGAAGGGGGAGCGAAAGGTGGCGAGCATAGTGCTGGTGGCGGGGTTTGAGTCGTTCAACGTGGCGCTCTACAAGCAGGCTGCGGCTCAGCTGCGTTCCCAGTGCCCTGGTGCGTGTTTGGTGTGGGTGGGGGCCCGGGTGTGGGCAGAATGTGCCACAAGATGCGGGATGCAGGCAGGGAGGGTAACGAGCATACTGCTGGTAGTGGGGTTTGAGTCGTTTGGCATGGCGGTTTTTATGAGGGATGGGCACATGGGAGGGTGGAGTGGATGAAACGTAGATTAAAGATTGCCAACCAGGGTTACAGATGTGGCTCTGAGAGGGCGGGTGAGTGGTAAGTGGCGCTGGCTTGTGTCCTGCTATTCACCATGCTCTAACTGCACTTGCTTCACTTGTCCCATGCAGGCATCCGTCTCTCTGTCTTCTCCAACCGGGACATTCTCTCCAAGAGCAAAGAGGTGCGTCAACGAACGAACTAATGTCTGCCTGCCGCTACTGCTTTTGCATGCGGCCGTCTTTGCGTGTGCGGCGCTGCACTGACACATGCCAGCCAGAGCGTTGGGCATGGGCCGCATGGCAGATGGAGGCAGCGTTGGCAAGAGAGAATGTCCATGTTGGCACCGCACAATCTGGCCTCTGCCGCCCCCTCTCTCTCTCGTCTTGTGTGTGTATGTGTGAGCATGGCAGATGGAGGCAGCACTGGCACGGGCAGATGTGTTCTTTGGCAGCCTTATCTTCGACTACGATGAGGTGCGCCTGTAGCCTCATGACCTGAATGCACCATTTGTTAATCACAGTCAGACACCTTAACCGGCTTTGCTTCTAGCAGGAAGCTACGTATTCGAACATCCTACTTTTCCACCCTGTTGTCCATGTTTTCTGCCCCACCAGTCTTCGTTAGAAACCAACCAGCCATCATTTAACTTGCGCACTCTCCCCCCCATCGCCCCCTGTCTCCCTTCTCCCCTCACACGGCTGGCAGTGCGAGTGGCTGCAGCAGCGCATCAAGAGCATCCCCATCCGCCTCATCTTCGAGTCCTCCCTCGAGCTCATGGCCATGACCACTCTCGGCAGGTACCTACCTCGCCACACTGAATGCATGCCTGGTGCATCCATCCACGTGGTGAAAGGTACCTTGCCATGTAAACGGCTGGGCCCTGCATGTGGTATTCATGGCCAGCTTCCAAAGCGCTTCAAGTCCTGACTTCGATTTTTCCCTCCTTGCCTTCCTTCTCTCTCACCTCCTCGGCTTTGCCATGGAAAGTGGCAAGGGCCAGGCCATGCCCGTGCTACTGTAGGCCGCCCTGCCCATGTATGTATGGTTTGCTATGCATATGATACGACCTTCCTCCCTCCCTTCCTTCCTCACCCCCAGCTTTGCCATGGCGGGAGGAAAGAGCCAGGGCATGCCAGCCCCGGTAAAGGGCGTGCTCTCTAAATTCGGCGGCGGGCGGGAGGAGGACCGCATGGTGGGGTACCTGAGCTTCCTCAAGGTCGACCCCAAGCTGCTGTGCTGCTGCCCACGAATCGCTCCAAATTCCCCTCTCCATCTTTTCCCCTCCCCAACGCTTGCCTTCCCCAATCCCCCAGCTTCGCCATGGCGGGCGGCAAGAGCCAGGGCATGCCAGCACCAGTGAAGGCAGTGCTGTCCAAGTTCGGCGGGGGGCGGGAGGAGGACCGCATGGTGGGGTACCTGAGCTTCC